GGCATGTAACGTAGAAATTGGTTGGGTTGACCAAAAAATTCATTTATATTAACCGATTCAATTTTTATTTAATTATAAATGAATCGATTTTTCATTTTATAAGTGAGTGATATTTGTTTCTTTAATTTAATCAAAATGGTTTAAATATTAATGATAAATAAATTAAAATAATTAATTATTTTTTACCTTTTTATTTTTTGCATAGAATGAGTTTTCCATTATGAGTTTACCATTTAAAAAATACAAAAAATAATTATTTTTTAGAATGAGTTTTCCAGAATGTAAATTGTACAGAATGAGTTACCCAGAATGGATTTTCACCCCACCATATTTTTATGTTTTTTATAAATAAATTAAACTTGAGGTTATGATGTAAAATATACAAGTTGTAAATAAATCTAAAGTATATATTTAAAGTTTATCATGTACCTTTTAGATTATTAAAATATTTCGAAAAGTTATACAAAAAAATATATCCCAACTGTTTCATTATTTTTTGCGGTTTACTTAATGTGGTGTTTATATAAAATTATTGCTATTTGTTTGTCCACCAGATAACATTAAAAGACTGCCCCTATATTGAAACTTAAGAAGATTTGTTTAATCATCAAAAATACCAATTATTTGTTTTGTATAATACAAACATTTTTGTTTTTTAATTTATTATTTTTTGTTAAACTACTTTTTGGTTCAAAATTTTTAGTTCTTTCAATTTTATTATTGTTGTATACACGTTTTCAGTTAATCATATTATAGACAATGTTGATGTAATTAGTTTCAAAAGTGCGATTTCGGTAAATCTATTTAATACGGCTCCCATTTATTTTTTCCAAATTGTTGTCTTGTATAAAAAGAAAAAAAGCAATTTGATAAAACCCTTTTCACGTTATTTTCAATAATAATTACGTCTTTTTTCAGGAAAAAATCAGTTAAAATTCAGTTAAATAACTGCGAAGCACTAATGTTAATTGTACATTTTTGAGTTATTAATATTGTACTATTATTATTAAATTGGAATTTAAACAAATTAATTTTAATAATTTTTTATTTAGAATTACATATTATATTATAACTTATAACACATTGAAAAACAAACCAAATTAAACCCACCTTAAGAACAAATCAATTACTCTCTTGATTTTTCATTATTTATTCAATTGATTATATATCTAAAACATAAATTATGGGTTTAATTTATTATTTAATAATAAACATATAATATATTATAACTTAATGAACAATATTTACAGTGTTATTCACTGGGTTTTCGATTCCCACCATTTTCAATAATTATTAAGTCAGTTTATTAATTATTTAGTCAAAAAAATAAAATATTTCGTCACATATTTTAATTAAACACCACCTACAATTATTAGTCCAGCATAATTAATAAATAGACCATGCAAAAAAATATTAATACCATCACAAATAATTTCAATATTATAATTTTTATATTTCATTCACAAAAATAAATAGACGCACCACAAACTTATATGTTCACGTCATTTAGAATTATTAAGGTTTTTTCTGAATTATTTTACTTTCAACAAAAAAATAAATTATTTCTTTATAAAATGTTATAAAAAACTATGACAATGAAATTAATTTAAAGATTATCTTGAGCATACACCTTCCTCCAAACTTCATTTCTACATCTTTGCCTTTGTGTAATTATTTTGATGTGCTGCTTAACATGGTGAATGAAATGAGTAATGCGGTTTTTGCGGTTGTAATGGTTCAAAGGATATATACTTCCCACTTTCATCAACTTTGTCAGCAAAGCGGCGCAGTGAATAGGTATTCCAAAAGTCTGTTAAAAATCTTCTGGTTTCTAATCAGGTTTCTTTCTAAACTCTTCAACAAACCGTTGCTTGAGCTTCAAACCAATTTTGGTGTATTGGTGCTTTTAGTGTTCTGAATGTTTTGGTTCAAATATCTTCGGTATTTATCTTGGATTTGGTTGTATTGGAGATGGAATGAATAGTTGGGTTGCAAATGATTGAAACGGAGTAACCAGTAGATGTGTAGGCGTTAAGTGTATATAATCGGCCCGTGCATTTGAATCTGTGAGATCAACATGATCTATTGATGCTCGGTCCATTATACTTTGAAATAGTTTTAACGTTGTTTTTTATTTTTTTGTTGAAAGTAAAATAATTCAGAAAAAACCTTAATAATTCTAAATGACGTGAACATATAAGTTTGTGGTGCGTCTATTTATTTTTGTGAATGAAATATAAAAATTATAATATTGAAATTATTTGTGATGGTATTAATATTTTTTTGCATGGTCTATTTATTAATTATGCTGGACTAATAATTGTAGGTGGTGTTTAATTAAAATATGTGACGAAATATTTTATTTTTTTGACTAAATAATTAATAAACTGACTTAATAATTATTGAAAATGGTGGGAATCGAAAACCCAGTGAATAACACTGTAGTTAATTATTGGATTTTTATAATCATTTATTTACTTATATATATAGTTTATGGTTTCAAATTATTTTAATGTTCATGTTTTGAGAACTTAACCTTATGTTAAATTATTTAACTATATAAACTGTTTTTCAAAAGTCGGTACTGAGGTGTCCCGATTTTTTGCATTTATTTTGTTTATTATTTTTGGGAATCGTTTTTTTGTAATAAATTCGCTTATTTTTTCCAAGTAAAAAAGAGAAAAACAATCTTCAAAAAATATTTTTTTACTTGAAGAATTTTTAAGCATTAAAAAAACCATATAAAATTTGAAATAACGGGATTTTTGTTTTTGAAATACACGTGAATGATCCCAAAAGTGCATTTTATTTTAAAAGCAAATAAATTTAATGTCAATCTTTTTCATTATCAAAAATTTTAATAATTAATAAAATATTCACAAAACAAGAGCTTAGTTCGAAGATTAGTATGCTTAGTAGTGTTGTCACAAAAATAATAAAAATAACAAAATGATTTGATAACTTATCTTTGTTGGGTTTTATAAAGTCGACATTCTTTTTGAGCATTTCAGTGAGAACATCTTTTTTAAAATATCCAATAACAAAACAATATTGTTATTTTGTATTATTTTTCTAGTGTTGCCCTTTGACAATTTTGACTTATGCCTGTCAAAATTATCAAACATTTGCTGTAATTATTTTGGTGTTTTTGGAACTCTTTATTTCATTATTTTTTATTCAGAGAAGATAACCACAGTTTGTTTTAAATTTCAGTTAAATTTTAACGAGAGTAATATTCAGTTAAAACTCGACACGAACAACACCATCCAAATTCACTTAAACGTTCATTGTTGTGCTTTTATGCCAACAATGCTGTGTATATGTCGTGAAGTATTGAGTTATGGTCAAATCAAATAACGGGATCGGGTTTTTTGGAAAAAGATGGCTAATATTCCGATATTTTCCCGAATTTGTACGAAAATAATTGAACGGGATTGGTATTTTTTTCAAAATTAAGTCTGTACTTTCGATTTTTTGTTTTTTTGTTTTTTAGGAAAAAACAAAAATAAAAAACGGGACTTTAGGAAGTTCTAAAAATATGACAGTACCGACTTTTGAAAAACAGTTTATTTAAATTAAATAATAAGAACAATTAACAAGTAAATGATTATTAAATATATAGTTAATTGTTTTAAAAAAAATTGTTTTAGTTTTTAATATATACAGTAAAAATTCTATCAGTGTGTGACTCTATCGGTGTGTAGTTTTGACCAATCAAAAGAGGCCTACACACCGATAGAATATAATGATTTCCCACATATTTGGCACCAAAACCCGCAAAAATAATGTCAATTGCAATTTTGTTTTTATTTTAAAAGAGTAAAGACTTGGTAATAAAAACTTAAAAAGAAAAAAATTATCAAACAAAAATAAATTCAAAAAAGATAAGAAAAGAAAAGCAGAAAATGCTCTTCAAAAAATATTAAACTTTAAATGATAATAAAAAATGCACCGACTTCCACACACCAATCACAAGAGCACGCTTGTGATTGGTGTGGTGACAGAATTGATACCACAAAAACTTAACAATTTCAGCAAGAAAGTCACAGATATTTTCGACACATGCAGACAACCAGCCTGGCGTGCTCATCCAAGTCTTTGAGGGCGAGGCATCTATGACATCACACTGCAACCCGTTTGACAAGGTTGGGTTGTTTGGTATCTTATTAGCACCACGTGGAGTCTCACAGTTGAAGTCACATTTGACACAAATGCAAATGGGATTCTGAATGTGTCGGCTGAAAACGAGACAACAGGGAAGAAGACTCTTAAAGGAACAGGTGGACAAGATGGTTGCAGACGCAAAAGAGTTCAAGGCGGAGGACGACAAGATGATGACTTTTGAGGCTAAAAATCGACACTCACCTTATGCTACTTATGTAATAACACAGTGAACAAGCAAATTTTTTCAAAGTTATCAACAAAAGACAAAGAAGCAATCGAGGCCTATGTCAAAGACGTACTTGAGTTGTAAATTGACAAGAACCAATCAGCACCAAAAGTCTATGTGTTTATACAAAAACACAATGCGTTGTTCTTATTCTAAACAATTAGACAAATTAAAAAAATTCACAATATTATTTTATGTTTACACGTGTCGCGTTTTTTTTCATAAAAAAACAAAAAAATACATTGTGTCATTTTTCTAGATTGTGGATAGTTTTACAAATTTCATGATTTTTTAGTTTTTTTGCCAGAAATTAAAAAAGAAAAGAAAAAAAATTTACACACCTTGGGAAAACCATTTTCATGACTCCACACACCGATAGAATTTTTACTGTATATAGTTTTTTAATAGTTTAAATTTTAATATAGAAGGTTTATTTCAAAGAGTTTTTATATTGCAATAATAATGGAATGACATTATTAAATAATGATAACCAAGAATTAATTTTTTTTAATTTGATTGCCTTGTTATGGAACAACAAATGTAGTAACGTGGCTTTCTTTCATTTCTTTAATTCAAATAATTTCATTGTAAACTGAAAAATAGAAAAACAATGGAAACTTTTACAGAACACGACTCACTATTGGAACATCAACCCACTTCTCAAACTACTCAGAGGCCAGAAACCAACATTAAACCGGAGACTGAAACTCGTGATTTTCAAGACCCAAATTTTGATGATCCACTGAATTACTACGCAGTGTTGGGTGTTCCTCGCGAAGCAAGTCCAGAGTTAATAAAACGAGCGTATCGTAAACACGCTTTGAAATTCCATCCCGATAAAAACCACAGTCCAAACGCCGAAGGGGATTTTAACACAATCAAAAACGCGTATGAAGTTCTTTCTGACGAACAAAAGAAACGGATGTATGACTCCTTCGGCGCAGAGGGTGCACAATATGCTCAGTACATTTGGATGATCAAACCATTTGTCTATATTCTCTGCTGTATTTTAGGCTTCTTCATAGCAGTTGCTGCTCTATTATATGACACATGGCTTGTACTCACAATCACCAACTTAGAGAAGGAATTACATTGGAAAATTTCTGCAGTCAACGTGCCCTTATACATCTTGCTCTTCTTTTACATGTTAAATCTCCCCAACACACGTTTGGGGAAGGTGTTTGGTCTCATCGAATTTTGCACGGGGTACCTGGGCCTCATTTTGTTCTTTGTGCGTGTTGATTGCAATAAAGGTGATTATCACTTGTGGTTGATCCCTGCGTACATTGCGTGTTTATTTAGACTGTTAAAAATGCTCCGAGAAGACTTAGGAGACTATGTTGGGCAAGGAGAGAATGGAGAAGTAATTAACATTCCTCGAAAAAAGCGTGTGGTGTTGCTGAATGGTGTATTAGATCTTCTCGAGAATGTAACTTTTATTGGGTTGATTGTCAGTATTGGTGTTAGTGGTAACGAGAAAGATTATATGTACGCAATGATATTCTTTGCACTGTATTTAGTCTTCAGAGTGGTGAGATCAGCACTTTTGGATCTTCACTTCTCGCGTATTAAATTGGTCTATGAAATTGTTGTTTGTCTGTTTTATGCGGCTCAAGGCATTATGTTGGGTTCGGATGTTGGAGTTCGATGTTACAAATATTCCTATGCTATTGCGTTCATCCCCGCACTTTTATATGGAGTTATTATCACTGCCATTCCTCTCATTGTGTGTCCACTTATTTGTTGCTTCTTACCACCTCTTCTCGAGAAAGTGTTTGGAAGTGATGATCCAAACACACAACACAGAGAACCAGAGAATCAACACACAAGTCAGCAACCAAGTCAGCAGTACCAAAACACTACTGCTTTACTGAATTAACTTCTAAATTACAACTTATTAATATATTATGTTTACTACAAACTTTTGTCGACTAATAAAATATGATGGAACTGATAATACACTTTGAGGTATCGGAAACCTCAAACTCAAATCTACAACACATTCAATCAAACATACTTTTCAAACTTGTACCGATATTGCTTTGTGAAGTTGTTCAACAACTTGATCAAGTAAAGGTTTTTGTAATGGCAAACACGACTGTAACAACTTTTCTGCATACTCTGCACAATTCTGGATGATCTTTTTGAACTTTCTTTTGAGTTCATTGTTCTCAGTGTTCTTCCAGTAACACTTTAAACAGAACGAACACAACAATTCGAAGCGAAGTATTTGCTCCGACCCAACTCTTTTTGCTACACTTTGTAAGTCTGTGATGTTCAACATTAAGTCACTTTGTTGCTCTCCCAGCGTACTCTTTTCTTGACTCTCAAAGTGAATAGGTCCGCACCACTCGGGGTCGACTTTGTCCCATGATGTATATCCGATATCGCGAATTCCATTCACTCGCTTCGTGTCAGTCACTGCGTATTTAACACTCTCCTCGTTCTTCACGTGCTTTCCAAGTTGTCGCACAACAACTTCTGAATGCCAATTAATGTTCTCCACGGTCTTGGACACTCTCAAATTCCTTTCATAATCGAGTTGTCGACACGACATCATCTCAACTCCCCAAGTGATCCCCCGCGTACCAAACCCCTCCCAGCCATCATTCTTCAATTCAATCGAAGCGACTTCCTTCTCATAAAAAGTCCCTCGCAGTGTTTTCTTGACCTTCTCTTTTTCATTTTCGTCGCGGCGATAAGTTTCTTGAAATGAATTTGACGCGTTCTTCTCGGTGTCGCCAAAGTACCGCGACGCAAAGAACTCCTTGAAAAAGTCATTTTCCTTGTATTTGTGCATCTGTTCAACCTCTAAGTGATACTTCTCTTTGACAAATGGGTACTCCTCCAGAATTTGTTTCTTCTGTGTCGCCCACTCCGGCCCTTCCGCAAACTTAGTGATCAGAGGAGAGGAAAAACCGGGAGATGGGAGGTCTGGTTTCTTCTTTGGAGGTTCCTCAATCTCGCTGAAAAAAACATCTTCGGAAATGAGTGTTGTTGATACCAACTCGTTGTACAAAAATATTTTGTACTTTGTGTCAAGGCGGGGATCAATTGGTTTTGTCATGCTTTTGATTTATTGAGTTCACAAAGTGCTTTGTTGTGTTAAACCAACTTATACTATAAATATTAGTTTCAAATGTTATTACATATGGTTTTCAATCATTATCATAATTTTAATTTTAATCAAAATAAAATGATAAGAATTATTATATAATATAGTAAAATAAACTATAAATTAGTAAATAACATCACAATTATTTTTTAATTATTAATAATATTAAATATTTTAATAAAATAAACTATACTTCTTAAAATATTAAAACAAACAAAAATAATAATTATAATTATTAATATTATATAGTATTATTATTGTAATAAAAATATAATAAAAGTTAAATCACTGGATTTAATCTTTATAAATACAAAACACTACTAAGAAATTTCACAAAAAGGAATAGAAATTTATTAATTATTACTTAGATTTCTTTACGAAAACAATAAGGAAAATGTCGAAAAAAAGACTCAAATTTTTTGTTTAAACGAATTAAATTTGCAAGAAAATGTTTTCGAAAAATGAACTTCAAAAAATTTTTGAATAACCTTTGTTATATGCGCTTCCTTTATTACACGGTGGTGGTGTTGGTTATACTTTTTACTTGCGTGCAAAGCGATTGTTGGTATTCAAAGAGTAACTCCATTATTCACGACAGTTTTATGGATGCAGACACGTGTCAAAATCGCGGATATGGGTGGAAGTTATATTGGGATGGATTGTGTGACTGGGTACTTTTTACGGGTGAATGTTGTGAGAATTTGCACACGTATTACGTCCTCGAAAATTTAACGTTTGACCACAACCCCAAAGGTATTGAGTATGACGAGTCTTCAAATATACAAACTTTACGTCTCCGTCCGCCCTTTAAAGATCAGCAGTGGAGTGTCAACACCAAGAATATTGTCAGTGGCAGTTTAGTAGTATTAGAGAAGAACAGAGAAAGTGTAGATCGAGAGAAGCACACTGTTTTCTCTATAGGATTAAAAAACTTTGGTGTTGTTGTTTTGAACAATGAGTTGATAGAACTGAAGTTTACTGAGTATCAAAGACCATTTGTACTTGTCGAAGGAAACAATTCCCCTATTAGAATTACTGAAGAGCACAAAGAAACAGCCGAGTGTCGGTATGTCTTTTCAGGAAATGGTGTATATGTTGATAACCAGGACGATGGGTTTGTGAAGAACATATGTGAGATAGATGGACAGAAAAGGTATGTGAAGTGTTTGTATAGTTATGCCCTTATTCCCGATTGTTCCTGTTATATTAACAGCTCGTCAAGTCATGTCTCCTTTCAAGACTATTTCATGAATTACCCCGACTGTCTTGTGAACAACACCAAATTCAGTTTGACCATCAGAGCATTCCAAACGGAGTTCGTCTTCGACTCGTTTGGGAAGTACTACTGGAAAAGTTTACTATTCGAAGACAGAAATGCACCACTTGCTATATATACAGACAAAGTCCTTACTTTCGAGAACGACGTCGTGTTGCCATATTCAGAAGTCTTTTTCTTTGGTGAAGTCGACTTCAAGCAGTCGCTTACTTTTCCAGAGAACCACAAGACCTTGTACAAATTTGAAAAATTGACTGCAACGAATATTCAAGTGAGAGGACTTCAAGGATCACTACTTGTGTTTTTGAGCGAAGACGTCACAACAAGGAACTCCTTTATTGTGTTACTTTGTGATAATAAGAAGAACTCAAGATATGGCGCAATTGAGGTTGGATCACCTAATATAGGATGTATCTGCAATTTTAAGAATAACGTTTTTGATCAAATTGATTGTGAGACTTCAAGTCTTGAAGAGTCAAACAGACTCGAGTTGGTTATAGCATCACATGAAGTTTACAACAAGACTCAAAAGCGATTTTGGGATGTTGTTGAAACAACAGATGCTGTAATATCAACAGAGATTATTATAAAGAGATGTGTATTTTCTGGAAATGTTGTGATGGTTGACAATGATGTTATTTGTGACTCTTTAAACGCACAAGGATCCATCGAAATAAGTGACTGTACTTTTACAAGTCAAATAGTTATTGCAAATGGACTTACAATTACTGGTAATGCCATATTTGATTCAGTTGATGTGACAGACTCTTTGTCTCTAAAATACAGTCAAACAACTATTAATGAATTAACAATGGAGGAGAACAGTGTGTTATACGTGGAAGGTTCTGTGGTTATAGTGACTCTCCACAACAATGGAAATAGCGAAATTGTGGTAAGCAAAGACATTGAAATTGTGTATTTACAGGCATCTTTTCTTGTGAGTCTGACCGCAGAGAATATGCACGTGTACTCTGGTAAAATTTTGTTTGACAAATTATCTGTGAAGTCACAAGTTGTTATTCAAAACCAAATAGAGTCAATTTCAATAAGACAGATCACTGTAATAGACGCTCTCTATTACTTTGATATTCGACAAAGTATCATGACACTGACTGTCACTCGAATTCCCGAGATCATTCAAAGTGGAAATGAACAAGAGGGCATCACACTCTTGAGCACCAAAAACAGGCAAACGGTATTTGAAGACTCAAGTCAAGTGAAATACATGTGTGACAATCAAATTGTAGTGATTGGCAATGTGAATCAGAGTATATGCAACGACTTGTTTCTAGCCAACAAAGTCTGTGTATATAAAGAGGGGATTTATATGGATGCTTATTATCAAATAGATTACTCGTGTCCATGTAAGAGTGATCCCACCATAGAGCGTACATTAATTATAGAAGATCCAACGTATACATTCAGTTCAAAAGAGAGTTATAATTCGATAATCACCAAACAAAGTGTGATATTATCAATGAAGTCGCAAGAGGTATCTATACTGTTGTATGGAGACATTCAATTAGTAGGGAACAATAACACTGTTCTAGTCAACACGACAAATCCACACATTGATATTACAGTAAAAGGTGATGCGCTTATATTCACCACAAAAAGTCGAGGCTTTGATGTAGAAGGCAATACAATCAAACTTACAACAACAGGTGTCTGCTCCTATGTGTTAGTTACAAACAGTGTTGCACAATGTTTGTCGTGTCGGTTTGGATCGATATTACATCTCAATGACAAAACAAATTTGATGTGTTTACCCGAGAGTGTGACCGAATGCACAAGTTATAATTCAAAAGGAAATTGTGAGGAGTGTTCGAGAGGATTTTATTTAAAAAATGGTGTCTGTCTTAGATGTCCGGATCGGTGTCAAAAGTGTGAGTACAACACAATTATTAATGACACTTCTTGTATATTATGTGACTCTTCATACTATCTATTCAACGAGACTTGTATCAAAGATGATTTGTGCACATTTAGTATCGACAAAACATGTTACTATTGTGGGGGTTCTAAATTTTACTCGACTGAAACAAATACATGTGAACCGTGCCTCCCAAATTGCATTCAATGTGACAACAATATCACATGTAATATATGTGATATATCAAATGGATTTTTTGGAACACAATGTGAAAAGAGGAACGACATTATCATCTTGACTAATTCCAATTACATGTGTTTTCCTGGGTATTACAGAACAGAAAGTGGCTGTTCAGAGTGTAGAGAAAGCTGTGACGAGTGTGTAAGTGGTGATAACGAAACTGAATATGTATGTGTATCATGTAATACGTCATTGGGATACACATTAGACCAAACTGGTCTATGTTCGAACACAAGCAGTTGTTATATAGAAAATTCGAAGTGTCAAAAATGCAAGAACGAGTCTGAATATTATGATGGATTTCAATGCACTTCGTGTGGAGAGCACTGTAGTCTTTGTACACCAACTGGTCAGTGTTTGGCGTGTGATCACAATTATTACTTTCACCGAACGACAAACACGCAGAATAAACCAATTTCAATGTGTACAGAAACACCAGTGGCCAATTGTGAATATTATGAAGATGGCCGTTGTGTGAGTTGCGACAACACAACATACTATACAGATTTTGAGTGTGTTAAGTGTTTATATCCATGCCTTCGATGCGTCACTTCATCTTCACTATGTGTGCAATGTAGTGAAGGTTTCATGTTACAAAATAACAAGTGCATTTCATCAAAAACAGAAATCAATTCGTGTAAGTACTTTACAACAACGGAGAGGGGTGGGTGTGTAGTGTGCAAAGATTATTATTATTTGGATTATATCACTTGTTACCCATGCCAACAGAATTGTCGAGTCTGCCAAAATTCGAAGTCGTGTGTCGAGTGTGGGATTAATTATTTTATCAATGAGAGTGGGTTATGTGAGAGTATATTTTCATTGACAAATTGTGTTTCTTATTCATTGTATGGATGTAAAGAGTGTGACACAAGTGCTTATTTGGACTTTGGTCGGTGTGTTGACTGTGACAATTTCATGAAACACTGCACCAAGTGTCATTGGGAAGACAATGAGTGTTTTGGGTGTGATGATGGGTACATACTGATCAACTCAACGTGTTACATATACAATGTTATAGCACATTGTGTGAACTCCATCGACTCAAAATGTTCTGAATGCACGTTTTGGTATGAACCCTCACTTGATGGCCTTACATGTGAAATGAAGTCTCTGCGTCCTTTTGTAATAACATGTGTTGTACTTTTCACTGTATTTGTGACTGTCCCATGTGTATTAATATCAACTGTTCTGATCACAAAGAAAGTCCACCAAGTTGATACAGGCGAGAGAGAGATGTTACTTTCCCGCACTCGTATCGACCGAATAGGTGGCGATTGGATCTTTTTAAATATCAAAGGGCTTATGGTTACTAAAAGTGAAATTGTATTTAATGAGATGCCTGTGGCAACGCCTTCGTACGACTCGTTTTACATTGGGAATAGCTCTCGAGACACCTCTCTTATAGGTATTGGGTTATTTGGGAACAAGAAGTATGAGACTTTGATAAAGCCGGATTACTTTGAATTGAAGAAGAATGGGTGCTGTGAAGTGAAAATCATGTTAAAGCCGTTGTGTACCACCAATATCCATGAAAAGATTCAAATAGTGCAGTATCAGAAGAACCAATTAATCAAAGGGTTTGACTCTATTGATCTCATTGCAACGACACAGCTCTCTACTCATTTGGACTCAGACGAATTAATACGAGAAAGTCTGGTTGGGGAAGGGACATTTGGTATTGTCTACAAAGGGAAGTACCGAGGCGCTGTTGTAGCAATAAAGACTCTAAAGAAGATAAAAATACTTGAAAATGTCTTAGACGACTTTTTGACTGAAATTGAGATGCTTGAAAAAATACGATGCGAGTATATAGTAAGTTACTTTGGTTCAGCTTGGAACAAGGCAGAGTGTTGTTTGGTCACTGAATTTGCAGAGTTGGGAAGTCTGAGCACTTTGATGGAAAACAAACAGAAAGTCTCTTTAAAAATCCGAGAGAAGATCATGTTGGATGCAGCACGAGGGATAGAATACTTGCATAATAATGGCATCTTACACAGAGACATCAAACCAGACAACTTACTCATATTTTCTATTGACTCTTCGATCGCAGTGAATGCCAAATTAACTGATTTTGGATCGAGTCGAAGTGTTAAATTGATACTAACGAACGTGTCATTCACCAGAGCAATAGGTACTCCAGTTTGTGTTTAATTATTTATTACTTGTCCTATAGGTAGTAATATAACTAAAAGGTGTATATGGCTCCTGAAATTCTGCAGAAGAAGAAATACAAAATGCCTGCAGACATCTTTTCATTCAGTATTATGTTCTTCGAGACAATGACATGGGGGTTAGCATATCCATATGAGATGAAATCTTGGGAAATTGCAAATGCGGTTGTTGAAGGAAAACGGCCAGTGAAGTCTGAAGGGATGAGTAAGAAGATGTATGATTTCATATGTAGCATGTGGTGCCAAAAAGCAAAGGAAAGACTTGGTTTGTTATTTAACACCCAATATTCTATAAGATTTCGAATTATAGTTTATATACTATTAATGAATTATATTTTTTGTAATTATACTTTATAATAAATGTTATTATATTTATATTATATTACAGTTAAAGATTCCACTGACCGTTGTAGACATCGACGAAATCATTCCAATCATCAAGTATTTCTACCTTGATGATAATTGATGTACTATTTTAAAACTATTAATTTTAAGTTAATTGACACAAATGTTTAATTGAAAGCAAAAGCAATCTTTTTGTTATAAATCATCATATACAAATGCCATGGAAATATTACAAAAATTATATATTTATACTATATTAAATAGTAAAAAAGTGATTTTCTGAAATGAAAAAGTTTCTCTATTTTTGGATGGACTTTTTCGAACATCGACATTTTTTTTGAAAATCTATTTATATAGAAAAGTCGATTATTTTTTTGGTATTTTTTTAAATGAAGTTCAACGTTTTTTCTACTTTTTTGGAATTAAAAATAAATGGTTGGTGTGAAGACTTTGTACATTTGCTTTTTGTTGTCCATTTAAACAATCCATGACATGAAAGTATAAAAAATCAATCAACAATTAATACATAGAGTCTTCATACTGCTTTACTCTTGTTTCCGAATCATTAAAATAACACTTGCGAGTTTAGACTCGACCAAGTCGAGAGAAACGGAACTGAGTGGGTCAAAATAAGCACACATAAAATCGTATACGTTTTTGGTTAAACTTGAGTGCTTTTCTTGAACCCATTTAAATCCCCCGTTCTTCGATTGTTTGAGTAATGAGTGGAAAGACGACCGCGTGTTATTCACTTTGTCTCTTATTTGCGTGGCAGTCTTATTAATCGACAATTCATTCAACATCTCCTCTGTGCACCGCTGGTGAAATACATGGAGAGAAACTGTCCGACGTTCTTTGAGTTGCCATTTTCTGTACTTGAGCATTATGTACATAGTTGTTAGGTCGGCCCACTCTCTTGTGTTCTTTGCTTCTTTTGTCTCCGACAATTCCAAAGAGTTAACAACAGAGGAATCGACGTACACTCGATACAACTGTGGATGAGTTGGTCTAAAAGCGCTAAGGTTCTGCATTTGGATTTTCTGTTCCATAGTATCTTTATATTGTTTAGTTATTCTAAATATATAAAAAATAGGTTAGACTATTTTTATTCAAGAAACAGGGGGAAATGTTTGAAAAAAATCAAGCACCAACTGTTTTTCAACCGAAAAAAGGTGGTGGATGAATTTAACTCAATTGGTCCAATTATTATCTTCATATCTCGAAAAAATCATTGGTTAATTATCAATTGAAACCCTTTAACTAGGGTTACATGTTAACAAACTATAATTATTGAATAGTTTACGTTAAAAAATATATAAAATAAGTGCTGAAATTAACTTGAAGTAAAAATATTTTCGAAAAAAATTGAGTTTTTTACTTGTCTTATAAATATAAAGCAGAATAATTTTTATTATCCGTTTTTATTAAATTTGGTATTAGTTATAAGAAAAAAGATAAAATATATTTTAAAATAAGAAATGGTAGAATAAAAGTGTGTTTGCCAAGGAAAAAAACTGAAAACTTGAAATATACTATACTTGTTAGTATAATTTTTATTTCAACAAGTTCTTAATAAACTGTAGGTTGAAATATTAAAGTTCGATTCTAAAAATCATTTTGACTAAATTAAAAAAACTAAAGGAAAAAAGACAGAACAATTTATTTTCAACGAACGATTTTTAAAAAATTAGACGTTTCAATAGAAAAGTTACATTTCCATTAATGAAAAATGTTCGAATTGATCTGGTAATGAAATGACTAAGAAATGATGCTTTTTGTGATATCAAGACCGTTGAAAATTTTGTTTAAACAAAAAGAAAAGAAATGATGGGAAGACAATTTTTTAAAATATTTTTCCTTACTTCCAAAACCTAATTTTATTTTTTGTTAAATATTTTTGTAAAAATTTCGAAAAATTCGAACATCTTTTTAGTAAATTAAACCAAAAATATTAAAATAATTGTGTTTTCCTGTTTTTTAAAATGAAGAAAATTTCAGACCAAAGTTTTAAAGAATTGAACAAAGGTGCAACAGATAACATTTTTTCACAAAAAAATGTTTTTCAAATAATTAGTATTTTGATATATCATATTATATTATATTAAATTATTAATATTTTAGAGTATGTTTTCCAAATATAATTACTATTGTTATAATTTTAATATTATTGTATATATAGTTAAACAGACTTATTTTATATAATTATAACAAAAAAATATTAAAAAAATTGCACATTTTAACCCCAAATTTGTATTTTTATTTTTTATAATGAAAAATACTTTTTATTTTTATAATAATAACTAATATTGTAAACTAATAAAAAAATGATTCGTCTCAAATGATTATTTAAATTCGTGGCAATTTCATTCGTGGTATTGATATTCTAATTGGTATGTGTAATAATCCCGTTTTTTTAATATAACACTCACATAAAAACAACCGAAACTATTAATTTGTAAATCAAAGCCAATTGAGTCATTTTTTGGTTAATAAATTAATTCGTAATTAAAACATCGTTTCTAATATTCAAAAATGATAGTAAAATAACAATTCAATTAAAATTATTTTTTTTTCCACAATTCGTAGAAAAAGTTGATTTTTAAGAAAAATATTGTCATTTTGTTTAAGTAAAAACAGTAGTTCAAACAACTATTGAAAAACTATAATACTTCCGAGAAATTGTGAAGAAAAATTTTGTAGAGAAAAAAAACTCGAAATAGATTTTTTCGTTTTAAACCAGTTTCCCGCGTTTCCCATCAAATCCGAACAAAGATATTATTCTTTACGCCAAACGCCCAAACAAAAAAAACAGAAAAACGGAAAAGTAAAAACATTTCTACAAAAAACACAAAAACACAAAGAGAACAAAAAAGAACGTCGTGAGAATCTTTTAAGAAATATTTTTATCTTTGTTCAAGTAAATGATAGTAAACTGAACTATTTAGTCTAGTTTTTATACTCATATTTATGACTCCTATAAAAAAAGAAAATAGAGTGGAACTCCGTTACTATTCTGCTTAATGGTTCAGCTTGTCCTAGTCATTTTGGTTATATTGCAAGTCATATTTGTGAGTGCAGAGACTCATATGGCTTGGTGTGATACTGATACTAATGGTACAATGGTCTATATGGAAGACCCCCAGTGGACATGTGTGTATGATATATACAACACTGATTTTAATAATGTGACTTTCAGAGGCTTTGAAATATATAGGGAGAACAATATCGACTATTTCTGGGTCTATTATGATTGTTGCTCGATTAATGACAAAGAGGTGTGGAAAAACCACTTTGCCGTGATAGATAACGTCACTGAAATACCAAAACAACTGGGGTTCAAGTTTAGAGGAACTCCGAGTAAAAGAGGGTACCACAATGTGGACATCGATGAATATAGTGATACAGTCGACTGGCGTATTTTGACCGACAATATCATCGAACACTCCAGTATTAACTTGATTGGAAGCGCTTCATCATATGAACATCCATATCACTTGACTGGCTACACTTATATGTTCAACGTGACTGCTCCTATGGAGACTCCGATGAAATATTTGAACATGGATTTCTATTGGGGATATTCCCCTTTTGTGAACTGCTCTGGTAACTTAAATATAACTCTTGTTAATGAAGAAGACAGAGATGACTGCCAATTCAGATATGTCTCTGACACTAATATTATCAATCATAACTCGAGTAACCATAACTTGTATGTGAAGCCCGTTTGTGAGTATACCAAGGGTTTAAAGAGAATGGCTATTTGCTCAAAATACACTGCAAATGATTACCAAGACTGCAGTTGCTCGTACAAAGATTATCAATACGAAAATAGAGCGATAGACTGCACTTATATGTCACAGTACTTAACCTTCAAAATTCAACCCTTCCAAGAAACAATCCCATTCGAAACGTTTTGGAATACTTTGGACACCACGGGCGTCGCTACACAACTGACGATCCCAAAGGAAAAGAATATGACATTTGTTGGGGAAGTGGTACTCCCCCAATACTCTTTACAAGTCACAGGCAAAATCGTATTCAATAACTCACTGACTGTCAGATACAGTAATGTCTTCCACTACTTCGACTCTCTCGATGTTAATAAAATCATTGTGGAAGATACTGTTGATGAAAAGGAAGTGCTTTTTGTGGGGAAGTGCACTGGTACAAACTGTGCGACAGTGTTAGAGGATGCGCGGATATCAAGTTCATTGTGTGGAGGTTCAACACTCCGATTTTATAAGTCGAGTGGTGCCGTTGAGTGCAAGTGTGAGCAGAAGGACTCGACTGTTTTGTATCAATCGGACTGTATGGTACTTTCAAAACAGCGGTCGAACAAGTACGACTTGTTTTTGACACAAAAGGAATTCAGCTTTGATGACGACACACATTACTTCCAAAGTTTGAACTTGACAAAAGACGTGAAAAGTGTCAACTTTAAAAATACTGTCATCGAAGGTACTTGTGACTTCTCTGCTGTCACCGACCTGTTACTCTTCGGGCATTTAAGTTGTGAGAAAGTGTTAATTGGCGCGTCGACAAGAGTCGTTGGAAATACTGGGAGTTCATTTAGAAGTTACAACTTTGAAGTGATTGGAGTGGTCGATAACTTAAATACAAATGCAGTGTTTTCCATGGGTGAAGGGGAATTTGTTTCTGATGGGTCGTTATCATTAGTGATGACCGATGTACGAGCAACTCAACAGTGTTTCGAATTGAGTTCTTCGAAGAAAGGAATGAACTCTGCAATGACTGGTACAATAGGAGGGACTGATTATCAACTGATTAACTTCAATAATGATGTGAGGGTATGTCCAAGTTCGTTAATTAACAATCGCATAGAATGTGTGTTCAAAGATTCTGAATATAATGGATTTAAGTATGACCAATGCCCATGCTCAGGAGAGACCTGTACATTCACAATGGACCCATCTCTTTCACAAATACACTTCAAGCAAGATGAAAGTTTCAGTGGGATGTTGTTACTCAATGCAGACGTTTCATTCACTTCGCCAAGTCTATTTTTCAATACAATTGAAATACGGAAAGACAAATTGTTGATTAAAATGAGCGGCGACCTTACAACAAGCTTCACAAACATTTCAAGTGTTAACCATTTCATGCTGCAGACGGATGGCAATTTGCATATTAAGACAATACCAAAAGTTTCTATATACACAACAAACTCGGGCTCTTTTGCTATTTCTGGAGATAATGTCGTGTTATATATCGACTCTACTGGGACCAATGAATTGAGTTTGTCTTCTCCAAATATGCTTGTGATGGCAAGGTATGGCTTCAACGAAAATGATGACGGCACCTTTGTAATTACAAAAGATGGAGAGTACCGTAGTGCTGTTATTAAAAATTCAGTTGTCACAAATTTGATGTGTTCTCTGAGTGCAGCGGGGAAGTCTTGTCATAGTGACAGTGTTGTTCATTGTAGTCTTTACAACATGTTAAATACATGTTCCGAGTGTGAGGAAGGGTATACTCTTAAAAAGAATAATAACAAATTTGAGTGCATAGTCATCTCAGAGAGTCACTGCACTCGGTTGAGTAACAATTCGAAGTGCATTTCATGTGGAAGTGGATTCTATCTTGATGCTAACACATTAAAATGCTCTGATGACATTTCTGGATGTTCGTTTTATAAGAACAATTGGTGTAGAAGAACGAAAACAAGTGATCCAGCCATGTACTTTAAAGGAAGTAAAACAACTGAAAAGTGTGACACAAATTGTGTTCAATGTTTTGGAGCAAAGTGCTCTATATGTAAAAACAATTATTATTTAAATTCGATCAGTAAATGTGAGTTACTAAGCACTTTAAATTATGACGTTGTTGCGAACAATCACTTGATAACTTGTGCTGAACACTACTTTTTAAGTGACACTGGGACATGCCTCAACTGTAACACTAAATATGGAAACTGTGCGAAGTGTGACAACACACAATGCTTCCAATGTGACGTTGATAATATTCTTCACAACTCCGAATGTGTTTCGAAGACTTCTACACAATGTGGTGCGGATAAAAACTCGGTTTGTTTCCTATGTGACCCACTGTATTACAATCGCTTTGGCTGTATTCCTTGCCCTAATAATTGTAACTCTTGTAATGAACATGGAGAGTGTCTTTCATGTAAAAATGCGTACTACTTATCCGAAGGAATGTGTGAGAAAACAATCAACGAATCGAATGCAGACTCTCTCTCTTCCATCTTCATGTCTTGTGACAATTTTGTGAACGGGAATTGCCTCAGGTGCAAAGTAGGGTTCTATTTAGAAGATGGAAATTGCGAGAGATGTGTAAAAACGTGTTACACATGTTCTCAAGAGGCGTCCAATTGTACTTCATGTAAAGGTGAGAACGTCAACTTGGTGGGAAGTGATTGTGTCACATACGACGCGACGTCTAATCCGTGTTCTGCTTCTAACCCAACGAATACAGGATGCTCTATTTGTAAAATTGGGTATTACAGAAAAGGTACAAATTGTTATCAATGTCCAGAACATGTTGTTGAGTGTCAAAGTGACATCTTACCTATCAAGTGCGACAGTGACTCTTTCTTGTATCAAAATTCAAAATGTGTTGCGTTCACTTCACTTGATAACTGTTACCAAGCAGACACCACTGGATGTGTAAAGTGTTACTTTGGATACACTGTAGTCGACTCGTATTGTAAACCATGTGGCGCCAATTGTTTGTATTGCACTACACCTGATGTCTGTTCCTTGTGTAAAGAAGGTCTTGTTGTAGAGAGTGGAGTCTGTGTGAGTTATCAGAAAGTGTCACATTGTAAAGAGAGTGATGGAAATTCGTGTACCAAGTGTACACGTGGGTATACTCTATCGAGTGGGGTGTGTCAGAAGCAGTCTTTGTGGTATGTATACCTTATAATAGCTATAATAGTATTAGGTATCATATGTTTAGTAGTATTGATAGTTGCGTATTATATTGTCAATAAGAAGGTGAAAGTGAAGAGAGAGAACATATCCCGCATCAAAGAGTTGAAAGACAAAATTGATTTGGTGTTTGCCACGGACTTTCTTGTGTGCGACCACCCCAATTTTGAGTTTTATGACGAAGAAGAACTTAAAGTTGGTGAAACAAAGAAGTTCTCTATTATCATTGGAAATGTTGGGAAGGACAAAATCAGAATATCGCCGTCTGTTGTCGAGAATGTGAAGTATGAACTCGCTGTGGAACCTTACTTAGTGATTCTCAAACATGGGGATTATACCACTTTTAACATAGAAATTAAGCCGTTGTGTTCAACTACAATCAACGACTCGATTGCATTCAACGTTTTACACTTCAGAAATGATAAAGAAGAAATCTTTTCAGTCAACTTGGAAGGGTCCACAAACATCACAAACAATTTGGACTACGACCAACTCGACATCAAGCGGAAAGTAGGCGAAGGTTCATTTGGAGTTGTTTATAACGGATACTTAAAAGGGGAGGAAGTTGCTATAAAAGTACTCAAAGAAGACTCAGTGACTGATGAGAAGCTTGAGGAGTTCCACAAGGAAGTTTCTATGTTGGACAAATTTAGAAGTCCCTTCATTGTTCACTTCTTTGGAGCCGTCTTCATACCGGGGAAGATGTGTATGGTCACCGAATTTGCAAAATACGGCAGTTTGCAGCATCTCATCTTTAACACAAAGACTCGGAAAGTCCCACGTGAAGCAGTTCGAATCAAAATATGCCACGACTTCGCTCGGGCTTTGTTGTACTTGCACTCCAATGGGATTTTACACAGAGACATTAAACCAGACAATGTCTTAGTCTTCTCTCTCGATAAGAACATTCCAGTCTTCGCTAAACTGACCGACTTCGGGTCATCGAGAAATTTGAATATGTTAATGACTAATATGACATTCACTAAAGGTATCGGTACACCCGCATATATGTCTCCTGAAGTCTTGGAACAGACTAGATATAAGACACCAGCAGATGTATACTCATTTGGTGTCACTATGTATGAAACAGTGTCTTGGTCGCATGCCTTCAAAAAAGAGGACTTTGGCTTCCCGTGGGAAATCGCACAATTCGTGACTGAAGGAAAACGCCCGTTACAAAACAAGTTAATCAGTGATGGGGCTTTTGAAGTCATTACCGAGTGTTGGGGGCAAAATCCACAAAACAGGCCGAGAATGGAGGATGTCTGCAAGAAATTGAGTAAGCTCAACACTGTTTATGACTAACTAATTATTGGATTATTTTGTGTATTGGTTATATATTATATATATAATACTATATAATACTATATAATACTATATAATAATTACTATTTTATTCTAGTTTATTAAATTATAGTAAGTGGAATAATATGTTATTTAAAGCTTTTATATAGGTATCACCAGAGTGGTGGGTTTGCTAGCCAAAGTGTTGGCGAGACTTGTTTCACCCAGACGAAAATGTCTTCATCCAACTTGCACAAGTCTGTTTTAGTAATGAAAGGGTTGACGACAGCGACGTATTCTGCCTCTTCTACTCGTTTATGTAATATATAGTAGTCTTTGTAATTGATCATTTCCTCTGTGTATTGTCGAGAAAGTGCGTTAGCCACGTCCCTTTTCTGTTCTTTAGTAAATATTCCAGTGGTATAGATTTGGTGGTTTTGTGTGACGACGATATTTAATACTTTATTTTGTGTGATGAGTTGGCACTGAATGTCTGGTGTTGATATTTCGATGTCTTTCATCATATTTTCGATATCGCAACAGAGAACATTCAACGACTGAAATGATTCTGCCTGTGTAGATATAGCGACAATAGTGATGTCTTCTGTATAGAAGTTGAAGTACGATTGTACAAAAGCATTTTCTAAAATTGAGAGATTGAAGAATACATACAGTTCAATACAAACCATTGAAATCAGACAAACACATTGGTAACAACACTTTCTTCCCAACTACTTTGATAGTGTTGACATGTGCTATAATCGCTAATATGTCTCTTGTGGACATTTTCACACCTTTTCTTCCGCGCGCAAAGACGGTCTTATTCCGATTCAATATGAGAACAAATAAGACCCCGTCCTTCTCCATCGTCTTCTCACACGTGTTAATCGCAAAGTCTATTTTGATGAGCAACTCCTCGCGGTGTTTGCTCTGTAACGGAAAGATTTCGGTGCACCCCACACAGATCCCAACCATTTCGTTCGCTAAATGAATCGCGTTTTTGAGTAGCGAGTAGTGTCCCGCTACAATTCGTCGCAAATCAAAATTACTCGCATTTTGAAGTGTCATTTTGATCGTCGGAAGTGAGATGAACGAGTGTAACACGTGGATTAATATCGACAACTGTCTTAAAAGCACCTTTTCATATTCCCCCGTCTTTGAAATGATGCAATACGACAGCGGCGTTGTTGTATCGAAAAGTATAATATTGTCTGGCGCATGAATGGACTGAATTGGATCTGATGAAGTATAAGAAATCAGCGCTGTTAGTGTCGCTGTTGTGGATGACTGAAGAAGTACATTCCCATATCGACAAAACACCGGCTTTCCAGCTGGCGTGAAAATATAGATCTGTTTCTTGTGGTGGAAAAATGTCAGAGAAGTCGGGTCTTCCTTTGAATGAGCCTCCCAAAGTGCTTCAGTCATTACATTTAATGTTCTTTGTGGATATTTTTTTTTTCAGTTGCGCTATAGTTCTTTTTTATTGTTATTTTAATTATATTATAGAATATGTTCACACTACTCTCTATTTATAGTTTTGACTATATTTTAACTATAATTAATCAAATAAAAAAACAATAAATAAATTTGATCTGAAATAATATTAAGTCGTATATATAATAACATTCTAATAAAATAATAACAAAATGTATTAATGTTTATTGTTTTTTTAATAAATAAATAGATAGAATTTATAGTTCGAAAAAAAAATTTGTGGTTTTTAAGAAAACCTCAGATTTTTTTAATTATAAATATGTTTCTTTTTGTCGCATTAAAAATCAAAAAAAAATGGCAAAATTAACTTCTAAACTATAACCTCAAGTAAAAGAACCAAGAAAATATAGTACTATTGTTGCTTTGTCGCAAAAAACGAAACCAATCAAATGAAATAGTAATCGGCATTATAAGCTTTTTTACACTCAATTACCACAAAAATTGACATAAATGTCGTCGAGTATTTATAGATATTAATTTTTTGACTTTTTATATTGAATTTAATAATAAAACACAAAAGTAGTATAGAAAAAAGAAATTATAAATATAGTAAACTTATTATATTAACAACTTGAATAGATAATGATAATTTTATGAAAGTAAATGAACTACATATTTTTTTATAAGTTTACTAGTTAAAAATAGTAGAATAGTTATATAACTCTTTTTTATCTTTTTGAAGAGTCGCGTTATAAAACAAATCTCAAACAAAACCATATAAATTCTATAAATAATACATACAATGTTGAGACGAAAAGAAATAACTTTGAACGATGTTATTGATTCAAAAAGAAAACTTTCCAACTTCGGAATTCAGAACCGATTTATGTCAACAGAAAACAACACGTATGAGTCATTGTTCGACAAATGCATCAGAAACTCATCGAAGGGAGTCGACTTGAAGATCCTCCCCGACTTGACAAAGGGGATGGAAAGTGCACCACAGCAACTTTTCAATGCGCTCAAAACAAGACTGGAACAGCCATTTGAAGAGCAAGAATTGGTGAATTTGTTTGTTGTTATTTTGTACTTGTCGTTACAAGAAAAGGGAGATACGATATTTATGTACCTTCAGTCGATCGAATACAAAGTGAGTGAGTTATATAAAAAGACCATAAAAGAGGAAGGAAACGGGTATGAGACCTTTGCTGATTTCATTGATGCCATGGACGAACTTACACTGTTTAAGATACCAATTTCGAATACACCACAGATATCCTTTGAAGGAAAGCAGAAGGAAAAGAATATGATGGTTGGGATGTTAGGTTGGTTACTCTATGGCATTCATTTAGAATAGTTATTAATAATTATTAATATAAATAACTAATATGCAGTGGGAGTATCTAATATATTACAAATATTACTCGACGTCGACTATAATGGACTCGAGAACATGTCGAACAAAACAGCTGCAGAGTTACTTTTTCTTTTGTTGCATCATATGAGTAAAATCCACCACTTTTTGTTCTGTGGAATTAGCAACTTTTGTTCCTCATACAAAAACATCGACTCTAAAAATATGATGGAGAAGATGATCAAAATATTCAAAGTCTTTGGAGAGCAAAACACAACGGTCGCAGAGATATTTAACAACCCAAATCTTAAAGTCTATTTCAAGGAAGTCCCTAATGTACAAAAGTCCAATTTGTCACCATTCATTCAAGTGTTGGAAGACTATTCCTCGGTGACTTTCGATGGGGGAAAGTCCTCCATTTTACTCGACAGACCACTTATAATATCCGAAGTTATTTCGTCGACTAAGGACAACATCGCTTTCATCAAAAAGGCACTCTTCATTAACGAGAGCAACAAGAACATCTTATTTCTCAAAGCCTCTAAAACTAAATCGAAGAAATCACCCCGCTTCTTAGCTCTCTTCTCAAAGACCAAGTCGGCTAAAATCATTTTATCACCAAGAACACGCGCAGAGATCATTCCAGAGAACGACGAGCCTAAAGAACAAAAAGACAAAGAATCTTCAAAGTTGAGTGAAACACAGAACGTCACGGAATTAACACAACCAACACTTTGATATTCCAGAATGTGTTTTTTAATCTATTCTAACTAGTAATTGCTTGTCGTTCCAAGTATAGTAATTTATAATAAAATATAGTATAATAGAATAGTATAGTATGTATACTATACTATATAATACTATTATAATAGAATTGACCACTAAAATTTCATTGAACAGAAACTCCCAAACACGACCTCTTCAAGCTTCAAAAAGATCGGAGTCCTCTCTTCTCCGTAGTCTCCACCAACTTTCTCAAACCGGTCAATACACTCTTCCTTCATCTCAAACAATTTCTTCAATATCCGCTCATCAACAACACTACACGACGTCTCACTCCCTCGTAACACCCCACCTAACTTTCTGGACTTTGCTGCTAATATCAACTGATTCTTCAAATTTTCAAGCTCGAGGTCTTTTAAACAATTATCGAGGAAATACAGTTGGTCGGGCGAAGTCATTGTGTTTGGCCCGAACATCTTTGAGGTGTCCATTTCACTCTTCACATTGAAGAGTTTCTTCCAGTCGTCGATCGGACTGGACTTTCCCAAATCCTTGACAAAGGCTTTGAGTTTGAAGACCACCGTCCCCGTCTCGCGTTTTGAAAACTCGACCATTGTTCGCCAGACGATTTTGGACTTCTGTTCTTCGTACTGCGCCACTTCATCCCAGTACATCGTCTTCTCATACGAAAATCCCTTTTCAATGATCATGTCATGTTTTTTGGTATACACTGCGCCTTGGTGGAGTAATAATTTGACTAACTTCCTATTCCCGTCTGAATTCAAAGCCGTGTCCAAAGCAGTTTCGCCCGTTGAAGACACGAAATTGAGAATTTCGTGTGTGGGGTGCATCATAGAGAAGAGAAGAGTCTTCTTGGCCTCGGTAAGCTTTGAGAGTGCCAAATGGTGGAGAACAGTCGTGTTATCAGCGTGTGTTGTTGCACCAAGCATGTTATCTATTGTACTTGTGAGAAGAAAGAGGGCACACTCACTACTGTTTGCATCTATTGCACAAATCAAGGGAGTCTCGCCTAATATGTTTTGCTTCACAACATAGACATTTGGGTTCTTCGAGATGATCAATGCGATGATCTGCTTCAAAATGTCGACGTGGTTTGTTTTACATGAAATGTGAAGTAATGTGTCCAATGTCATATTATCTACAAACTCCAGAATTGAACGGTGGTTCGAAGAAATTAAGTCTGAGAACATCATAGAGTCTCCTTTCTCAACGGTTGTTTTAATAAAATTATTTAACTACCAATCAGCGCGTGTTGAGTGATACAAGAAACAAACAAATGGTTGTTTCTGAAGTTTCTTTTCAAAGTCGTTCAAGTCGTTGTAAGCAGACAATTCATTTTGCTCATTTAAAGAGGACGTTTGTAGTGATAGTGTTGGTGACTTATCGGGTTGAGCTTGTTGAGATTGTTGTTGGGGAGGTTCTTGTGGCTTAAATGGAATGACGTTGCCTTTTCTCTGGGAGTTGGCATTGCGTTGGTATGTGTTATTTGGTGGGTTAAGTACTTCTTCCACTACTTTTTGTTGGTATTGTGGTGGAACACTCGGACTTGAAATAGCTTTATCTAATAAGCTTTGTTCCATAGTATTATAGTTCTTTTTTCCTTTTTAGTAATTTTTATATAAATAATAATATGTGTTATTATTGTATTTTATATAAAAAAAATATAAAATATATTATTTAATTAAAACTATAAAAATTAGTATAGTTTAAAAAAAAATTATTATATTAGTTTATTATAATTTAGTTAATTGATAATAACATTTTGGTTTTTTAAGTTAAACACTTTTTTTTGAATAGTTCTGTTTGCTGTTTCATTTTGATAAATAAGACCAAATTGTGCAAAAATTAAATGATGGTAAACATTGGATTGTACGTCTCGACATAAATAATCAACGTAATTGTGATTCAAAAACAAGACAAAAAAAACACGAGTAATATTTATTTTTTGTTTTGATTTACGAATTAAACCACAAATTTTCGGTTTATCAAAGCCGACAATTTGTCGAATTGTCAATAAAAAAAGTTAACTTGGTTTTTTATTTACAATGACTGCAAAATTTTTTCAAATAAAAGTCTGTGATAATTTTGTAAATATAAATATAAAATATTGCAGATAAAATGAATAAATATTTTTTTTTATAAAAAAAATACTATTTTAAATAATATCTAAACCTAATAGTTATTATAAATTTTTAAATTTTTTATTAATTATTCATTAAAAAATATTACAATTTTTCATTAATTTGATTAATTATAAGTATGATATATAAATTGTAGTTTGACAAATATATGAAAAGTTAAAAAAAAGTAAAGCGAAATTCTAGTCTATTTATTATTACAATAATTCCTTGAACATTTTTCATAATTTAAACCCAAAAATAAATAATTAACATTATAATATTATAATTTATAATAAAATATATTATAAAGTTAAATATAATAGACTTTTAGTTTTATAAAAATGTTTTTAAAAAAATATATAATTATTAATAACTATATTGTTATTATTTAATATTTTTTGATATTAAAATAAAAAATCAAGATTAATAATACAAATTACTAAAAATAAACCTTTTAACGACTTTTTTTTCAATTACAAAACGAAAAAAAAATATTCAATATTTCCCAATTTTTTTGTTTTATTTATATCATGAATATAAAGTCAATTTTTATACCCTTTTAGGATAATGTTTTTAATTAACACATAAACTAGTTTTTAGAACCATATTTTTAAAAAATGTTTAAATCGCCCAACCGCACTATTTGGTCAAAACTGTTATAACAAATATAGTTAAAATTACCAATAAAGTTTAGTAAACAATCAAAAAAATAAGATAATTAACACTTCTGTTCCAAATTCAAAGATGGACACACTGTTTCGAATTTTCAAAATTGTTAGGAGCAAACCCCAAATGATTTTGATAAGTCTTTTCAATATCCATCTTTGATTTCCAGTAACAGAGATGGGGAATTCGGCAAGTTGCCAATGCACATGTTTGCAGTCGGGGACTTTAGACGAATACGTCCATCCGAAGAAGTCGCTGTCACCACTCAAAAAGCTGAAAGTATTAGAGTCTCCAATAGTTTCTGAAGAAGAGTGCAAATCTTCGATATACACCCATCCACCCTCTGAATTGTATAAACGAAAAAGTGTGAGTCCGATGACACCAATACGTTCAGTATCATCAAGTTCATTGTTTACAAAGAGAACACCAGTTATGATGCTTTCAACCCCATCAGTTTACACTAAAGAAAAATCCCAAACTGTTTTGAAAGACCCAAAACGTCTAATAAAAAGGTCGACGACGTCTTCAAAACTCTTGGTGAACTTTTCCTCTAAAAACAATTCAAAAAATTCGTCGGGAACGAACACCCCAATTAATGAATCTTCGCCCGCAATGGACATTGCATCTCCAGACATCCAAATACTCTTTTCTCCAGTGTTTCAGAAAACGCCAACTATACTCTTTGATACAAATGAAGACGGGTGGGACACTAAGACATTCAACGCGAAGATCTCTTGTAAAAAGAACGTGATGGTTGTCTGTGTGTTGGACGACAAGTCATATTTGGGAGTGTACTCCGACGCGCTAGTCCCGATGCCGCCAAAGGATGAAAGTGTCGTTGTGACTGCGAAAAACACACTGTTGTTCAGTAGCCACCCATCTTCCGAATCGCCTTTAGTGTTTGAAAAATACACAAAAAACACGAATTGCTTCACTATGCACTCTAACACACAACACTCGCTGTTATTCACATGCTTCTCTGCGTTTTGGATCAAAACGAACCAAATGGTGTCGATCAATTCTCACGTAGCTGAACAGTACGAAATCACAACGACAAGGTCTTTATTTTGGTCTTCATTTTCTAAAGAATACAAATGCAATAAAGTCCTTGCAGTGGAGTGGATTTAAATCTGTATGTAGTATTTCCTTTCACTCTTTACTATTTGTTATTATTTATGTTGGGTTATTGATTCACTTATATCAATTATATCAAATATTTATATTATATATTTACGTGTGTATAAACAATATGAAAGAATTGATAGTATTAGTCAAGATGTATTCATAGACTTTGTTGTGTCACACCACTTTGTAAATAGTCATTTACACAACTCTATATCGTTTCTGTCACTTTGTCCCTATCACCGTGATCTTTGTGTTCTTCTTCCAAAACGCATTGTACTTCTTCCACATCTTTTCTGCACCTTCTTTCCCTTTAGAAATTGCCTTCTTGTTCTCTTTCGATAACTCCCCACTCCGGGTTTCTTCAAGTGTTTTGGAGATGTCAAAGAGGGTATCTTCGTTCTCGTTAACACGCATTCTTTGAATAACATTCTCGAGGTCTCGGGCAACATAAAATGAAGGCGGGGAGTTCTGCTTCATCACGATTTCTTTGAGCATCAACCCATACATTCTCACTCTAAAAAAGTTCACAAGCTTTAACTGCCCATTTTCACTCTTTTCATTTTCTTTGGTAAAGACTAAATCACCAAGAGTTGACCCGAGAAAGGGCACACATGGCGGTTTACACACATTGGTCATCTCACGGAGCTTTTTGAAGTTTGAGTCGTAGTCGACCAAGTCATTAAATTCACTTAAAGTCCTTTTGAACTCGTCGCTCAGTCCGTCGAAAGTGTCTTTCAGTCTAAAAATAGGAGACGCGTTGAGAGCAGCCAAAATAGATTTGAACCCATCGAAGTTGTGTATCTCTTTCATCTCTTGAGCCACTTTAATAAAGTACTCAACTGCAAATATCCTGTGTTTTAACTTGGATAGAGAGAGAATAGTAGTCTGCACTTTATATGAGAGAGAGTTGGTCATTTGCATCATCTTAACTATATTTGGAGTGATGACTTTGTTCTCCTTTTTCATCCATCCCTGTGACAGTAACTCCTCTACTGGAATTCTTCTGAATAAGTCGTATTGCATTAACATGATCTGTTGAGCAACATCTTTGTACCAAAATGCAAAGATGGCACTTAACACATCGAATTCACTGTTTTTCCTCACGTCGACACCTTCATCTAATTGTTCAATCGGCTTCGTGTAATTCACTCTCAGCTTCTTCATATAGTCGGACATAAATTGAGCCGTTTGAGGCTTAATCTCTGAATGAATTTGAATAATGTTGTCGACTTTGTTGCTCATGTTCTCATTCATAAAATCCGCACATCTCCACTTCGCCCACGTCCGGATGAAATTCACAATTTTTGTTCGAATAGGAACTAACACGGTCTTAACAAAGACCTCCCAATCCATCTTTTCGGGCTTTTGTGGGCTCATTCTTTTTGTTAGAATATCCATTAGACTCTCTTTTGTTGTAAAAGTAGAATACCCAAAAATAAGACATTCTGCAAAATAAGAGTCTTCAAAGTCTTGTCGTGTGATGATCTCTATCATCTTCTCGTACGTCGCCGTCTGGATTATTTTTGTATCCCACCCCTTCTCTGATGTGAACGTAACAAAGTCGGAAGAGTCCGGTTTTTCAAATAAGTCGTGTGAGGCATCGGGTGTATAACTGCTTTCAAGTATCATCTCCAACCCACTAAAATCAGAATATACAGACCGCCGTCGTGACAGTTCTGACTGTTCTGTAACCTTCAAATTGTCGGTGACAACCATCGAATTGCGTTTTTTAGCTTTAAATGGAGGAGCTAGTTGTTTGAGTGAAACCCCATTTTCAGACTTGCCAGTAAGCTCTAAGAGAAGGGATGTAGCTACTTCTTCTTTGCATATTGGACACTGCCCATTTGCTTTCACTGAGTCACAGAAACACTTGACACAAATCTGCTTCTTGCACTTTGGGCATTCTGTTGTGTTTCCTAAGCCGTGGGTACAATCGCTCATGTATTGATTTCAAGTTTAGACTCAGTTCCACATATAATTTTCATGGAGTTTTGGTACTTTTGGATATTTTCAATACGCCAAAACGGTTAAAGAATTACGTCATATGAATTATTATGAATATCTCGAGTCGTATTGATCTCATTAGTACTACAATATCGGGGTTTCTAAAAACAAGTTTTTTCCAGCCAAATGCTTGGAAAATTCCATTATTCGTTTGGAACACTAAATATCAGCTTTTATAATAAATTAACTATACTTAAATAATACAAGTCGTTTATTTATATCAGCATTTAAATAGACATTTGCATCAAATCATCATATTATTGAGTTGAATCAATTTCCGATAAAAACGCGTTGATCTTTTTGAAAAATAGAAAAGACTACAAGAGGAACCCATTATTATATGGACATTATTTATAGACCAAAAACCCCGGGCAATAACAAAATTTTCAAACTGTTCTTTTACTCCGACATCACTTGGGCAACTCCAAAACAGGGACAAAACTGGTTACTTAGCCTCGATGACCTCTTCGGCCACCTCTTTGATTTCTTCTTCGACTGGTTCTTCAGCTGGGATGGACTCGACAACTTCATTAGCGTCTTGATGTTGTTCGAGGAGTTTCAAAGAATCAATTTTACCGGATTTGAGGATCTTAACCTTACGGATGTAGACGTTGTCGATTGGGAAGATTTTTTCGGCTCTTTGGATGATGGTTTGGGTGAGAGTTGGCTCTCTCAAGAAGTCGACGAACTGTGGCAAGTCTTTATTGATGGCTTGTTTAGTGATGATGGCTCCCATGATCTTTCTAATAAGTTTGGCTTGTCCCTTTTTAGCATATGAAGTCTTCTTGATCTGACTTGGTTTTCTTGTGGTGAAACCAATGCAGAAGACTCTGATTGTGTTTCCGTCAGTAGTCTTGACATCGACAGAAGTCTCAATCAACGTGCACCACTTCTTGACGATGCTTCTAAGTTTGTCGGTGGTCAATTTCAATGAGTGGAAGACCATCAGGCAGTCCTTGCCATTGACGTCTTCGCATCTGAACTTATAGTTGTAAGCTCCATACTTCTCACTTTCCATAAGATCAGCCAAGTTGACCTCGACAACACGGCCTCTCAATTGGTCTGAAGCAACTTTGGTACCAGTGGTCTTGTTGACTACTATTTGTCCAACATTTCTTCTCTTAAAGTTCTTGGGGACCTTCACGTTGTACCACTCCTTCTTCGAAAAAGGCTCAGCGATCTTACGCTTGTTGCCCTTCTTAACGTTTCCTGCCTTATACTTCTTGTTCTTGCCTGTAGCCATGTGTCTTGGAGTGTTTTTTTCATAGGGTTTTCAAATTTTTATTACAGAAGCTTTTAGTTTCAAGTCAATGGATTTTTATGGTTTTGGAATAGTAAACTCTTTTTTAATTAATTATACTAATTGAGTAGAAATATATAGTATAATGAAAGTAATAATTTAATTAAAACAATTAATAATATTATTTGTTTGGGTCTTTTATCATAGTTTAATGATTTAAATTATAATATATGAAATTGATTTAATAAATCAGTCATAAATTATGACTGATTTATTGTTTTTTTTTAGGTTTTTTTTAATATCTTTGAAAATTTTAATAAACTGTTTTTTATATTAGTTTGTTTATAATATATTTTTATAGTTAAATTTTATTATTGTTATTATTTTTTGAATAATACAATTTGATAAATAACTTATATAAGTTTTATTACTACTAAAAGATACAATCTAATAACAATAGTATTTTTATAATTATTTATAATTAATTTAAGGAACAAAGAGCACTTCACAAAAAAAGCACTCAAAAACTTTTATTAACAGAAGATGTCTCAAACAACAAATGAAATAATGTATTCAGATTGGCCTCTGTATAGGGTGTATGACCAATTTAGTGGTGGAATGTGGAAACTTACAGACGAACAAAAGAAAGAACTTAAAAAAATTAAAGAAGGAGATGATATGAAGCCAAGAATCAGCACAACTCAAGAAAATTGCAAGTACAATGCATTGGTTGCTGGTATTGTAAGTGACAAAATCGATAGTCTTGAGGAACAAATAAAAGACTTGAAAAATCAGAACGAAACTCTGCAGACAGAAAAGGGGGAACTTGTGAAGAAAAGTGAAGAGATGCAAAACAACATCAACAGATACACATACATGGATGAATTAATGGACGACCTGGAAAAAGGTTACCAAGATGATACCACACAACTAATACAACACTACGAAAAGAAACTCGCTGAAGAAAAAGAATATCGCATTAAAGATCTTACTGAAGAAAAGGAACACCATGCAAAAGAAATCCGATCTCGTTGTGACAAGAATGAAAAGAAGATTAAAATGTTTCGAGAGATGATCCATCGACTCAAAGTTGCTCATCCCGACATTGAAGAGTTAAAATTAATGACATTAAAATTGACTGTTTCTGTATTTTAGTCTCCATTTAATTTTAATAAATTCAGTTACATTGAAATTATATTGTGATAATCAATCACTTCCGACTAAAGAAATTTGACAACTTTCATTTTTTTAAAAAATAAAAAAATGTAAAATATTTGTTACTAACCGTTTTTTGAAGAAAACTATACTTACTGGTAATATAATTATTTAAGTATAATAACGACAACGAAACACAAAAATAATGTGGTGAACTGCTTTTCTTATTGCTTGAATGTTGCTATTTGTTCTAATAGTGTGTACCATCGCCGCAGACTTATCTTCATATGGGACGTGTCAACCCGCTTTTGGGATTTCGTCCCCTTCAAGATTTCTAATGAAACAAGACGGCGCTTACACGACGCCTTACCTCTGTGCTGAATTTAACTTAAGACCTGCTTCGTGGACTACGGATGATGTGTATATAGTTGGGTTTACCAACTTTGGGATCACATACGCCAATGATGCAAATGGTATAGGAAGAGTCTATTTTGTATATAGAGACACGTCTTCTGTTAGACAGAAAACGGAGATCTTAACTGCGACATATTACGAGTGGCACAAAGTCTGTTTAGCGTCGAGTGACTCGACACATGTTGGTGTCTACGTCGATTCAGAAACTCAGTTAAATCAAAGTGTCGAACATGCGACTATGACTTCGAGTGATATGGAGTATTATATAGTCTTGATGTCGTATCCAATATCAGGCAAACCCGGGACGGCAAATGTCGGGACAGTGTCTGGAATAGTCTACGGAGATACTCTGTTGACTGTTGAACAACTTAAGAGTTACTTCTCAAATAACATAGGGCCTCTTGGGAATAAATTTGCACTTGGGACTCGATACAGCGGATACACCACACAATTGCTTAAAATGAGCTTCACAAAAAACACGGGGAACGTCAGCGTTTTGTCGCCAAATTTTGGACTTCCAATGATCGACGACGGGTGTTACGAGACAGCAAAGGATACATTGCCGATACATAGCACTGTAATTCCAATAAAGAGTGTCGATAGTACTACAATCAGCCAATTTAATCCTTCTAATGCGTTTACTATTGAAAATGGTGTTATTCGAATGGATGCGGAAGATTACTTCTTACTCAATGCCGTCAATACAAACAACTTGAGAAACTTGAAAATAGAAATCGACTTCCAAGGAATATTTGAAATTGATTTTAAATATGGAGAAGAGTGGGTCGAGGGAATCAAACCGAAAAGTCTGTTGTTCACACCAAAAGCTACTTATTATCTTCCATATTTCTTGATGGGCGGATCAACAGATTTGAAGGTCAAATGTGTTGCTCCGGGCACTGGAGAGACTCTGTGTGTCTTGAAAGAGTTGCGTGTGATTGAAGAGAAGTGCGATGTGTATTCTGAAAATATGTTTTGTGGAGTCGACAAGACGTGTGGCGTGTGTATTTCGTCGAGTTGTGTAGCCAAGAATTACTGTGTTAAAACATTCAATTTTTCAAATGAAGTGACCTTAAGCGCAACACAACTGCAATTGAATTCAGTTGAAAATACAGACGTTTCTCTCGTCACAACGTCACTCTCTGCAGTGAAAATATCAAAAGGTAATGATCAAGTCTTGGGCCAAAAAGTTCAATACTATCGATTTGAAGGAACAATAGGGTTAATCGAAATTGGCGATTATAAAGTGCCGAGTGGCTTTGGTCGTCTTACGAATGAATATTCTTTGTTTATAACTGTAAAGCTGAGAGAACTTTCAGACGGTTCATTCTTTGTATCTTCTGGGTATTACCAAACATTGCAAACGATGGTGTTGAGTATGAAAAGTTCGATCATTTCAACTGCAAGTCAAACGGGAACAAAAAGTGCTCAAGCAGATCAATGGATGACTCTTGGCATTCAGGCAAACACCACACACTTTAATGTCTTCATGAACGGTAATAACATCTTGAGTGAAGAAAATGTGACTGCAGTCGACTATTTGAACGCAAAGACAATCCACTTGGAGTCTTTCATTCACAAGAATTTTGATATCACGTCCGTCCAAATCGTCCCATTTTATATGTCAGACGTTTTAATGAACAAATACACTGCTTTTAAGTCTTTAGTGTCGACAACGTGTACCACTCCATGTACCCTTCCTGCCGTCTGTTTTGACGGGAAGTGTGTTTCAAAATTTGATAAACAGTGTGCTCTCCATTGCAATGAATGTGTTGATGGGAAGTGCAACTCATGTCTCTCCAATTATGATCTTACCAAAGACTGTTCATCATGTGCAGAAGGGTTCTCAGGCGAGTTATGTGACACGTGTGCAGATGGGTATAACGACTATCCAGCCTGCACCAAGAAGTCCAACACTGGAATCATTGTTGGTGTTATAGTTGCTATTGTAGTTATTATAGTTATTATAATAGTAGTCATTATATTAATTATGGTATTACTTCGATACCTCCGGAAGCATGCCGAGAAGGTTGAGCAAGAGACTGAGCTCAAAGCTGTTGAGAACAATGGGCAGAGTGTGTTACTGAAGGAAGCGAAGAAGAAGAAAGTAGTAGTGAATGATGAGACGTTAGTTGAGTTAGGAACGTACTTGTATATCACAAAGACTAAGCTGACATTCAATTTACACGGCGAAGAGCCTAACATCGACACACCACTCTTAGACCAAGTCGTATTCAAAAATAGAACAGACAGACAGCTTGTCATTTGGATACAATGCCCGAAGAAAGATAAGTTCTTCTTGCAATGCGACGTCGAGAAGAAGATCATTGACCCAAACAGCCAGATCCAAGCGAATTTTGAAATCCAGTTACACTGCAACTGCTCATGCAAAGAAGAAATTAATATCAAAATCGAGACGGTCAACACACACGAATGCGAGACGGGGAATATCAGACTCGCAGTTGCGACGTACAACAGCAAGAAAATCGACTTCGACGAAATCGAGTTGAAGAACCCGCCACTAGGTGACGGGGCGTTTGGTGTGGTCTACCGCGGGACTTACAAGGGGATTGAAGTTGCTGTCAAGAAGTTGAAGGATAGGTCGGACAACGAAGGTGCGAAGAATGAGTTTATGAAGGAAGTTTCGTTGTTGGACAAGTTGCGAGGGCCCTATATAGTCAGTTTTGTGGGAGCGTGTTATCTACCCACGAAGATGTGCATAGCGATTGAGTTTGCACCTGATGGGTCTTTGGGTCATGTGATGAAGAAGAATACGTTAACATACGAACAAAAGGTCAAGTACATGTTGGACTGTTCGAAGGGGATGACTATGATGCACACGTTTAACACTATACATAGAGATTTGAAGCCAGACAATTTGCTTGTGTTCTGTATCGACCAGGTCACGACACGGATTGTGAACTGCAAACTCACTGATTTTGGGACATCAAGAGGAGTCCAAGAGTTTGAAGAGAATTATACTGTTGGTATTGGAACACCAGTATACATGGCGCCAGAGATTCTGGATAAGAAGCCATACACTGTTACTGTCGATCAATACAGTTTTGGAGTGATGATGTACGAGGTCTTCGACCAGACTAAACCATATAAAACAGACCAATTTAAAACCCCTTGGGACGTCGCTAAGTTTGTTGTTGAAGGGAAAAGATTACCAAGAAAGGAGGGGATGAGTGAGGGATACTGGGAAATCACTTCTCGATGTTGGGATGTTGACCCAGCGAAACGACCCGAGTTCAAAGAAGTCGCTTTGTTACTCCAAAAGGAATTGTCACTAACAGTACCTGAATTTGCTATTGAAGAAGGGCAGAGAGTTGATACACAAATGTCATTCTATAAGAATCCAAGTGAAAAAACGCAGACATCAACAACAACAACAACGTTGACAAATACTAATACAACTAATATCGCTTATAAAACAGGAGACTCAACTGTATCAAAAGTCATCAATACGACAACTTCCGAGTTTGATGTTAATTAGATAATTGAATCGTTAAGTCTGTGGAGTGTTTTATAAATCCAGAATTTTTTTTTAGTGTTGAGTAAATTACTTTTGAGAGGTTACAAGTTGTTGTATTCTACTCCATTTTTAGAATGTTAAATGGTATTTTTATAGTAAAAATATTATAAATAAACTCTCCAAGAATCTATTTTAAGACAAAGTAGAACAAATCAATAAAAACACAACCCCACAGTTACACTACGTCAATGATATGGAACTTGTCTTCAAAGGGTGATGTGAAGAATGTCACTGAATAATTTCTATCTTCTCGATACGGGACAGGGAACAAGAAAGGGATATTATACTTCTCTATTTTTAGTATCTTAGATTCGATATACATGATTCCTCCTGGTGGTGCTTTTGTAGGTTTTGTCACTGTTTCTCTTGTGTTAGTTCTGAACACGTCGACAGGGACATTAGTGGATGCCACATAAAGAATTAAAACGCCCCTATTAATTTGTCTGAAGAGGTCTAAATAGTCGTCGAACAAATCGACCATCCCAGGCTTTTTCTCTTTCAATTCAGTCTCAAGAATAACGCCAAAGGCTTTAGTTTCTAAGACTGGTTTACTTTTATCGACTGTGCCTAAGTCTACAACAGTGATATAATACTCTTTCTTACCAATTAAAAACGAATTACTCAGAGAAACCTTATGGAATCGATCATACAATGGTGGGAGTGTCCCAACAGTAATAATATCATTACGATCGGTAGTTAACGAAACTATTTGTTCTCCCTCTTTCACTTTCAATGCATTTCCCCGTCCATTTGGTTCATAGTAATAGTACTCTTCTAATGATATTTCACTCTTTTTCTCAGTGAAGTTGCTGATCACCTTACACTGCTTTTGTTCGTTGAACAAACAAATGACGCCAAATGGTCTGGACGTGTTGTACTTCACAAACAAATACTTGTCGAAGGAGATGTTGACCACTTTCACGTCCTTCGAAGGAGTCGTGTAACTCAAATTGACATCTATCGCACTATTCAAGTTCTTCTTCATCTCATTTAACTCGTTCTCGATGTTCACTCGTTCGTCGTTCACTTTCTGTAATGCACTCAGAACCACCTCTTTGTCGTGCATTATCTGTTCGTTGATGATGATCATCTTCTCGATGATCTCTTGCTGGTCCGCTATTTTGGTCTCCATGTCTTCTATTTTTGCTTTCATCACAGCCACCGTATTGTGCAACTCAACACACTCCTCGACTTTCTCACCGTACTGTGTCTTATAGTCGAACCCACCTTTAGGGGGATTAACTGCCTCTTTTTGAAGTGGACAACTTTCATTGTGTTCTTCCTCTTCCGACTCGACAAGATTGTCTGATGTGTCAGAATTGTCTTCACTTATTTGGTCGGTCTGGTCCGTTGGGGTGTTCTCTGACAAATTCTTTGGTGAAGGACATGAGGAAAGTGTTTCACCATCGTGAGAACTCATTGTTCGATTTCGATTTAAGTTCCAAAAATATTTTCAGTAACTTTTTTTCAAGTAGGTATTGTTTGAATGGAAGAAGAGACGTCGGAACGCTTGAAAACACTTCAATTAATCGAAGAATATATTGCTAAGAAGAATAAAGAAGATATCCCAGTGAATTCAATGGGCGCCGAGGCTATTGCTGGAATGACTCAAAACGCTTCTAATAAACCCTTTTACACCTTTTTGGGGACGTTCTTGTCGCCACAAACCCACGACGAGAAAACATTTGAAGCAGTCAAAACCCTTCACACCACCTTTGGCGAATTAACACCAGAAATTATAAATCACACGTCACTCGAAACACTTCAAAAATGTATTAAAATGGTCGGTTTTGCAAAGACAAAGTCCAAAAGGTTAAAAGAGTGTTGCAAAATTTTTATAGAAAAATACGATGGAAAAGTCCCTTCAACATTCGACGAGTTATGTGCACTGCCTGGGGTTGGGACAAAAATAGCTTCTCTAATTCTGGCAATTGCTTTTGACTGCCATGTGGCCATTCCAGTAGATACACATGTATTTACCATCTCAAATCGCCTTGAATGGGCAGATGCAACTACGCCAGAGTCCACACGGATTCAATTAGAAGAGTGGCTTCCAAAAGACAAGTGGAGTACTTTTAATAAGGTACTTGTTTCTTTTGGGCAGTGCTGTTGCACTAAAAAGTCTCCAAAATGCAGTGAATGTCCACTCCAACAAGCCAGACGGTGTCCCTATTACCTTCACACTCTTCAAAAGTGACTAATTTCTTTATTATCTATTATTATATTGAATGATTAATTAATGATAAAGAACTGCACCATATAAAACTTATTTCGTCATGATATTCTTCAAGCATACGCCTCTAGTTTGTACCATCTTTGGTCTCATCTCAGCATTCTGATATGAAGAAATCTGTCCATTGATTAACGAAGAGAGGATATACTCTCTGATATACTCTTTTGATATGTACGACCCTTCCGCTGGCATAAATGGCTCAAACTCGGGGACATCCGTAGCTCTCCACGTCTCGACAAAGTACTGTGCCGACCCATCTCCGACCATTCCCGTCGGGATTTTTTTGATGACCATGAAGATGTTATTGAAGTGCGACTTGAATGAACTTAAGTCGACCACCTCGTCCCCTTCTTTGTAGATCAACACACAAAAGTCGTTGCCAATTTGTCGCTTCTTTTCAGTCTTTTGGGGGTCGGCCTCAACGTGGGGTAACATCGAAGCAACGTGGAACATGACTTGTGACGAATAAAATTGTGTGAAGAGTGAAGTGACGCCAGTGGTATCCGTGTCGACGTCCAACCCTGCTTTATACCCTTTATGTCCTTTCAATGGGATGATATTCCCAATCAATTGGATGAATTCCTTATACTCGGGTGTAGTATCTTTATCAGTGTTGTCGTACATCTCCGCCTCGCTCGTCTGTTTAGGCCCACAATACAACAACCCAAATTTGTAGTCGATGCCTCCTTGGGACGTCTCATAGCTTCTTAAATTCTCTTCAAGCTTGTCGCCTTTAATTAACTTGAACGGCATCTTCTCGGGCACTCCTAAGCACTGTAAGATGACCGGGAGGACGGAAGAGAGTTGGTTCAAGTTAGTCTTGAGTTGGTTCTCCTTCTTCCCAATAAGACTGAATGGGATGATCTTCTTGATATCTGTAAGCTTTGATCTGTAGATGACCATCAATCCACCTTTCTTCCCGGGGGGTGCCAAGTCGTCTGTGATAGTAGTCATCGACAACAGTGCTAAAGTGTCTTGACTCTTACACGAGAAATTGATATGAGGACGACCAGAGAAATAACAGATGAACCATGGACAGTCTAAGGGGATGACTCCTACCCCGTCATACACTTGTTTTGATCTTATGAAAGCGGCTCCTTCTGCTAAATTAAGTGTGTTCTTCTCTGAAAGTCTCTTTGTCGCGAACATCAGAAGGTCATGGGGTGGCTTTCTGTCATTCACAGAAGTCGACGTCCGCGTTGGAGGGACCTGTTCTGTTTGTTCCGTCGAGCCTTTGTCAGTGGGAGCATCTTCGATAATTTCGACTTCATTGATCTCTTCCATGTGCTCGTCAGTGTCGAGGGATATGATGGGAGCACTTCTCGCTCGTGTGGAGAATTGGTCGATCTCACATTGGATGTCTTGGAAGTGATTCAACGTGGAACTGAATGCCTCTTGAAGACACTTAACCCCCTCTTCAAAGCAATCTTTCTTCTTCTTGTACATCTGCACGTACACATTGGATTGTTTGTTTAGCACTTTTAATTCCTCTTCCATCATATATATCTCATCAGACTTCGACGAGTCTGGAAAAACACTTTGAATCTTTTGTTGGTTGTTTTTTAAAAGAACTAGACGGTCGCGGGTGGAGCTTTGTATCGTTGCAATTTCAGCTTCCATTTTTGTGTTCAACTCGTTGACTTCATTGATTTTGTTTCTGATTTGGAAGGTTAACTCTTTATAGCGGTCTCTCTCTGCTATCAATTCCTCGGCATTCGACATTCTCTTGTGTTTTTGAGTTTCTTGGCATGTAAAAAACTCGGTATTCTGGGGTGTTGGAACTGTATTTCTATTTTTATATCATTTGCTTTGGTTGTCTTTTTTCAAGCTAAAATTTAATTTTAATATAGTTGTTCGAAACTAAACATTATTTGTACTGAAAAAAAAGGACGAATATTTTGTAGAATTGGTACGATGAATTTGTTAAGTCACTATTTAGTTTTTTTATAAATTTTTTTATTGTTTAGTATAGTTTATAAAAAAAGTTTAAAATTGTAAATAAAAAAATACAAATTATCTTATTAAAAAATAGTATAATATATTTTTATAATTAAAATTATATCTATAGTTATTAGTAATTATTATGTTTAATAATAAAATTAATTAATATTATTACTAATAGTTATTATAATACATTTACTAATAAGACTACTAAATAAACAACTAAAATTTATAGTATTATAATAATTAATTTATATTAATTAATTTAAGGAACAAAGAGCATTTCACAAAAAAAAGCACTCAAAAACTTTTATTAACAGAAGATGTCTCAAACAACAAACGAAGCAATGTACATAGAATTGCCTTTATATAAATTATATGACCAATTTAGTGGTGGAATGTGGAAACTTACAGACGAACAAAAGAAACGACTTCAAAAAATTAAAGATGAGAAGAAGCCAAGAACCAACATTGCTCAAGATATTTACGATGGCAATGCATTGGTTGCTGGTATTGTAAGTGACAAAATAGATAGTCTTGAAGAACAAATAAAAGACTTGAAAAATCAGAACGAAACTCTGCAGACAGAAAAGGGGGAACTTGTGAAGAAAAGTGAAGAGATGCAAAACAACATCAACCAAATGAACAAATACATGGACATATTCGTGGCTTTAGACGACCTGGAAAAAGGTTACCAAGATGATATCACACAACTAATACAACACTACGAACAAAAACTAACTGAAGAAAAAGAACACTACGAAAAGCTAAAGGAACACCATGCAAAAGAACTCACCAAAGAAAAAGAACATCACACAAAAGATCTGGCTGAAGAAAAGGAACACCATGCAAAAGAAATCCGATCTCGTTGTGACAAGAATGAAAAGAAGATTAAAATGTTTCGAGAGATGATCCATCGACTCAAAGTTGCTCATCCCGACATTGAAGAGTTAAAATTAATGACATTATAACTGACTGTTTCTGTATTTTAGTCTCCATTTAATTTTAATAAATTCAGTTTAATTTAATTATTTAATATAATTTAATACATTTAAATTATATTTTTTTTATATAATTTTTTATTCCAAAACCTTATTTATGGACAAAAATGGTTTTTTTTTTGTTATTTGGTTTTGTTTTTCAATTTTATTATTTTTTTCGTTTGAAATCTTTGTTTTTTCAATCAAAACGAACTTAAACAAATTGACAATTTTGATTTTTTACGCTCAAACATCGCGTATAACAACAGAGAGTGGTGCCGTTGTTGTAAACGGCAGTTGGGAGGATTTTTTGTGTAAAATGATACACACAACACAAGAATTTGACAATAACCAATTTCTATATACATCAAATAAAAATAAAAAACAACGAGACAAATCATAATTGAAAAGAACACTATGATTGGCAGACTCGAACATCAAATTGCAGTTTAGCGGTCGAGTAAAAGCCGTTAACAAGAAATTGTCTTAACTATGTGGGTGTCTGTTTGCTCTCCGAAAGAGTGTCTTAAAAAAGTAAAAAAGTACTTTCGCCTAAAAGCCAAATTTTCAAAAAATAATCCAAAAAACTCAGTTTGTTTACGGTATTTTCCCGTTATTTTAGGTAAATAACACCATTATTATCACCATTTATTGACAAACAGAAAAAATGAAATGATTGGCTAAATGACTTTAACCCCATTTATGTTGTTGGTTGTGTTATTGGAAAATAGTTTAAATAATAGTAATATTTATTAAACATCCCAAAAATGCTTTTTTTTCAAAGGGAAAAAAATAAATAAGGTTTCCAGACTAACTTTATTGTGAAAATCAACTTCACTTATTCATTTCTAAAACTTAAGAAATAGAGTGAAAAGGTCATTTTTTTTGAAATAAAAAAATTCGTTCAACATTATTGTTACTCAAAATAATAAATTTTATAATAATTTTGTTTCAATTTATCAAATAAAAAAATTAATCAATTGTTATTAAAGAGTGTTAACGTGATAGACCACTTTTGTGAGGATGGCTTTGAAAATCTTACATGTTTTTGTTGTAATTGCGATTAAATTTGCCTAAGAGTTTACAAAAAAATAAGTTTTTTGGACCGAATTCATAAAAAACCGATTTTTTTGAAAGTTAAAACAGAAAAATCAAATTTTATTTTTAGTAAAAGTCATCTTTTACTTTTACCATTTAAATGAATTTGCCGCAAAAAAAACAATTTTGTTAAAAATTTAAGACTAAAGTTTTTAATTAATTAACTTTAGTTTATTTAACTAATTGTATAAACTATATTTAATCAATAAAATTATTGAAATTGAATATTTTTATATAAATTGTTTCATAATTTGTCATAAAATACTGAGGCATAGTTAACTGTGGATAGGCTGAAAAGGTGTGGATAGTAAATATAGACAGACAATCTTTATTATTACATGTTAAATGTAATGAGTAACATGACTTGTTTTTTTTAATGGTTTTTGTTGGTATTTGCCGTATGTTTCTATTATAATTAACTAGTATTGTTATGATTTTTTAATAACATAAATAATAACTTATTGTTACAATGTGGTAATTTGCCATTTAACTTTTTAAATTTTTATAGTAAAAATTACATTTTATTTAACTATGCAAATAGAATTTGTTTTGTGATTATTCTGTCATTTTTATGTTCATTAATAATATACTATTGTAATATAATTGATTGTTATTAATTAATAGTTTAGTTTAGACATAAAACCTTTGTCTTTAACATTTTCAACAAAACCTGAATATTATTTAGGATGTAATACCCGTCTTTATACGTATAATTTGCGCAAACTAAAAGAACTTTATTCAACAAATTTCAATTCCCAAATATTACTATTAAAATAATAAACTAATGGAGTGTTTATATAAATTATAATACTATTAGTAAAAAGTGATAATAAATGCAATTTTGAGCCACAATTAACAATTAAATAAAATATTTTAAAATTGATATTTAAATTAAATATTTTTTAATGCAAAAAACGGGAATTTTCCCAAATTATAATCACATAAATCACTTTTGAAATGTTTTTTCAATTAAAAAAATCGAAAAAATAGTGTTATATGTATCAAATAAACGGGATAATACACGTAAATTTTGTTAATTATTTTATTTGTTCATTTTGATCTATTCTTATTTTACCACTCCAAAAAAAGGCTGAAAATAGCGTTTTTTCTTACTATGAAATTATTGCGAAATTTGGAAATACTCCTTATGGGGGTATTTATGTTTGTGTATCATTTTTGTCCCATAAATGATTATAAGTAACAATTATTAATTTTAAAAATCATAACATATGGTTTAAAACGAATATTTGGGTTTTTTCGACAAAAAAACAAAAGGCTATCCACACAAAATATTCCAATCCACAGGGATTCACCATTTCCATGTGGATACGCCCTATCACGTTAACACTCTTAATTATATTTTTTTTTTCAAATTGTTGCTAATTTTTTAATAAAATTTATAATATAAACTGTTTTTCAAAATGAAAGATATTAAAAAGATTAACATCATTGTTAACCCTACTTTGATTTTTAATTTGTAGATCAAATAAAAACATTTTATCATAGTAAAAAAAAAAATTGTTTTTATTTACAATGATACTAATAATTAATAATTAATAATTAATAATTAATAATTAATAATTAATAATTAATAATTAATAATTAATAATTAATAATTAATAATTAATAATTAATAATTAATAATTAATAATTAATAATTAATATTAAACACACAAATTTTATAAAATACTATACTAAACTATAAATTTTTATCAAGTAAAACTTAAAACAAGAAAAAGAAAGAGATGAATGTATTAGGTACTCCCGAGTTACGTCTTTCTGCGACACAAACACTTATAGAATATTCACTCTCTCCGCTCCATCAAAAAGAGGCGTTTGAGTTGATGGCGGCATTAGAGAAATATCAGGACTTCCCAGCAATTTTACTTCGACTGTGCCCGACACAACGTGACGACATTCACATGTCGATCACTTTAATGATTCTGAAGAAAGAGATGGACGCGTTGTGTCCTTTAGACCCTGTGGAAGTCACGAAGTACCTTTTGACTCTTCTCCCCGCCTGCCAACCACAAACACAAAAGTGCGCCAACACACTCCTCACACACTGTTTTATGGCATCGCCACTCACATCACAAATGATCATTCAATTTGTATTCCAAGCACTTCAAAATGTGCAGATCAATGCATTCATCCCACTCAACTTGTTTTGTCTTGTTATTACCGATCACTTCGAGGAGTTGAATAGCTCTTATTACAACTTCATCCAACAAATCCTTCAAATTGTATTAACCAATTTTTGCAATTACAACTGTAACGTCAAGGCTTTGGTCATCTCCGTGTTTACTCAACTTCTGGTGTTCGAGGCGCCCTTTCTCTCGAATGTGTTGAACACACTCTTTGTGACATTCTGTGACAATATTCCAGATGATGTCGAATACCGAATGTCTGTGTGCACCTTCTGCACGATGTTGCCATCGATGAACACCAAATATGGGAGTGCTATACCCGACATCAACAACGTCTTAAAAATCACTGACGTGTTCTTCCATGATGTACACGACAAAGTCTTTGTCGAGGCTCATGAAATAGTTTTGGCTTATGTCGAGTTCTATCCTGAGCAAGTCGTCCAATTCTTAATCAATGAAATGCCACTTCTGTACAAGAGATGTTTACTTACAGACGCATTAATTAGAGTCGAAGAGGAGAATGAAGCACAGAGGAAGAAAGATGGGGTGCTTCTTCAAGACGATGAAGTGGATAACAGCGTTCGTGGGTGCACCTTTGCAATGTTCGACGTGATTAACTCGACATTTGGCGATGACGTTATACTTCCATTTATACAGAGTTGGGTTGCTGTATTCCGGAATGAATATCAAGTGAGTCACGACTGGAAGTGTCTTGAATTGCTCCTGAAATTCTTAGCGGATTCCTCCGTCTATTTGGACACCGAAAGATTCTTAAAGGCGATGCCTGAATTGGCTGTGTTACCCGTGCAAAATCTGAATAGTGAAATACCACTGATTAAAGTGAGTTGTTTGGAGTATATTGGATACAACCCTTTGATAGTGTCGTCGAACAGTAAAGAGATAGTGAACCAAATCTACCAATACTTACTCAGAAACATCGGAGATACTAATTACACTGTTTCATGCACTGCACTGCACACTCTTGCGAAATTGGCAGATTCTAATGTGTTTGAGGAACACAACGACGAGCTTTTAAAAATGTTTGTGCCGATGGTACGACGTGCGAAGGGACAAGTCTTATTCAATGTGTGTGAATTGATAACGAATGTGATCAGTTTAGACAGAGATCAGTATATAAAATACCAAGACGACATTCAAAAAGAGTTGGCGCAAGCCATTTACGAGAACATGGGGAGTGAGGATTTGGTCGACATGTGTTTGACAACGATATTTAGCAATGTGATGCTATTCGAGAGGACCACAAACGAGTTATCGAGTGTTTTGATTAAACTCTCATTCGACACAATTTCAAATTACTTAGGAACTGATGACATTATAAACCAAAGTTTAAGACTCCTCTCGCGATTATATCAGCAGAACACAGACTTCGTTTCGAATTTCATTAATACCAACAAAGACACCTTTTTCAAGTTGTTTGAATTGTGTTTGCCAAATGACAATGGGAAAGTCATAGAAGACTCTTTTGGGTTCTTGGGAGACATAGTCGAGAAGTGCAGTCAATTTGTATTAGAACATAAAGAGTACTTCATGCAAGTCTCAATGAAAAAGTTGAAGACATTTAAAGATCGAACAATATGTTCTGTTGTGTGGTATTTAGTTATGGTTGAAACGTTCCTCCCACATATTATTAAGTCTGTATTACCAGACATTCTATCTGCTTTAATACAGACTTTACAGTCAAAAACTATCGATGAAGATGTTCAGAAGAATGTCTTGCTCTTCTCCGCAAAGGCCATTTCAATTGATCCAAACAGTGTTTTGCCCTTCTTCCAATTACTTACGAACAACACTTTTAAAAGTGTGTTGCAGATCAAAAGAAAGTTATTTGTCTTCGAGACACTCGTTAACTTTGCCGGAGTGATAATCAAGTACCCCGATCTGTTTCTTGTCAACAAAGAAGTCCTTCTCGTTGTCTACAAAACCGCATCAAGTGCCTTTCCGGAGTTATCGGAAGTGTGTCAGAAAGTGCTTTCGTCGCTATCAAAGTGAAGACCTAACTGATTGAATAGTAAATTAATTGTTTCATTAAAGTGTGAGGAGTTGTTTAATATTATAAAGCACATGAATCCACTGAATTTGGATGTTCTGTACACTCTCATATATTTTGTCAATCTCTTCCACAGTGATATGTACCTCTCGCGACGCTTGCACAGTTGCTGTGTATCCGTTAAAGATATACTGAATCGTTGTATAACGACTTGGTAGAGAAATTTGCTTGGTGCCTTGTGGGTAACCCATCATCCCATCTCCGCACCCCCATTCGATTCCCGGACTGACAGATTCATCGCCGGGTTGTGCGCTAATCGATCTGTTGAAGAACGAATCCTCCATTGATGGCTTTTTCAAGTGACTTGGAAGCTTCTGAAGAGGTCTTGAAGCAATTTGGAACGATTGTCTGCTCATCTGTAATGATGTTCGTGGGGTGACTGACTGGTTCTCATATGGTTGAATAGAAAGTCCAAATGTTCGAATGACAAACTCTCTGTGTTGGATGTATATTTCGATGATACAATTCGATGGGACGTGGTCTTGGAATAAGAGAGATGGCTCATATTCCGGGAAGAGGCCTTTACTTGGTTTTGTGTCTAACAACTCCAAAGCAGTCGCACACGACTTGATCAAGTTTTCTATAGTCTTCACGTACTCGCTGCCAATGCTGTCGTACTTTTTCAGTTGGTCAATTTCGTTAATGATCTTCGTACAATTTCTGTAGAACTCCTGCATCTGAAGGATTTGGGACTCTCGGACTTTGGCAAACACTGTCTTTTGCCATTGTTGAAATGAAAATCGAATTTCAGAATTGTTACAGAACCACCCATCAAGTTGGAGAACACCTTGGAATGTTCCGCTGAATGTTATTCTTTTTACCTTTAGAAGTTAATCCCCTTCGCCTTAACACTTATAAGAATACCTAACTAGTTTAATTGACCTGTTATATCGGGATATATACTTTATTTAATGGGTTTCCCTCTTTTTTAGTTGTGTAATGTAATGCGCATTATAAACTTCTAAATTTCGGGATATTTATTATATAATCTCCAATTTTCCCGATTATTAGACCATTTGAATATTGTTCATCGTTATAATAACACTTATAATAGAATTTGTAAAAAACACACTCTGGAAGTTGAAATTTGTATGTCTTCGTTTTGTCTACATTTAAGTTTCATTAGTTAATAATAATTCATTATTGTATAACAATTATAAAAATTTAATAATAAGAATATAATTATACAACAAACTATCCCCAGCGCTTGTGGATGGCATCAAGTAGTTCATACAGTCGTTAATAACGGGTTCCGTGATTTTGATGAGTGGTTTAATTTCCTGTGTCAAATACCATTCGTTCTCGTCGAAAAACTGTGGTAATAGTGGTGTTGACGATGGGGTTCTTTTTGGTGTCACCGTGAAGAAAGCCATATTTACTATTCCCAGTCGTATTTCTAGTTTGTTCTTATTCTTTTTTTTGTATTGAACATTTCTCTTTCTTTTCTGTCTTACTACCTTCTTTTTACTATATTTTACTATATTTATAGTTTTGAATAATTCCTCATTAAAAACACACCAAATAACATTCTGAATAACAAAATCCCATTTATAACAAAACGTCCCTTAAATTTGGTCGTACTCATCATCATCAATGTTCATCCGACTACTGAATGTATCTGGCGCGATGAATTGTCGTGTCTTCAACATCTCAAACACCCAAGTCAAGTCGACAAACTTGGAGAAAGGTTTGAATGATGATCTTCTTGTGATTCGCCTGTTTTCTTTCTTGTCCTCTGTCGCTTCTTCGGGCAAGAAGTCGATGTAAAACTCAAACGCATTTGACCTCCCGCTCGCATTCTCAACAAACTGCGCTCCAATCATCTTGATGAATTTCTTCGCATACTCAAACTCTTTCTGATGCTTCAATTCAACACGTGCTTTTTCTGTTCCTCTTGCCATCTCTTCGTCGGCATTTCTCTGAATTTGGACAGAGAACTTGAACCGCTGATCGCTGCTGTCTGGCGAAAACGAGATGGGTTGTGTGCCAAGATTAGCAACATCGGCAATGTACCCCCTCAAGAGACTTCCTGTCTTGAGATATTTCAGTGGAAAAAGCGGCAGCAAGTAATTTTTAAAGTCAACATACGACGCATCGCAATGCTCAAGATAAAGGTCACTAATGATAAAGTACCCTTGCAAGATACAACACAGATATGCCATTAAACAGTCTTCACTCCCCTTCTGCACCACCAAAAACGTCTTTGTCTCGTCGCCCTTCTTATTCCGCGTTTCTTCAACAAGCTCCGCGTCTTCTACGGGCGTCTCCGATATGGCCGGATACCCCGCTGACGATATTCCACCGTCATATCTGACAAGGTCTCTGTACTTCAAATTCAGAAACTTGTTATCCCCAAAGTAAAACATATTCCCTTGTATCCCTTTCTTGAAATCTGCTCGTCGTTTCACACTGTGGATCGACATGCGCTTCGTTTGAACTTCCCCCGCATCTCCAACTACAACCTCCTCATCTCTCTCCTTCCTCTTCTTTGCATTGTACTGCTGTGAAAACGCGATCGCCTCTGCATATTCCATGTTTTCCTTTGCCTTCTCATCGTTGTACCTCTTATTGATCTCTTTGTTCTCTTCAAGCATTTCTTTGCCATCGTTATTCCCATCACTCACATTATCCAAGTTGTTTATTTCTTCTTCCTCTTCTTCCATTTCTAACTCAGCTTGCATATCCCCACTGTCACTGTTAAATATATTGCTTGGAGTATCAAACATCGAATTCACAAACGCGACCCCCTCGTCGTCATATTCGTCTTCATCATCCTTTTTGTGCGCTTTTCTTTTCACCGCTTTCTTACTCTTCTTAGTGGACTTCTTTGGTTTGGGGGAGTCGTACTCCTCGCTCGTGTATTGTTCCTCTTGGTCATCCTTTTGAGTTGTTTCCTTTTCCACTTCTTCAGCACTGTTCTCCTCATCTTCCTCCATCTTATTTGTTTCAATCGACTTGTTCGTTGCTTTTGGTGTGCTTTCAGAGCTTTCCGTTTTTGTTGGTACCTTGTCCTGTTCAATTGGTTCTTTAAGAGTTTCATCTTGTCCAACAGGAGTGGAGTCTTTCACCGTTTCTTTCTCTTCATCATGTAAAGGCTTTTCCTCAACTTCCATTGGAATTCTTTCAGGAACACTTTCCGTCTTTGGTTCGATCTTTTCTATGGAAGGAACACTCACTTTTGCGTCTGCAGTGAGGATCCCTTGTTTCACATCTACCTCATTCATCCCCACGGTGTTGATAGCCTCTTTCATCATCTCTAGTTTCTTCTTAGTGTCTTGGTGACTTTTCTTAGTTGGAGACTCAAACGTTGCAATGGAATATACCTTCACCTCGAAAGCCTGTGTAAGCACCTCCACGTGTTCTTCTTTGTTCTTCTCTACTGCTTTGTGAGCTTTGTCAAAGATGTCTTTGGGGGGCTTTGCTTGACCAACCCAAAAGATGAAGTCGCTCCCGCCAAACGAGATTAAGTCGCCGTTTTCAATACTCGCGTTTTCATTCACTCTCGCGCCATTAAGTGTGACAACATCATTCGAGCGCATGACTATAAACCCCTTTGGGTCTTCTTTTGTAAGGAAGACCAAGTCAAATGAATGTGGAGATACACACTCTTTGAAATTTAAGTGATTGTTACGACGACCAACAGACATCGTAAGTCGATTGAAGCGATGTGTTTTGCTCACTAAAGCGTCGTGTACAGTTCGGCTTAAATATTTATCCATTAGGATTTGTTTTTTAAGTTGGAATTGTCATTTTCGTTTTGAGGAATTAAGATTTTTTTTCAATAAAAGATACCATACTTATATCATTAAAATTATCATTATTAATGGTTTATTGTGTTTCTCAAAATCTTCACAAATTTGTTTTAAAGGAAATAAATTCATTTATTTTTTTATACTTTTCTAATTTAAAAAAATATTTTGTGATTATTGAGTTTTTCTCTTTTAAAATATAACCTATAACAAATTATAATATAAACTATGAAATTGTTTCTAAATAAATATTTCTATAATGACTTTATTATAGTATCACAACTACAATTATTATTATTTGTTTATTAAATTATATATAATTGTATTAAATTATAAAAATGTTTTTATTGAAAAAAAACATATAAAAAAACAAATAGTAATATAATAATAAATTTAAAATAAAAAATACAATCATATTATAGTTTAATGATAATAAATTTATTATAATTCACCATAAATAATAATCAAAATAAATAAAAATACAATAGTTTTTTTATTAGTATAATCAAACCATTTTTCTCTATTTGTATAAATTAATTAACAATAGTATATATTATTAACATAATATTAAACAACTTGATGTTATATTTGATAAAATGTATTCTATTTTATATAATAAAAACCAAAAGCAATTTCTTAAAGGTTTTGGTACTTTGACTTCTCGCTTGCCTCTCCTGGAGCATTACTCTTCTTGCACTTCTTGATGACAAACAACGTGATAAGGACAACGACAACAATGAAAATGAGAGCAATAAATATGGAAAGGACGGTTATAGCAACAATGAATCCAGTTGTCATTCCACTCTCACTACTTGATGCAGATTTACTGTCTTCACTCTTCGACGCACTTTCAGAGCCTTTAGATTGCTCTGATGTTGTCGATGATGTTTCGCTTGAGTCTTTACTTGAATTATCAGATGATACTTCAGAAGATGCTTCACTTGTCTCTGCAGAGGATGACTGTGATGGTACAACACATTTTCCATTAATTAATTCTAACGTTTCAGTGCATACTGAGCATTGTGCAGTTACTTCTATTGCCAAATTAGTGCACCCCTCACTTGCTGTAGTCGCTTCAACATATCCATCTTTCTCCACAAGAAATAGAGCAACGCCAGTAGATGTCAAATCGTTCTTTTGAGCCAAAGAAAGTGATAAAGTTAGTGGTGTTGTGACATTTGGTATATTCAAAACATTCTTCTCTCCTGAAATCGACACAATAGGGTCGACGTCAACCATTGGATCTCCAGTTGTTGCCTTCTGAGCAGAGATATCAAATTTGAACTCTTTTGTTTCTAGAACTAAAGTCCCTTTTTTCACAATGACAGCACTTGGCTCCTTTTCTACAACAAAGTTTTGTGCGATGTAATTCTCCGTGATCACTAAAGTACACTTCTCGATGGTATTGTCACATGGGCAGTTATACACTCTCTCCCCATTCTCATCATTGAATACACCAATGTCAACGGCATAACAAATAGAAGTCTCCAAGCCCATTTCGTTACACTCAAGAGTACCTACTGTCAGCGCCTGATTAGCACAAGACAGTGTTAAATCAGTCACATTAAGTTCTCTGTATTTATTGATAGCAACAAGACCTTCACCAGTAACTGCATTTAATGTGATTTGTAATGGGACATCAGCCGGGTCCACAACAAGAAAAGTGTCGACGGTTGTGTCTGTGAGTGTTTTCGTCATTACAATTGAGTCTAAAACAACTGAGTCGCATGTCTCAGTGATTGTGATCAAATTATTGCCAGCAACTACATTCTTCAAAGTTATGTCTGTTGCAGTAACAGTGGCTTTTTTAAGTATAGTAGTGTTCGCTAATACCTCGGAATTGATAGTGACTGGGATGTCCAAAGTAAGTACTCCCGACAACAAACACTCTTTAAACTCAAATGTGTTGCCCACAGATTCTTCACTCTTTACTATATGTATAGTATCTGTAATAGTTTCTTCTGATACAGTCAAATCTTCTCCAGTAATTTTGTCGCAACTGACTTTCCCTCCAATAACTATTTGAGCTCCAAAATTACATATTTTGGAGTAGAGTGAAGGGGAACTTAAGACGGACTTGTCTGTCGCATCTATATTTGTCCAATATGAGTCATCTTCACTTTTGTAAGTCCCATCTACTATAAGGTTATATGGCGAATTTGGTCCTCGTTTGAATACAACACAGTCTTCTTCTACAACATCGCCATTAGTCGAATGACACTCGCATTCTAAGTCATCATCAGTAGCTACATATCTCGACAGTCCCATCTCAAACTTGCCAACACAAGTCTTCTTAAGTCCAGTTGGCGCGTCGATGTTACTTAAGAAGTAGACTCTCCCTTCAGTCAGTTTCGTCACGTTGTTCACTTTCAAATGTCTGTTGTCACCGTAACCATCGATCTTAGTCGCACCACTCGACACGACCATCTCGTCGACATTAACGTCGCCAAACAACAAGAAGTACTCTGAGACATACAGTTTGTCTATAGTCAACACTGCCCCATTGTTCACTACAATACGGCCATAGTCTTCAGTGAACTTCACGGACTTAAAATGTGCGTCTTCGTCAATGACAAGAACACCATCGACAGTTAAATCATAGTTCTCGCCTTGTGGCAAACAATCTGGAGAACTGAATTTGTTGTTGGTGTAGTAACATGTGCAATCCTCTGTGACAGCAATTCCATCAGGGCAGACTCCATATCGAAGTTTATCGTTCTTTAATGTGCACATCTTTTGTGCGACTCGTCCATTCTCAATATATTCAATAGGCTTAGCATCACTTGGCGCAATTATTCGTGGCTCACAGACTTCGGAGGTTGGCGCCTTTGTCATTGTAAATGCAAAGGAGAGGGATCCAGTGGCTTCAACATATGAAATTGGTTTCTCCTCGTCGAAATCGAACAGCACTTGTCTGTCGAAAGAGTCGAAGTTGATCAGAGACTGACCAACACCAGCAGTGTATACCGTGGTTGGTGCTGCTGTTCCATTGATATACACATCAACGTTTTCTATGTTAACTAAGTTGATGTATAAATTCGTTGAAGCAACTGTGTTGTCTATTATTAACGTCTTAATTGGACATATTTCAGTAAGACCAACATCAATTGTGTTAATAGCATTTCCAGATAACTCGAGCGTCAAGTTGGTGTTTGTATCAGACAAGACAAAGTGAGTCTCTTCCGGTGTTATATCGACAGTCCATCCATTTTTAACACAAGTCTCTGTGACTTCAGTTAATGTGGCAACTGTGTCAACCTCACAATAAGTCTTGTCTTGTGACAAGGCTAAAGTTACGATGAGGAAAATGAACATTGGATTGTTGAGATAAGATCACTCTTTATATACTATAAAGATATATACTATTATTATTGTATCTTTGAACTTATTCATATAAAATTTCAATCGACTTTTTCATATTTTTTTATATTGGTTTGTTGATAATTTTTTATAATTAAATTAATAAATTCATTTTTCAATCATGAAAAGTCGAAACAAAGTTGATATTTTTCAGTTCGATTGTTATATTAATAAATTTTATTAAATAATAAAATTCATAATAAAATTCATAATATTATACTAATATTGAGCTATTATTATTATTATAAATATATTTAAAAAGGATATAAAAATAATGAATTCTTATATTATTAAAATGATTATTAAGAGAAAGGACGGACATGGGGACGAAGGACGGGAATATAGGCCGAAAGACGTCCTTTGTGGTTTAGGGACGTCCTCCCGCTATAAAGGACGTCCTCCTGTGTATATGGTGTCCTTTCTATTATTTTCGTGTCCGCGGCATTATCGAAACTATATAACGAAGTATATTTTTATTATAAATATACAATCAAAAAATATAATTATTTCCAAAAATAAATTAATTCAAAGACAAAAACTATTTAACAAGTAATTTTGTTATATATTAATGGTTTATAAAAATTATCATTTTTTTTTCATTTTACCATTGAATTTTCTTTGAAAAACTAATTAAATTTGCATTTTTTATAAAAACCATTAATTTATAACGAAATTACTTGTTGTTTAAAATTTGTCTTTGATTAAATTTATTTTTGGAAATAATTATATTTTATAATAGTAAATTAATAGTAATATTATAACTCATTATATAGTTTTAAAAATGCCGCGGACACGAAAATAATAGAAAGGACACCATATACACAGGAGGACGTCCTTTATAGCGGGAGGACGTCCCTAAACCACAAAGGACGTCTTTCGGCCTATATTCCCGTCCTTCGTCCCCATGTCCGTCCTTTCTCTTTAATTTAATTTAATATATCAAATATTTATTATTATATTATAATATCAAATTATTAATATTATTTATATAAAGTATATTATAATGTATAATAAATATATAATTAATTATAAAATACAATATAATATAATTGTAAATTTATTTGAATTTAAAAATTATTTTTTTAATTAAAAAGTTAAAAATAATAAAAAACTAAAAACGATAAAAAATTATAAAAATATAGTTGTGCCAAAACCGACATTGTTTTTTTTTTTTTCATTTTCTATTTTTTTCCTAAAACAGTTTTTACCGCTTAAATTATAATTACAGAAAAAAAGAAAACAATAATATTTAACCAAATATTATTGTTAAATGTATTATATTATTTAGTATATCGAAGCCCTAAAAAACAACACTCGAAACAACTAACAATAATACCAATACACTTTTAATTATTATATTATAACTACCAACAATTAAAATTTAATTTGTTGAATTTAGGAAAAAAATATCTCGGAATTTTTTTATTTAATTGTTTTGGCACGTGGACTGCATTATCAATGATTTATACCATTTAATAAATTATCCCGATTTTTGTTATTTATTTCATATAATTTATTTGTTATAAAATCTCAGAAATACAAAAAATGAAAAAGTGCATCTTTTTTTTTTTATTCACTTGTGGCATGGTTGATCTCCGATTGATAGTTTTTTATAATATATATATTACTATTTCATATTTCATCAATTTTTAGAATGTTATTAAAGATCGTTGTTGCGAGATAACTTTCTTAGATGTCTTTATTGAATTGATCCATTATAATCAAAGTTTATGAATATAATACATTTATAGTTGAAAATAATTATACTTCAATATAATTTTAATACTATTGGATGTTATCTTTCATTAAAAATAAAATTCGAAGATGTACGGAAGGGGGTGGTTTATTAATTCATTAACTATATATAACTTTCAAATTCAAAGTTCTTTATTAAGCATTTCCTGTTCTTTTACGGAATTGTATGTCAACCACCAATCCTTAATTAGTGACTATTTCCCGTCATTTGAACCATAAATATCTTAAAATAACCTTATAATCTCAATAACTGTTTTTCACAATCCAAAATTAAGAACTTATTACAACTTAATTCAATCGCAAAACCCCGATTTTTAACATTGTATCTCCGATATTTCCCTTTTGTTTTACACAAAAAAGCCTCGGACAGTTCACAAAAAATTTTTAAACCACAAGTTAAAGCATAGAATTGTATGTTCCACGATCAACTATTATATCTTCGGGATACTTTCCCATAGAAATCATAAAACCAAAATTTAAAAATAGTTTCAGGGTTAGACCAATCTCCCAAAATACAACCAGAAAAAACAAAGGAAGGAAATGGAACACTTTCTGAAGTTTAGAGTGGGGGATGCAACCTCCCATAATATCGGGCATAAATGATAACAAAGGCCTTTTTGGCATAACGAAATGGAGAATTGATAGTAAATAAATAGTAAAAGTATTAAGCGAATGAAGTAACTGGACAATTGATTTAAAAGGGAACTGTCAACTGACAAAGTGAGCATGAACACCTCAGAGATCACTATTTCCTTCTCGATCCAATACCAAACAATCTACGGCGAGGAGTTATATGTGAGTCTCGATGACTCGAGTTATCGTAAATTGACATGGAAGGCCGGTCATATTTGGGTAGGAAATGTGACCATTCAAAGACCAAGAACACTGAGGTGGTCGTACTCTGTGCAATACAACGGTGTTGTTGTTCGTCACGAGCAACTTCTTTATCCTCGGCAATTCAAATTCGACGCAAACCACAAATTTTTCCACGTGTTCGATAGGTGGGACTGCACGCAGTCGAGCGTGTCCCCACTTACCATCACTAAACCTCAAAAGATCGAAACAACAAATTCGGAGGTTGTTAATAAGGGACAAACTTATTCGCGAAAACGTTCACCTAAAATATTGTCCGTCTTCGTTCGAGTCCCTCAGAGGGTATTGGTGTACAACTGATTGTGTGTCTGTGTTATATAAACCATTGTCTATTTACTTCTTATTCTTTGTTGTGTTCATCTATCACTTTTTTACTTGAAACTAATGGTTGATTTTACATTAAACTGCCACTACAATGGTACGAAAAACCAATGGGAAATTGGTGGGTCCTTTTTATTAGTGTGTTACTAATAAATAACTATTTAATGTAGTTTTAACTAAAGTGAAGTAAAAAGTATATATTTAGTTTTTTTACTATTTATAAAACTATAAATTATTGGTTTGATTTTTTTATTATTATAAATTAAAAAAATAATTAAAATTGTTTTTTGATTCAACAATTAACAATATCTTACTTAAATTATAAACACATCTCTATACAATTACCTAAGTTGTTTTTTTTATTGAAATGTGTAAAAACAATTCTTAATCAATTTGATTGTAATGTTTTAATTGATTGACCTATTTTTTAATACCATTGAGATAATGCAAATAACATCTTTAAAATTGAAGACAATGAACTGCAAAATCCACAGTATTGCACATCAATGGAGCCATTAAAGAAGGGGTATTCCTTTCTTGCCAGCATTGGGATAGTGATCAATTACAGTATTGGTGTTGGAGTGTTTGGCCTTCCAAGTGCGTTTTACGATGGGGGCCTTCCACTCTCCATGATAATGATAATAGTGATGTTAATACTCACGATCCTCACATCATTTTACACCATGGAGGCGATGACTCGGACATGTCAGCGCAAGACTCAAAGTGACGACTTAGATGATGAGATCTATGACTTTACTTTAATAGCAAGTGTATGGCATTCTCGACAAGGCCAGAAGTTAACGAGTGTGTTAATGATCATAGTGAATTATTGTTACTTGTGGGGGTATGTAGCGACGGGGAGTAACACCTTAATGACGATGTATTGGATGATTAAAGGGACTCCACAGTATTGTGACACTAAAAGTTGGAGTATCTATTGTTATAACACTTACTATATCTCATTAGTTCTTTTTATGGTTATAACTATCCCACTGTCTTATATTAATTTGTCAAACCAGTCCACTTTACAATTAGTTATGGCTATTTATAGAATAGTTATGTTTACTATTCTTATCACCGTCGTCTTCGTACAGCTGTGCTACGGTCCAGTCCAACTTGGCAATCACAAAATCGACGTCGCGTGGGTCAACGAATGGAAATGGGGCAACTTCGGCGTCCTCTTCTCGCATATCTCAGTCGCTTTCAGTATCCAGTCATGCCTCCCCGACGCTCTCCAACCCGTATCTGATAAGAAGAAGATAGGGTGGATCGCTACTATAGGAAACTTGATCTGTGGTGTCCTCTATATCTTTGTTGCTACATTCTGTGCGTCGGTATTTACAGCCTCTGCTTATAACCCAATAACTTTGAATTTTGAGTATTACACTGGGACTAATGGCGGGTTTGGCAATGGACAACCTAATGTCATTGGGTATGTCATTCGCTATTTAATACTGACATTCCCTATTATCAATATCCTGAACGAATACCCCTTAGTTGTATATACTCTCACTGCAAACATTTCTTCAACATTACCTAAATCAGTGGGAGGGGGGTGGAGGCGGATGCTAATAGTCACTGGCGCCGCAGTACCTCCTTTTATATTAGCTTGTATTATTGGGACGGTTAAAACTATAGCAAATCTTACGGGAATATTCGCCTTTTTACTCTCTTATGTTTTTCCATGTGCTTTTGTCTTAGCAGCAAGAAGAATAGGAAAAGCCAAAGGAAGAAATGAGACTGAAAAGAATAGGTTTTATGGTTTGTTTTAACTATTATTGTATCGAATCAAGAGAATACTATATTAATAGAATAACATACTATTAATTAATATTAATTAATACATCTCATACAATTCTAAGTTATAGCATGGTATACAAGCACTACATCAATCGTCATAGTGTTTATTATATGTGGAATACTCTCGATCATCTCAACGACATTTGTCTTGTACAACACGATGAAGGGTCTTGTGTAATAAGCATTGCATCACTATTAACTACAACACTAATATACTTTGAGTTATTTAAATATTATGGATTTGTCGGATTTGGTCGAGTAATTCATGTGAGACGCGTGGGGAGATTAGAGGAGTTTTATCTTTGTATGACTCATAGAGTTGCGCAACTTTGTGAATCGTCCGGAGTTTGTTCACGTTGAAGTGTCCAGTCTTTTTGATGAATGAGGCATACATCTCGTCGACGACCAATAAATCTTTTGTCAGAATACCACCAAATGGAATGAGAGGTGGAGATGTCTTTGATATTTCATTTCGAAGTGCCGAGTAATTGTTTTCGAAGGAACATATCTTTTCAAATTTTTCTATAGAGCTTTGGGAGTCTTTAGACAACTAGAATATTAGTTTCTTTATAATACCAATAGAATAGTATAATAATATAGTATATTATATAATAAAAGAATTATAAATAAGAACAACAAACATTCGACTTGACATACCCGAAGTCGGGGACTTTATGGAACGCAAAAACGATTGCACACAGCCCAAAGAAGTTGTGTTGTGTATAAAAGCGTTCAGCGGTTTTGACAGTGAAGTCGAAGAAGACTGTTTGGAAACTAATTGGACATGTGTTGATCAGTTTCGAGAGCAATTCGGAGAGCCAATTGAATGAAGTAGTTATCCTTTTGATGTTAGTTGGTTGTGTCTTTTTAAAGAACAAGACGATGTCTCTTTCTGTAATTGCGTTGAACAGCATTTTGTGAATGTAAGTCATGATGTCTGCGAAGTGTCCATGATCATCAAAGCCTTTACACAAGTCATTTGGTGTGAAATTCATTTGCATTGGCCCAAGTTCCTTTACCACGACTGCTTTAAGTGTCTTTGCTGCATTTAATAGTTTGACGACTTCATCTTTAAGATCGGCAGTTGAGTCTTTTTTGGAGATTATTAAAAAGTCTTCGATTTTTTGCATAACACTAGAAGTGACTTCATTGAACTGAAGTGGGTCTTGTTTTAACCACAATTTCAATATCTCCAAAACGTTTTGTGTGTATAAGCTTGGGAGGCGCTCGCCCTTACGTTCAAGTAACTTCCCCAAAACCACACTTATAGGCGAATATAAAGTTATTGTGTTAATAAACACTTCACTAAACCCTACTTCTGTTTCAGGACCACTTTGAACGATTTCTATAATATCATCTATAGTCCCTGTGCTCAATACTAGGACCCAATTTTCGTTGGAATATAAATACCCCCATGTCGTCGTGTTCCCAAGTTGAAGAGTCTCGTCGACTCTATCAAGCAAATTTAAGACCAAATTGTATGAGTTTTTGTTGAACATGTACTCGTCTGTGGTTTCGACCAAAAATGCGTTCAATTCGGCAAGTTGAGCCGCAAAGAGCGAAAGTAATTTAAACGGCGAGAATAAAACCGTCAGAATATCGGCGCGTTTGTCGAACAAAACGCGGGAGATATCATTTGGGATCACTTCCTCATAACTTTTCCACGGATTTTCAGTCTTCCATTTGGGGATGTTTTTACAGAAGCCTACGAACTCTTTAGCATAGATCAAATAGTACTTAGTGGAGTCTTCTAAAAACTTTTTAATCGCTTCCCCAAAACATTCGTCACGACTTGGAGTTGTATAGAGTCGAGTGAGTTTCATATTTAATGCCCATAACAACTTTAATAGACTGTGTAAAGGCTCACTAAACAGTTCTAACGTATTCGAGAAGGTGTCTAAAGACTCTATAACGTCCATTTCAACTTTACTTCCTTTACGCGTGTTCTTCTTCTTCCCAGTATCTTTCTTAATGTCAGTTACACTCTTCGTCCGTTGTGTGGAGCGCCGAGTCTTAGCCTTTTCTTCAAGCTCGGGCTCATTCGTTAACATCCCAATCGGTGTCTCGTAATATTCCTTGTACGCCTCGATCTGTCTCGTCAACTTTCTGGCTTGGAGGATGAAAGGCAAAAACGACACAACATCGCGTGGCTTCCCTAATACAACGAAATTGGCCCCACCTATGATCTGCCGCCCTTCACAATTCTTCAGCACTTCCCATTGATACTTCCCATCAACAAGTCTCAACTTACACAACTTGGTTTCTTCATTCTCTCCAACTATCTCTCCATACCCAGAATAGACTCTGAGCATCCTCATGTTGTCGACAACAACCCCATCGATACTCTCAATATAACAGTCTGATCGGACACACCATATTTTCGTCCCTTTGACGATGTCAATGATATTCTTCTTCCCATGCGTTTTGGGACTTGTCTCGAGTCTCCCACTGCTCAACAAAAACGCTTTGTTCTCGGAGGTGGTTACACACCGAAAGACTTTTTCAGCGAAAGAGAGGTGTTTGATACCATCTTTGTTGAGACGTTGCACCTCACCAAAGAAGTTGATGATATACACCTCATTGTCATCGGACGATATCTCGATTGGAAGTAATATACTATCAAAGGTCGAGTACTTCGTCTCTTTGCTCTTGGTGACTTTGCCACTCTGAATTGAGAAATATGTGTTCATCGAGTAACACAAGTCGACGGTGTGGCGACTTATTGTTTTCGTCTTTGTGAGCTCTAAAGTGTTTGAGTCGGTGTAATACACCCCGTCATCGTATATATAAAATATTCTATTATTGACAATAAACACAGAGAGACACCCCGGTGTCGCTGAATAGAAGGGACACGGGCCTACAACTTCAAAAGCAACATCTTTCTTTGAAAAAAGTGTTACAGACTTTTTAATCCGACGTTCATTGGATTCACGACGCACTTCTGGAGTACTTGGATGCTGGGGTGAAGTCTCAACACTCTTGTTTTTGTCCAATTTGATTTCAGTTGCGTCTACAAAGCTTTTTGGAAGCATAGAGCGCGGTCGTTGCAATTTGGTCATATGGCGCTTATTTTCAAGTTTTCTAATAGTCTACTTTTTTGTCTTGGCTGTGTTTTTTATTTTGGTATTTATAAGTCGTCTGATATCAAGAAAAATTGGGGTTCAAATGTGATACAAATTTAATTATTTTTTGAATACTTTAAATTGGAAAGTAATAGTATATTATACTATAAAAAAGTACATTTAAAAATACTTTTTAATTAAGTTTAAAATATAACAACGTACTTTCTCTGTTAAATTAAAATATCTATATTTCCACAAGAAAACTGGAAGTGTGATTGTTTTTAAAAATCTATAAATATATTATTTGAAAATTTGAAAATTAAATTACAAAACATAAATTAGTTTTTTATCATTTTTTTATAATATTAATAATTATGATAAGACTTAAGAGTGTTAACGTGATAGACCACTTTTGTGTGGATGGCTTTGAAAATCTTACACATATGTGTTGTAATTGATATAAAATTTGCCTAAGAGTTTACAAAAAAATGGGTTTTTTGGACCGAATTCATAAAAAACCGATTTTTTTGAAAGTTAAAACAGAAAAATCAAATTTTATTTTTAGTCAAAGTCATCTTTTACTTTTACCATTTAAATGAATTTGCCGCAAAAAAAACAATTTTGTTAAAAATTTTAAGACTAAAGTTTTTAATTAATTAATTAACTTTAGTTTATTTAATTAATTGTATAAACTATATTCAATCAAAAAAATTATTGAAATTGAATAATTTGAAAAATAACATATAATTTGTCATAAAATACAATGGCATAGTTTACTGTGGATAGGTTGAAAAGGTGTGGATGGTAAATATTGATAGACAATTGTTATTATTACATGTTAGATGTAATGAGTAACTTGCCTTGTTTTTTTAGTGGTTTTTGTTGGTATTTGCCGTATAGCAATATGTTATAAATTTGAGCAATTTACAATTGTTATATAATTAAATTTTAAACTTTTGGTTAAAATGCGGTATTTTGCCATTTAACTTTTTAAAAGTTTTCATAGTAAAATATATAATACTATTTAACCATGCTAATAGAATTTGTTTTAAACTATTATTAGTTCGAATTCAAATTCAAAACTAATATTTTAATACTATTTATTAATCCTTGTAGTTTTGAGTATAATAGTATCATTATTAGTTTATTTTTAATAAATACAATAATAAAATATAATAGTTAAAAGTTATTTCATTATAATAATGTATTTTGAAAATAGATTTTTGAAATATTTTTATATAAATTGTTTCATGATTTGTCATAAAATACAATGGCATAGTTTACTGTGGATAGGCTGAAAAGGTGTGGATAGTAAATATAGATAGACAATTGTTGTTATTATGTTTTAAATGTAATGAGTAACATGACTTGTTTTTTTTAATGGTTTTTGTTGGTATTTGCCGTATGTTTCTATTATAATTAATATGTATTGTTATGATTTTTTAATAACATAAATAATAACTTATTGTTACAATGTGGTAATTTGCCATTTAACTTTTTAAATTTTTATAGTAAAAATTACATTTTATTTAACTATGCAAATAGAATTTGTTTTGTGATTATTCTGTCATTTTTATGTTCATTAATAATATACTATTGTAATATAATTGATTGTTATTAATTAATAGTTTAGTTTAGACATAAAACCTTTGTCTTTAACATTTTCAACAAAACCTGAATATTATTTAGGATGTAAAACCCTTTTTTATACGTATAATTTGCGCCAACTAAAAGAACTTTATTCAACAAATTTCAATTTTCAAATATTAATATTAAAATAATAAACCAATATAGTGTTTATATAAATTACAATACTATTAGTAAAAAGTGATAATAAATGCAATTTTGAGCCACAATTAACAATTAAATAAAATATTTTAAAATTGATATTTAAATTAAATATTTTTTAATGCAAAAAACGGGAATTTTCCCAAATTATAATCACATAAATCACTTTTGAAATGTTTTTTCAATTAAAAAAAATCGAAAAAATAGCGTTACATGTATCAAATAAACGGGATAATACACGTAAATTTTGTTAATTATTTTATTTGTTCATTTTGATCTATTCTTATTTTACCACTCCAAAAAAGGCTGAAAATAGCGTTTTTTCTTACTATGAAATTATTGCGAAATTTGGAAATACTCCTTATGGGGGTATTTATGTTTGTGTATCATTTTTGTCCCATAAATGATTATAAGTAACAATTATTAATTTTAAAAATCATAACATATGGTTTAAAACGGATATTTGAATTTTTTCGACAAAAAAATTAGAGGCAATCCACACAAAATATTCCAATCCACAGGGATTCACCATTTCCGTTTGGATACGCCCTATCACGTTAACACTCTTTATTGTCAAAAATTGTTTTTTTAAGTTTCAAGTAACTATTCAATATAGTATTTTATTTAAATTTTTTTAATAATTGGTAAACATATCTTTATTCGATCATCCACTAATTGTGTAATAAAAATATATACCGTTCGTTTTAAAAAGTTGTTGTTCAAAATTATTTGCTATATTTTTGTTTTAAAATAATTGGAATTAAATTAAAAAAATCAAAACAATGTAAAAAAAATGAAACAATGGAAAAAATTAAAAATTATTTTATTTGAAACAGAAATACTATTTATTTTCAAACCAATCAAAAAAATAAAAAAAATTATTGATTTTAAATACGAATCAAGCTGTATATACATTTCAAATAATTGGTTTATGTAATTAATTAATAATATAATTATTAATTAATAAATACTATTGATTAATATTTTTTAGAATTTTTTTTACATTTTTCGAATTTAAGAAATGAATAAAAAATGACAAGGGTATTATTTTGTGTTTTTCATGAAAATGTTTTTGTTTTGTTATTTATCCACTATTCCAAGGTTAATAAATAATAAAAAAATAAATTAGAACAATATTTCAATTAATCTTATTAGATAATAAACAAAAATTTAATAAAGTAATATTTATAATTGTATTTAATTATAAAAATTACTTTATATTGTATATATACAATACAATATATATACAAATTTATTATCTTCTATCTAATATAAAATAACACAATTCAAAAAATGCGAACAATTCCATATTTTTGTAACAAAAAATGTTATTATCAACAGAAACCAATTTTGTTGACAGAAGTGGCTTTTCATTCCACTCAACAAACGAGAATCGACGGGCTTACACCCAACTAGAATGACATAAGCACAAAAATGCCACCATTCAATTCTGAACAAAAAGCTGGATGAAAAAGAGCCTTCGTCTTAATTCTTATTAAAAGAATAAGAAAACTCGAAATTCAATGAGTGAGTCGAGCATTACTTCAACAGCAAACTCAGCTGCTCCTTTAACACCAAAAGACCACACAGCAGAATATGTCGTTGGGTATGTCATGTTGGCCATTTGCGCCGTCTTTTTGTTGATCTCGTTCGGTGAAATTGTCGGAAAAACGATTTATCGCTTAAAGTTCAAAAAGAACAAGGAGGAAATCCATGGTAAAGCCGACTTCTTAGGTGAGGAGGAACATAACTGAGTGTCTTTGTGTCGTTTATTGTTTTCATATCACTAAAACGTCCGTTATAAATCACTCAGAAAAACTCATTTAATTAATTTTGTTAATAATTATTAAAATCAGTTGTTGTTATTAAAAAATGAACTATTAATTTACAATAAATTATAAAATTTTTAAAAAAAGAATTAAACTATAATTTTAATATGTTATTAATTTATATATATTTATTAATAATTTTTATTATTATTATACTATTTAACACCTTAAATAACATTGAACAAAATTCATGTTATCTAAAAATCGGGAAATCTCGAATTTGTTAAAGAAATTTCCGTTTTTTAGAGTTTATATTATGTGCATAAACAATACACAACCAAAAAAAGGAAAATCATCAAAAATTTGATTAATATCCCTGTAATAACAGGCCAAAACAAAAACAAGGGGGTTATTTTAAGTTAATAGAACGTAAACAAATAATTGAATTATACTATTTCTAAACTAACAAAAAACCACATATTTTAAATATTTATTCACCAAAATGAATTTTAGACATTTTCTCTCTTTTACTAATTTTATTAAAACATTTTTAAAAAAAAATGAACAGAAAAATCAAAGACCTCACTATGAGCGATACTACTAAAAAGGTTTTTATTCAAAAAGATCGAGTTCAACGCGCTAAGGCTGGTCGTGTCAAGAATTGGAAGTGTTGTTTTCCCGGTTGTGACCAACCTCCAAAGACGAGGTTTGTTCTTTTTTCAGTCTACAAGCAACACATCAACTGCTCGTTAAATTATATAACCATTTTCAACAAAAAAGAACTCGTTAATTACCAGATTCAACTGTTATGCCCATACATGGGATACACATTTGCGATACGCTCGTTCCGCCGGTTCAAGTGAGCTCCCGCAATGCTTCAAAGATATTCCAAACAAAGAAGAAGTCAAGAAATTGTGTGACCCGTATATGGTCAAATTAGTGACGTCGCCGTACCCATTCGATTTTGAGTCAAAAATCGACGATCTCAAAAATGACAGAGAAACTATTATTAATAATACTTCTATTAAAAAGGAAACTATACCCGATGAGCGTGTTTCACCGAACACTTCGACGGTTCCTCCACAGACCGAAGCCATCGTCCCCGCCGATAACATCATTCAAATGCCTTTGCAGAGTGCTCCAATAGACCAGAAATTTTTGGAGATTGTCCAGATGGGCCAGGCAGTGAAACAACTCCATGTGTTAGGAGAGGTCTTTGCGGAGAATGGATTTTTGACGCGGAGCGATGAGCGGGCGAAGGAGAAGATTCAAAGCATTAACAACTCGTTGGACACAATCATGAAGCTGCGGGGAGTCAAGTATCGGTACCGAGGAATGGACAAAATCAAGTTTGGATTTATAGCACAAGAATTGAGAGATGTGATTCCAGATTTAGTGAGAGAAGATGAGAAAGGCCTTTTCATTGACACAGAAGGGATTTTGCCGTTTTTAGTCGAATCGTTGAAGGAATTGAGTAAGACTGTGATTGAATACAAGGCACAAAATGAAGAACTCGGAGAATTACAGAGAAGGGTCGACGACGCGTTCCGACACCTCGACGAGATTAGAGAGAATGAGAGAGTTGACGCGAATGGATTGAAAAAGAAAAGTCAAGATTGTGGGGGACGGAATGACGAGGAATTTGGGGAGGGAAATTCAGAGGAAAAGGAGAAAGACGCGAAAAAAGTCAGAGTCATCGACACCGTCTGGGGAAAGGTTAAAACACTACTTGGACCACCCCCATTTGTACTATTCGCGTTCTTGTTTTCAGTATTCTTTTTGGTGATCGTACCATCAATATTCACACGGTTTTACTTCATCATTGTGTTCTTCATTGTGTTAAGCGCAGCAGCTTTGTTTGGGGTTGTGTTCAACAGGAAAGAGATTGTGAAATTTCTAAAGGAGGGGAAGTCGTTCTTCCCATCATTTTTGGGGTGGGAGCTGTATCAAATCGTCACGTGGTATATTATTTTTTCAATATTCATGTGCTTGGTGATGCTCACACTTGTCATTGGATCGTATGTATGTATACTGGTGGGTTTATATGCGTTTGCTGCGTTCCTCTCACTTGCGCTTGTATTTTTCATTTGGAACAACACGCAAAAATGCCTTCCAAAACAAGTTCTAGTGATTCCATTGGTCATTCTCCAGGCACTTGCTATCACTTCTTTGGTGCTTTCTGTTATTTACCAACCATTCAATGAGAACATGCCCTTTCACAATTCATTGAGTAATTACAACATCATTATATCGGAAAACGTTAAAGTTGATCAATCGATGATACCAATTTCTTGGAATTGTTTTAAACCCAAATTCAGGACTGAGCCGGAGCTTCCCAAAGGGCTGGGTATCGAAATAGAAGAGACGGAAATCCCGTACATTCGCGGTGTAATAGAAACAGTCGACTACGAAAAGTATTCCAATTCTTCAAACAACGTAACGGTGGACTTGGTGTGCAGTGGATATCTTGTTTTGAAATACCCCAACGTCACGATTCACAACTGTGGCATTAAACTCAAAAGTGACAAGTGTGCAACACCAGAGTGCTCTTTCTGTGTTATGGAAACCCAGGATAATAGTTGGTGTTCTCCCTGTGATAAATTACAAAACTTTATGTGTAGGAAGAACGGAGGTACACCATCATGCAGCTTGTAAATATTTTTGATAAGTGAGGATTTTTCTAATTGTTTTACATTATTTCAAATTGTATTACAAATCACTCTATTAACTCCATTTTCTTTTCATCTTCGTCGCTCGCTTCTTCAAGAATATCCATTTGAACATTTGGTTCATAGAGTTCACACCTTAGTTTTGTGACAGTCCCTCTGTGTGTTATTTAATATTCATTCACTTTTTCAATAAAAAGAGAAAAACAAACGGCATAACCGACTGATTCTTATCGCAAAAGTCTTTGATGTTTTTAAAATACTCGTCAACGAGGTGGTGTACTCTGTTGAGTTCCTCAATTTCTGCGAGGAGCTTAGGTACGTCTTGGTCCATCTCTTTTTCTAGTTTGACTATTTTCTATAGTATTATTATAATTTTATTATTATCAAACCATACTATTTTTAGTTTTTTTATCCCTTGTTTTGAAGTGTTTTTTACTTATTAAATTGTAATAAAACATGGTGTTAGTTATTAATAAAAGTATTATATAACTCTAGTTTTTAAAAACCAATATTTAAAGGAAAACCTAGACTGAAAAAAACACCGAGATCATTAAGATCAACTTACTAACTCGCCATATCCTTCATTGGATGTACAGAGTGCTTTGTGGTAAGTGATTGAGTCATAAGCTCGGAAGAGACGAACGTAATGCTTTTATCGTGGCGCTTAGAGTGTCAAGTCGAGGTGTTACTCCATTAACCTACACATTTTCTTTTAACCCATTTTTTCTTGTTTCTTTCAAGTAAGATAATTATAACAAAATTAATAGTAAAATTTGATAAATTTTTAGTTTATTTGATAATAAAATAAATAGTAAAATTAATAGTAAAACAAATTGTACATTTTAATAAAATTATAGTTCATTTGATAATGAAAGAAATAGAATAATAAATAATTTTTTTTTACGAGGCAATTATAGAGAACTCAAACATTCTAATTTAGTTGTGATTGATTTTTATTATTTTGTTATTTCAATTGTTCACCACCAAAAGAGTTAGTTTCATTACTAAAAGTATTGAAGTTCAATTTGAACATAACAAAAATAACTCAAAATAGGATTAAATTATTAATTTATATTAAAACATGTTATTGAACAAATAATAATAATTTAGGAACAATATATCTAGTTAAAAACAATTAAACACATAATAACTACAAAAAACTACTTCTTTTAATTTCCAGTTATGGTGTTTTCCCGTTATTTGTTATGATGTATGCCCAATCAAAAGAGACGAAAAAGAATATAAAAATACAAAAAAACAGAACAAAAGAGCAATGAAAAATTATAAAAATACGACCAACTGAAAAAGAAAAGACAAGATGGGGTGTGGTTCATCCGAGCCTGAGAAACCAGTTCAACGCCAAGCTCCCGTCCGTAAAGTCGACCCAGAGGCAGAAGAGCGTCGTCGTCGAGAAAAAGAAGAAGAAAAGAAGTGGGTGGAAGTCGCCAAGAAACAAGGCCCTCCCGAGCCTAAAATCCCTGAATTACCACCAAACCCTTCAGAACAACAATACAAACAATTCATGATTGACAGGTTCGAACACGAGGGGTGGGAAAACCAAATCATTTTATTGGCTCGAAAGCTTAGGGCGGAAAGCGCACAACACTAATATCTCTAACTCTTTGTATCTTCTTGCTAAATTGAGTTTTACACTGTTTTCGTTCCGACTGTCTTGTCAAAGTGTTTCAACACTTTTTCTTCTTTTCTTTATGTATAATTCTTTTATTAGTAATTTACTATATATCCATTTCTTTTTTGTTTGGTTAAATTATCATAAATATATTATCATTTAATACCTAATATCTTTTTAATTGGTAATATTATACTTTTACTTTAATTATTTTTAAACTGGTCGAACTGTTGTCTCAGTTATTATTTAAACAAACTTTTTCTTTTGGCTGTTTTTTTCTAAAAAAAACTAAACAAATATCCATTTATTCTAGTTTCAAAACATTCATTTGAAACCTTTATATAGTTTTTTTACTATAATTTATTTATATTCTCTATTTGTCATAAAAAAATGGAAAATATAAATAACAAACTTATTATTAAGTTATTAAATAGTTAAAAATACTAATCCAAGTTAGTTTAAGTAAATTATTTTAATAATACCATTTTATTCCCATTTGACTTTATAAAATAAATAGTAAACTTAATAACAAAAAAATTATTAAATTATACGACCAATTAAACATTGATTTCGCCATTCACAAATCTCATCATCCAGTTTCTGTAGTTATTAAACGTCGTCTGTTTACAGCATGCCTTGAACAGTCTCAACTCGCTCATGTTCAGCCTTCTTTGTGTATCTTCTTCTATTTCCTCCTCGAGAATTTCCATCTTCAAAGGGACCCACAACGCGTCGAAGAACAGGTATTCAATACTGACAAATATCTCGTCGTCCGACTTCAGATTAAAATTGTTTTCTTTCAGCAGTTGTTGTTTTAACGTTTCGTTCTCCGTTTTCAATGTTCCATTTTCCCATTTGACCTTTCCAAGTTCCTGTGTGTCCTTCACCTTAGTTTTAAGATCTTCGTTCTCTCTCTCCACGTGTTCCGTCTTTTCAATCATTTGTGCTCGTTCGTTCATCAACGCGTTATACAACTGTTGTAATTTCTCAAAGTCCTTTTCATTTTCTCTTCGTCTCTTCTCGTACTCTTCTACACTCTTTTCCTTCGCCATTTTCTCTTCTTCAAGTTGTCGCGTCAATTTCCCAAGAACGTCTTTATCCACCATATTACTCATCTTATTCACCATATTATCCAAATTCTGTTCTAACGCGCTTTTATCTTTCTCTAATTTATTCTTCGTACTATTAACTCTTGACAGTTCCTTTTCAACTTCACTCAATTTGTCTTCAAGACTCTTCTTTTCCATCTCTGTACTCTCCAACCGACTCGACACTTCTCTCTTCTGGTCTTTCGCTTGTTTTTCAATATTCGCTCGCTCCATTTTAAATTTGTCCAATTCGCTCTGCATCGCATTCAGTTCTTCTTCCTCGTCATCAAGGTCTTGATTCAATTCAGCATTCTCCTTCTCAAGCGCTTTGATCTTTTCTTCTAATTGTTTCTTCGCCTCTCCAACTTTGTTTTGATCAAGAGCAACACTTTTGAGTGTCGCCTCGTGTTGATTCTTCATGTCAGTGATCCTTTGTTGCAACTTTTCCAGTTCATCTTGTAATTCATTGTTTTCAGTAATGACTTGATTGTTCTCTTCTATTATTTCCTTCTCTTTCCGTTCATTCTCTTCTCTCATCTTCTTCATTTCTTCTTCCAATCTTTTATTCGATCCCACCAATCCTTCAATTGTCGTATTCAGCGTTTCTTTGTCCTTTTCCATATCATCTCTCTCATCCAAAAGTTCTTCCTTCTCATTTCGAATGTGTTGGACCTCCTCTTGTAATTTCTTCCTTTCACCTTCGTCCAATTCAATTCGATTCCTCATTGTTTCATTCTCTCTTTGTACCTCCTCCAAAGACTTCTTCATCTCATTCATTCGACTCTCACTCCTCTCTCCATCTTTTCGAATCATTTCATTCTCATTCTTAGCCTCTTCTAACTGCATACCAATCATTTCCTTCTCCCTTCGAACTTCTTTCATTTCTTCTTGTAACTTCTTATTAACTTCTTCAATTTCAGTCTTCTCGTTATTCAACTTTTCAACTTCATTTGTAAGTCTCGACGCTCCGTCACTTCCATTCAACAGTTCTTTCTTCATTGCAATCTGTTCCTCTTCAAGTCGTTTGTTATTTGTTTCTAAGTGATCAACCTCTTCACGTAACTTCTCCTTCTCTCTTTCGTGCTCTTCATTTGCAGTTCGACTTTCGGCAAGTACTTCCTTCAATCGTGTCATCTCCAATTCACTTGTTGAAAGTTCGTTTCTCGTCTTTTCTAATGCCGACAACGTTTCCGTGCGCTGCAAATCAATTTCGCTTTTCTCCTGACGGATTTTGTCAATTTCGTTCTTCACGTTTTCGACAGCCTGTTTTGCGTTCAACACTTCCTCCGCAAGTCTTCGATTCGTTTCTTTTTCCGTCTGAAGTTCTTCATTCAATCGCTGCGATGAATCACTCCCATGTGCCAAATCTCCAAGTAACTTCTCTTTCTCTGAAGACACTAAGTTCAATTGTTCTTCAATTTTGTTTTTCTCTTGTTGGATTGATTCAAGTGTGTTACAAATCTTTTCTCTCTCGACATTCACTTTATTTAATTCTTCTTTTGTTGTTAAAAGTTCACTCGTTATGTTGTTGTTCTTGTCTTCCGTTGAATCTAATTGCTTTTTTAATGTCTCGTTTTGCTCATTGAGTGCAGTGAGTTGAGATTGAATAGTGTTATAATTTGTTTTGAGTTCGTTGTAAATCTTTTCGTTTGTTTCAAGTTGTGTAATTTTCTGTGTGAGTGTTGTTTCAACATTTAGTTTTGCTGTAGTTAATTCACTAATACTTTCTCGTTGTGCTTTATTTTCTTCTTTCAGTTTTTTATTGTTTTCTTTCTCTTTGTCAATCTCATCTTTCATTCGACTTGTCATTTCATCTCCATTCGCCATATCATTCATTAACTTCTCTTTCTCTCCTTTCATTCCTTCAAATTCATCTCGCGTTTTGGTAAGTTCAATCATCATATTTTCTTTGTCTTTGTTCATCTTATCATTTTCTTCTTTCAATGTATTGTTCTCTCGTTCCGCACTCTCTCGTTTCTCTTTCTCTTTTCCAAGTTCTTCACTCAATCTCTTCATGTCATTTTCTTTCTCCTCTTTCAATTGATTCAATCTCTTTTCTATTTCTTCTCTTTCTTCAATCTTATTTTTCAACGATATTTTCACTTCTTCTCTCTCGTCTGTCAGTTTCTTTATCTCCTCGTTCAATCTCTGTGTGACGTCACCACAACTTGTCAAATCTTTCATCAACTTTTCTTTCTCATTCTTTGTATTTTCTAATTCTTCATTCGCTCTTTGCAATCTCATTTTAACTTCACTCATCTCATTTGCAATTTTGACGTTTTCATCTTTTGTGTTTTTAAGTTCTTCAGATGTTTTAACGCAATTTTCTTCACTTTTTTCTTTTTGTTCCTTTAATGTTATTAATTCACTTTCGGTTCTTTGTTTCTCCTTTTTGATTTTTTCAAGGTCTTCACTCAATTTCGCCACTAACTCCTTTCCACTCGTCACATCATTTTCAATCTTCTCATTTTCAGATTTTAGTTTTTCAATCTCCAAAATGCAATTTTTGTTTTTCTCTTCAATTTTTTGGTTTTCGTTTTTCTGCTTCGCCATCTCATTTTCTTTTTCCTCCAAAATTTCTTGAAGATTTTTCAAATTTTGAAGTGTTTTATTATTTTCATTATTTTGATTGAAAATTTCATTTTTATTTTTCTCCAAAACTTCTTCAACAGTTTTCTTTTCTTCTTCAATTTTGCGTTTTTCTGTTTTTTCTTTTTCGAGTTCTTCTCGAGATTTTTTATGTTCTTCCTTTTCGATGTTGTAACTTTTTTCGATTTCATTAACTTTGTTTTTAAGAGATTCTTTTTCTGTTTCAAGTTTGTTGTTATACTCTTCATTTTCCTTTTTGAGTTTTTCCAATTCCTCATTTTTATTCTTGAAAGTTTCAATCTCCATTTTTATCTCTTCAACAACAATATTTTTCTGCCCAATTTCACTCTGAAGCTGCGTGATTTTGTCTTGGCTCTTTTTCTCTTTTTCGGTTAACTCGGTGATCGTTCCGTTCAGTGAGATGATTGTCTCATTCTCTCCATTTTCAATTGATTTTTGCATCTCAGTGAGTCTCTTTTGGTTTTCGGCAATTTGAATTGAGAGACGTTCGTTTTGTGATTTGGAATCGTTGAGTTCTGATGCAATTCTATTCTTCTCCTTCTCTATTCCATTCTTTGATGTGTTCAAATTTTCAAGTTCGTTATGTAACTTCTCAATCTCAGTTTTTGACAAGTTGAGATTTTCAGTAGTTGTGGAAAGAGAGGTGTTAAGAGTCTGGACTTCGTTGGTGAGCTCGGTGCATTTATCTTCAATTTTATTTTTTTCGTTTTTGAGAGATTCAAATTCGTTATTGAGTTCTTTTATTTTGTTCTCTGATAAACTTTTTTCCTCTTCAATTTTTTGAAGTTTTTCGGTTATTTTCTTATTTTCCGTTTGAGTTGTTTGTAAAATTTCTTCGACTTTTTGTTTTTCTGTTTTCAAATTCTTTAAACTATTTTCAATTTCGTTTTTGGCCGTTTCAATTTTTTCGTTTTCGCAACTCAGACTGGAATTCTCTTTCTTCAAATTTTCATTTTCGTCTTTTGATCTTGAAATCTCTTTTTTGTTATTTTCAAGCTCTTTCATGAATTTTGTTTTTTCTTCTTTTTCGTCTGATATTTGTTTCTCCAATTTTTCATTTTCGTCCTTTTCGTTTTGGAGCGAAAGTTCTAGATTTTTGGCGTTTTCGTTTATTTTCAAATTTTCAGATGTCAACTCCTCAACTTTTCTTCCAACCTCTTTGAGATTTTGCTCAATCTTTAAATTTGTATTTTCAAGATCAATTTTTGACGTTTTCAATTTTTGATTTTCATTTTTAAGATCAGAAAGGGTATTTTCCAGTTTTGTGTTCATGGTATTCAATTCGTCAAAGTCGGTTTTGAGTTTTGACATTTGGTTACTTTGAGAAGAGTTTTGTTGATTCAATTGATCAATAGTTTCTTTACTAGAAATCAAACCATTTTCCATTTCTTTGACTTTTTCTGTCATTTTATTCAAATCTTCGTTTGTCTGATCTTTTAATTTTTGCAATTCATTAATTTTGTCATTTTGCGTTTGAATTTCATTTTCAAGTTTTGTGTTTCTATTTTTCTCGTTCTGGATTTTTTCGTTGAGTTTTGAAGACAAATCACTTCCGTTTGACAAATCTTTTAATAACATTTCTTTTTCTTCTTTTATTTTGTTTAATTCTGTTTCAACCATTTCTTTGTTATTTTTTTCTGTCTTAACTTCCATTTGAAGTTCACTAATTATTTTCTCGTTGTTAGTAATTAAAGAATTCTTCTCTGACAACGTTTCTTTTATTTGAACATTCGTTTGATTCAACTCTTCTAATTCTCTCTTTTGTTCTTTAATATCACCTTCAAGTTGTTTGTTGTTATTTTCCAAATTCTGTTTCAGTGTTGTTAATTCGATGTTTTGTTTCTCCAAATCTTCTTTACACCTTGTAAGTAAATTAAACTCTTCGCTCATTTTATCATATTTTTCATTATGTTCAGAAATTTGATTCAACAAATTCTGCTTTTCTGTTTGAAGTGAATTAATTTGAGTTTCACAAGACGCTTTTTGTTGTGTCAATTCATTGAGTTCATTTAGAGTTGTGTTCAGTCGTTGAGAAATTTCGTTGTTTTGTTCTTCCAATTTTCGACTTTGTTCTTTTTGTTTTTCAATTTCTTCGTTCAACTTTTTTGAAGAGTCGCTTCCATTCGATAAATCACTCAACAACTTCTCTTTTTCATTTTCCATCGTTTTGATTTGTTCTTCCAAATGACTTTTCTGTTCTTTTGTTGTATTCAATTCATTTAAAACGTTTTCTTTTTCTTTTTTAAGTTGTTCATTTTCATTGTTAAACTCTTGGACTGTCTTTTCAGTTGTCATTAACAGTGCAACCTTCTCAGCCATTGTCGTTTCAACACTCTTCTTCTCACTTTCAATTTGCTCTTTAACTTTTTTCAACTCATTGATTTCATTTTGAAGTTCATCAACTTGTTTACTTTTGTCGTTTAAAGTGTTTTCAAGTTTCATTGTGTTTTGTTCCAAATTCTCTTTTTGTGTTGTCAAATCGTTTCTTTGGTTTTCGATATCTTCAAGAGACTTTTTGAGTGTTTCTATTTCACCACTCAACCTCGTAACGTTATCTTTTTGTGTAACAATTTCAGTGTTAAGGTTTTCTTTTTCTGCTTGCAAAGCCACAATTTGCGTTTCACACGATATTTTCTGCTTGCTAATTTCTTCAATTTGCGTTTGTTGGGTTTGAATTGATTGATCTTTTTCTTTGTTTTGTTCTTCCAGTTTTCTGTTGTTCTCTTTCTCTTTGTTCAGCTCATCATTAAGTTGTGATGCCGAATCACTTCCATTTGCCAAATCACCTAGTAACTTCTCTTTCTCACTTCTGACCATTTGAAGTTGTTCATCAACGCTATTCTTCGCTTCTTTAAGTCTCTCCAATTCTCCTATTGTGTTTACATTTGACTTCTTTTGGTTTTCCAATTCCTCTTTAATCGTCTTGAGTTCATTCGTTACATTTTCTTTCTCTCCTTTTAGTGCATTGAGTTCACTTAAAATTTTGCATTTCTCTTCTTTTGTATTGTTTAACTCTTCATTCAATGACTTATTTTCATTGGTTAAGTTTTCTCTTTCACTCTTTTCTTTGTTCAGTGCATCTTGAAGTTCTTTTTGTGCATTTTCAATGTTTGCAAATTGTAAAATCTTTTCAGCAAGTGTTGCTTCGTTTTGTTGTTTGGTAGATTTCAAATCATCGTTCTCCTTTTTGATATTTTCCATTTCATTGTTTTGTTGCTCAACATGTTTCTCCAGTGAAGCGACTTTTTCATCCAGCTGTTGTTTATTTGTTGTCAACTCATTATTTTGTTTTTCCAAATTTTCTCTTTCGCTTTTGACTCTCACAAGTTCTTCCACAACTTTTGTGTTGTTCTCTTTTTCTTGGGAAATGGTCTCTTGAAGATTCTTAATTTCAGTTTCACAACCAACCTTTTGTTGTTGCGTTTCTTCCAATTTTTGAATTGTTAATTTTAATTCTTCATTCGTTTTGTTATTAATTTCCTTCTGAGATTCAATTTCTTGATTCAACTTTGTTGATAGATCACTCCCACTTGATATATCATTCAGAAGTTTTTCCTTCTCTGTTATAGCAGTATCTAATTGCTTTTTTAATGTCTCGTTTTGCTCATTGAGTGCAGTGAGTTGAGATTGAATAGTGTTATAATTTGTTTTGAGTTCGTTGTAAATCTTTTCGTTTGTTTCAAGTTGTGTAATTTTCTGTGTGAGTGTTGTTTCAACATTTAGTTTTGCTGTAGTTAATTCACTAATACTTTCTCGTTGTGCTTTATTTTCTTCTTTCAGTTTTTTATTGTTTTCTTTCTCTTTGTCAATCTCATCTTTCATTCGACTTGTCATTTCATCTCCATTCGCCATATCATTCATTAACTTCTCTTTCTCTCCTTTCATTCCTTCAAATTCATTTTCAATTCTCTCCTTTTCTTCTTTCATTTTCTTCAATTCGTTTTCTATCTTCTCGTTCTCGCTTTTATTTTGTTCTTTCAGTTTTTCAATTTCGCACTCTTTTTCTTTTTCTGTTGTTTCCTTTTCAGTTTGGAGTGTTGTGTATTTCGCATTGAGTTCCTCCACTGTTTTTGTCAATTCCAACTCTGCCTGAATTTTCGCATTGAGTTGTTCTTCTTGTGTATCACATTTTTTCTGCGTTTCCTCGAGTTTTTCCTTCAATGTTTTTAGTTCGTTATTAGTTTCCAATTCATTCACATTTGGACCTTGTGACGTGTATGTCGTTGGTTTCTCTTCTTCTTTTTTGAGTGTTTCCAACAGTTGTGAATGTTCCTTTTTTGGTCCGTTTGTTTGTTGTCTTCGTCCTAAAAAGCTCATTCTTTTCACTGGTTTTCCTTCTTCTTTCAGTTCTTCATTTTGTTTTGGTTCTTCTTCTTTGCTATTTGTTTCAGCATTTTGTAAAGGCGTTTCAGATGTTTGACTTGGAGTCTTTGTGTGTTTCTGTCCTAAGAAGTTTTTCCGTTCGGTGTCTTTAGTGACTTTTGGCGCACCAGTATTACTCCCAAATCCACGTTTCTCCGGCGAACCAACTTTGGGCGGTTCTTCTTGTTTGACCTTTTCGCCAAACGTCGCCTTTCTGTTTGTCGCTAAAAATGTCGAACTTCTTGCATGTCCCACTACAGGTTGTTCCTCAACAGGGTGTTCCGGTTCAATCGGAACACCACCAATTTGTTCCGAAGGCTTTTCAGTCTTTTTTCGAGAACCAAGCTGAATCTTTGGTCTGCTCATTATCTTTCAAGTTGATAAGATCTTTCGTTCCAACCTTTTTCAATCTCATTTGGTAATATGATTGTGGGAAAAAAAATAACAAATTTGTTAATATCTATTAGTATTAATGTTTTCTAATAAAAATAGTAAAATATGGTTTTATTTATTTCAGAAAGCATTTTCAGTTGTTTGGTAATTTTTCCTAAAATTATTCTTTTCAAGTTTTTTGAAGCGGTGTATTATTAGAAAAAGAAGACGAAAATATTTGATTGGTTTTAATTTTTATAATTACAAAGAAATAGAATAAGTAGCAATAATTCATGAAAACAATTCTAAATTCCAAAAAGTGTATCATTTTAAGATCTTTTATTAATTATAATTAATTAATATATTTATTATAATATTAACTTTAAATGTACTAAAATAAGTCTATCTTTTTTAATTTAAAAAAGTTGTTAGGTTTTTAATGTTTTAAAGTTAAAAAAGTTAGTATTTATTATATAATAAATTTTTGTAGTTTTTTTATAATAACTTTTAATTGAAAAACAATAACAAGTTTTTTATTAAATAAATTATGCTTGATATCTGTGTTCATTCAAAAAATCTCTCACATTTTTCGATGTTGAAACGATGAGATTGTCCGAGTACCATAACACTCCAAAGAAGATTGAGTTAAGCCCGAAAAGCCAGAATCCCCCAAGAATACTTGCAAATGGCATCGCAATAATTGACAGAACTAAACTCATTATTGTCATTTGTTTGAGATTGAGATATTTCAAATACTTTGAAAACTTTTCGTGCATAGTAACGCCATACAAAAACAAAAGCGCAGACATCACCTCAAGTAAACACACAACAAATGGATTTTTGATTGACAAAAAAAGTTTGTGGATGGACGACGAGCAAAAATCATCGCCACCAATTCCGTTGACTAAAAATATTTTCAATGCGACAAAAAGTTTCATCGCAAATAAAATGAGAGAAAAGACCACAGAGGCAATTCGAAATTTATTTGATATTTGTCGGTCGCTCTCTTCGATCTTCTCAATCTCATCCACTCCATTTTTTATATCTTCAAGTTGTCTTCTTCTCACTTCGTTATCCATTCACTTTTTTTTTAGTTAAAGTAATAGTTATTTATATCACTTTTTCTTTTTCAATTTTACTACTTAATAATTAATAATAAATTATAATTCCGATTATTGAATAATTTTATTTTAGTTAAATAAACCATACATTAATTATAGTTCAAAAACAGTAATTTGTTCGCATTGAACATAAAATGTGAATAAAACAAGACCAAATACAGAAAAGTCGTGAACGATTTATTAAAAAAAAAGAAACTATATACATTAATAAAATGAATTAAAACTATGGAAAGTTACGACAAGCTGACTAATATTGCTCTAGCCATTTCAGCGTCAGTCAAATCTTTAATATCGATTGAGTTATAAGTTTCTGGACTAATACTAGGATCTAATGCGATTCCAAAAGAATGAAATCTCCTAACAATTTTTTGGTTGACTTTTTCTAATTGATTTGTTATTCTATGTGAGATGATATTGACTTCTGCTTCGATATTGACTGGAGCGACAGTGATGTGTGTCTTCTCTTTACATAGATCACAATACATTTCGAGCTTCTTCACATCAAAAGTGGGGTCTAACAATAAACATTGAGTGCAGATATATCGCTTCCCATGACAACAATTCAATGAATTCATCCCTTGGCGGACTGTACCAAAACACACGATACAAGTCTTGTCACTTTCACTTAAGACGTCGTCTGTTTCATAGAGAGGGGCAAGTTTGTGTTGTTTTATTAAGTTCTCTACTTCTTTGTGAGTCACACATAATGGTAACTCGTAAGTTGGGGATAAAGTGTATTTGGACATGTTCAATTCGTTCACAAAATTCTCTCTGACCGGATCAGAAGTAAGTGCGTTCAAACCAAAAAGCCGGGACAAAAAGGAGAACATTGGTATACCTTTTAAGTTTTGATCAAAAGAGTTGAATGAGGTTTAGTTCGAATGGAAACTGGATAGAGGAGATATGACTGTACAAATGCATTTTATACTTTCTGTATTATTTCAATTAAATATTTTATAATTTTAATTAGTATTTATAATAATTTATAATAAATGGTATTGTAAAGAAAAAATTGCCAAAAGTAAATAATTTGTAATTTTTTGTGTTTAAAAAAAACATTTTTGTTTTTTTTCAATGCAAAATAACACAATCAAATATCAAAAGTGAACAAAAACATATGATTTATATCTTTAAATGGTGGTTTTATTTATTATTAAATAATTATAATATATAGTATAAATTTTTATTTACCATTCAAATATCATTTAAATTGAATCTAAGTATAATATAATTTATTTTTATAGTAAAATATAGTTTGTTTTATTTTAATATTAATTATTATGAAATACATGTACATTTTTCTCGTTTTATGAAAAAACAATTATTAAAAAAATAATAAGTTTTTACCACAATAAAATAGAAAATGATTATTAAAAATTAATTATAAATTATTAAATATCTTAAATAACTTGCATTTTTGCTTTCAACCAGGGTGTCCCAAAATAAGCTATTGAGCCCAAAACTGCAGAATTTTATATGAAAAAACTTGTTTTTATTTTTTTAATGCAAACCGGCGGGAAAAAATACCCAAAGAAATTTTTTTTAATGAAAAAATAATATTTCCCGATTTGTTGCGGGCTTGTTTATTGAAAAAATATTTGTTAGAAAAAAAATGATGTAAATTCTCATAAAAAGTCAAAAAATACCATTTACAATCAATTTTACAAGATTGAAAACTTTTTTCATATTAAAATACATGAAATTAACGATTAAAACATCAATAAGATGTTTGTAAGATGGAACAAAGATGTTTATGTCATTGATGTAAAGATGATAAAAAATATCTTTCATTTTATTTCAATTTGTTGTTACACATATAATGAAGTTGATGCATAAACGATGAATTGTGTTATAACACAGAGTAGAAATTGCACATATTTAACAAAAAAAAATAATTTTAAATACCAAATTTTGGATTTTACAACACTAAAGTTTTCAAAATAAAAATTCGTATTGAAACACAAAAGAGAATAAATTGTCATAATTAATCAAATATAATTTTGTTCAATTTATCATAAAGTTGAATTAAATTTGTCGGTAATAATAAATTTTGTCATTAATAATGGATTCATGTATATTTTTGGACAATTTTGTAAACAAATTTAATAAATGAATAATAATATAAACGTTTTGTATCGATATCATGATTATATTTATCAATTTATTTAACAACTTGATTTTTTGTCAATAAGATATTTATATACAATTGAATAACAATCATTTTAAATTATGTATTACATTTTATACACTAATAATCATTTTTTACAACACCAAATTCAAATGGTAAAAATTTAAAAGTTTTAAAGCAAAAATTTCAAAACAACTGTGATAATTTATGTTATTATACTTCTACGTTGTTTATGGGTTAATAAATATAAATTAATTAAACTTAAATATTTTTAGAAAACATGTAACGTCAAATTCAATCAAATTTTTTTACACATAGATTTCAAATTAAGTATATATGCATTTTTTGTATTGAAAAATACATAAAAAACATTTCAATTGATGTTATATCTTATTTTTTAGAAGTTGAGATAAAAAACAATGCTAATATTGTGATCAATGTTATTTATAATAATTTTGAAACAACGATTTGAAATGAATGTTAAACTTAAAATTTCGTATTTAATTATCACATTTTGTAAAAAATATTAAATATTTAGGCAAAATAATAAATGTATATTTATGTATCATATTTAATTTTAAAACAAACAAATAAAATAATATTAACAATTTGACACAGAACAACGTCCTTGTTTTTTAATTGACATGTTATTACTAAAATATCAATTCAATTTTTGATGATTTCCCCTTATGCTTTTTTATTTTTATACACAAAATATAAACTTTTTAAAAACCAAATTGTTTGATAAACTAGAGTTTTCATGTTTTTTAGACCACTTGAATTTTGTTCAATGTTGTTAAAATATTGCATTATTAAAACTGTGTAACTAAACATATAAAACTTTTGAATAAATTGACAAAAAGTGTTGATGAATATTTGCGTTTAAATTATTAAAATATTACAAAATGAAATATTATAAGCAGAATTGTTACAATTGTTACTTTTACAATAATATTTTAGTAACACACAGAAAAAACTTTGCTACGTATTATACATTACTAATTAAATTGAATATATTATTATAAAAGAAATACAACTGTATTAAGAATAAGATAAATTAATTATTTACAATAAAACCTCTCATTAACAAATCACCCATTAAGAAGCCTCTCTTAAAGAAACATTTCAGCAAATCAAAACTATAATAAAACTTATTGAGGGGAAAGGAAATAAATTATTTCATAACCATTATTGAAGGGTTTTATTTTCCCAGTTAATCTACTAATGAGAGGTTTTGGTGTATTCTTTCTTTTTCAATTTTAAACAACTTTGTTTTTTTTAAAAAATTACATTAAACATTTAGTTTTTTATTTTAATATCCTTTTTCAACTTTTTTCTTTTAAACAAGTTTTTATTTTTCCTTTTCAATTTAAAAAGTACAAAAAGAATAAAAAAGAAACATATTATATATATAACCATTCAATTGATCTATTAAAAACACTTGGTTTATAAACACTTAAATGTTTAATATGTTTGAATTTGAAACAACAAAGAATATAAATTATAAATGTGTTTTTATTTTTGTTCAAAATTAGTTTTTAATATAATTATAATTTGAATAAATTCCAATTTGGCTTCATTAAAACACTTTAAATGATAATGAAAATGTTGAAAATAGCTAATAATTCATTAATAATTGTCGTTTAAAGTATTTTTATAATCCATATTAATGTTGATATATTAAATTGTAAATTGTTGTTAGTGTATTTTATTAATAAAAATGTCAAACAAATAAAAATAATACATTTGTTATTACATGGAGACATATTTTTTTATTTAACCAAATGTAAAATATTATTTGAAAAATTTTTTGAATGAAAAACAAATATATGTATTTATTTTTTTATCTGTTATGTGATCTAAAGTCAAACAACAATAAGAATTTAATATTTTGATTATAAAAAAGTTTTCACATAAAGTTAATTTTTGAATTGAAAAAACAAAAATAATTAAGTTGATTGAATAATGTATTTCAAATTAAAACAAAACAATAATGTGACATTTTCAGAAAATATAAAAGATATTCGTATATTATAATAATTATCATTAAATTATTGTTAACATAAAATGATCATACACTCAGTTTTGAATTATTTAAGTTGTGGTTGTTATTCTTTTTAAAAACTTAGTTTGTAATTTTCGTTTAAAGGGGGTTAAAACAAAATTCTTAAATGTATCACAAATTTTTGGTTTCTATATTTGAAGAGATAAAAACGTGAAAGATGATAGTTATTGATCAATCATTACAATACGCTTTTTTATAATATATCATAGAATTTATATTTTAAAACTAAATTGTCACTTAGTTGTTATCCATAAAAAGACTATATCAATTCAATTTAGTTATATATTAATATTTCAACAACTTAAGTAATTATTACATTTAATGATCATGCCTAATTATAAATTGTTTTTTTAATTGTGTTGTTTGAAAATATTTTATATTGTAAAAACAAATTATATATTTTAAATTATTATTAAAAATTTTAAATATTAAAATATATAAAAAAAGCTTAAAAACAGAAAACAATTGTTCAAACCAAAAACAATTTGTGTTGTTTTTTTTCCAGCAATAATATAAAAACATTTTAGTTGTGACTATTCGTTTTATATATCACATTTAAGTTATTTGTGAATAATTTAATTTATAAACTTTTTAAATTGTAGTATATACTGTTTATTATTTGACTAAAAAATATTTAAAATGTATGCTATTTTTATTAAGTCCATGAAATCGTCATTAAAAATTGCAATTACTTTAACCATGGCATGTAAACTCTTTTATGTATTTGAATTCCGTGAAAATGTTTTAGAAGAACTGTAATAATAAAATAATACAAGAAAAATTGAATTTAAAATTGAATTTGTATGATAAACAATGAGTTATTTTTCATTTGATTTATATTTAAATGTATTTGATTAAAAACAGATTTTACTGTACATATTCAACAATTTAAAACACTGAAACTTCAAACTTTATAATGATAATAATCTTAAAGAATTATTTTTAATTTGCTTTTTTTAATTTCAACAACGAGACTAATCAAGAGTTTTTATATTTGTTTACGCATGTGTAACATCAAAATTTAGTAATTTACTTGTCGGCTGTAAAAAATTTTATTAAAAATATTAAAAACCTTAAAAATAAACAACTGTAATGGTCATAACATATTACAAAATGTTTTTAAGCATCAATTTTTTACCAGGTGAAGTTCAACTATTTTAATTATGTGTTGATAAATGATTTCTAAAATTTAATTCAACTTTTTAACAAAAAAATAAGTTTTTAATCTCTTGTATGTTTTTCGTTTTTTGTATGCCAATCTTGTTTTTGGATGTTTCATATTGTAAAAAATACAACTTTAAACAAGAAAACATATAATATCTAAATGTTAAAAATATATCGGAAGCAGTAAATATTCAATTATAATTACAGTTAAAAATTTTGTATGTTTTGATTATTTTTTTGTTAATAACCAGAAAATCGAATTATCAGAAAAAATAAAAAAAAATAAAACAACATAACAGTTAAAGTCGAAAAAACAAACATTTTCCAACAATATTTTCCCACTTTTTTAATTAAACTTTCCCTCTTTTTGCACTAATAAAATACCCCGAAAAAGTTGATTATCAGAAAACTTATGCTTTCGGTTTTTCTGAATCAAAAACAAAAATCAAAGTCATAAAGGACTATTTAAATAAACTTTCACTTAATTTTCATTGTCGAAAGTCAAAGGAATTGTTCCATTAAAATGGGTATTGATGTCAATCAAGTACTCATTTATTATCGGCGCAAGACCATGCTCATAAAATATTGTTTAAAACAACAAAATCAAATTTTCATCATGACATCATCTATCATTTTATTCAACTATTGTGTCTGCAATTTCGAACAAAAATTGAATAAAAATTTTTTTCTAAATAACTACATTATATTGAACTCATCTACAGGATATTACAATACGTGTCAACTTATTTACAATATCATGCTGAATGCGTTTATTAATTTTTTGAATTTTAAATTGGTGATGTCTGCTAATTGGTTTGAAATGTTCAAATGATGGTTTAAAAAAGTGTGTCAAGTGAAACCGAAGTTGTAAATTCAAAAAGATAAGTTTGTTCAAAAACAAAGACAATAATAAATAAAAATGTTAAATTGTAGGATAAAGTGGATTCAAGAATGTGGTTTTTGGAAATCAAAGAAGTCAGAAATAATTTCTGTGTTGTAAGAGGTTATTTGTGTTATTTTGAAGTTATTTGTTTTAATCGAAATAAATTTTTGTGTAATAATTTAAAATTGTTTCATTCCAGTTTGTATTTCTAAAAATAATCTAGATGTCGTATTTTTAACATGTTGTAATTTTGGAACTGATCTGTTAATTAATTGAATAATATTTAACAATTTATTTGTTCAGAAAAAAAATAAAATTTGTCTGTTTATTTATAAAATGCTCTATTTTTAAGAGTTGCGACCCGATTTTGTGGCCTAAAAAGATTTGGCACATCCATAGTAATTTGGGATACCCTGTTTCAACTTCAAAAACATGTTGTTATTTTTGTTTTCAAGTAAAACATTTTATTTTTATTTATTTTGAATAAATAATATAGAAATACCAAATGTTATTGAAATTATTTGTTCATATTTTATCCACAAACTTAACATGTTTTTAAGTTTATCTGTTTTTATTGTTTTGAAGACAAATAAATTAACTTTGTTTTTGTATTTTTTGTATTGTATTCAATTGTTTTCAATGAAGCAAATTATTAATAAGTCAAAACAAGAAGGTAACTCATATGGTAACTATTAATTACCTCTTGATCTTTATTTAAAAACGAAATAACGGTCATTTTAAAATTTAATGACTCCTTTGTTATTACTTTTTTTATTCACAGCGTTTGGGCAACCCGATAAACCACCAAAACAAATACCTGCACTTCCCAACCTACCTACAAGTAAAACTTGGCCTTTAAAAAGAGACCCTAGACCACAAACTCCAAAAAGTTCAACTTGGCCTAGAACTCAAAAACCAACCACTGAGCCAGACAAACGTGGTTCACTGAAAAGATATGAAGTTCAAGAATTTCCTCCAAGACCATTGACTCCTCCACCAGCTGGTGCTGAAGGAGGAGAGGAGCAACCAAGTACATCAACAACTTCACCAGCTGGTGCTGAAGGAGGTGAACAACAACAACCACTTTCTTTATTTGAAGGAAAAGTGGGACAAATCTTAAAAGAATTTCAATCAACAGAAGAGACTTATGTTTTGAGTTTAATGGAACTGGAAGAGAAAATGGAAGAACGTTTAGACCTTTTCGAACAGGAAATTATTGGCCTTTTAAAAATAATTTTTGAAAAACACAACGGGTTTTTGAAAAAGCTCATTCATGCCAACACTCATACAAGCGTCAGATTGGTATACATCGCTTTGAATGAATTAATCGATTTAATGGAAAATAAAGAATTAAGAAAAGCATATGTGACATTTATTGTTAAGGTAAGTAAATGGGTTAAATTACTCGATAAACTCAACCCAAAACCAAGAAAAAATAAACTACTTTCTGAAATTGGTGCGTTAATAATTACACCAATGCAAAGACTTCCAAGATACGAATTGCTTCTCAAAGATTTACTTAAAACTCCTGTTTTTAAAGATAACCAAAACGCAAAAAGAGCTCTGGATGCTTGTGTCAAGACTGCTAAACATATAAACAAAAGAGTGTAATTATATGAATGAGTAAAATTTATACCTGTTATGGTTGTGTTTTTTCAAACGATAATTTATCTTTGTTATAAAAAATAGTTTTAAAATAACTTTTTGAACAATTTTTAAAAAACTCAAAAATATGAAAACAACTTTTTTATTTCGATTTTTATTTTTCAAAACAAGTGGGTTTTTATTTATATAAAATTTTAAATTTTTAATTATTACTTTCCATTACTCAACAATAAACAATTTACTGGTTTTTTGTTGAAGAAACAAATCGATATTAACCCTTCCAGTACCAAAAATTTCCAAAAAATGTATACTTATTTATATCTTATTCATTTTGAGTGTATTTTAGAGTAAATAAATGCAAAAAACGCTTTGAACTTTTTACAACCATGGGAAATACCAGGAAACAAAATTAACAGTAAAAAATAATTTAATTTACTACAAATTAATAGTAAATTTTAACCTAAAATCGTATTTTTGTTGAAAAAAGGTTCACTTTTTCTGTGAGGAAAACTTGACGACTTTTCCTTAATTATTTTCAAGTTTAATATTTTTTTTTATATCAAAAATTTGTGTATAGTATAATAAACTATACATTATAAGTCTTTTCAAAAACAGGGTTTAAAATAAGAAAACGTATCAAATAAAATTCTGATAAAAATTCTTTTATTGAAAAACAAGGGATACGTCATACTTTGAAAATTCCAATAGTAATTATTTTAATTTAGTTTATATTGTAAATGTTTTAATGTTTTGTAACTAACGTGTAAAAAAGTTGTTTTTTTATTGAATTTTAATATATGTAACAAACAATCAAATACTATTATATTGTATGTGCAACCACACTGATGGTTAGCGTTCTCACTTTATGAACTTTTGTTGAGAATCATATGGATACGAGATATATTTACGAAATTTTTCTTCTTAACTATCGTTTTAAAAAAATCGTTTTCATTACACAAAATAAATTAAATGTATATGAATAACATTACTACCTTTTTCACATTTTAAAGAAAGAACCTTTACATACATTACTCTAAATTATTATAAAATATATTTTATAACTAATATGAATGACACAACTGTGTTAGACTTTTAATTTATATAACATCCAAAAATAAAACGTGCAAACTTTTTATATATTATAAATGATACATCAAACGTGAACTGAAAAATACAATATTAAAAATAAATATTGTATAATTTAGAATAACTTTTAGTTTACGGATTTAAGTTTAATTTCATTTGTATGCGTGTTATAACAAGCATATTTCTGGTATTGGAAGGGTTAATTTGTTTCAAATTTTACTTTTTCAAAAATTAAATTCATTTTGTTGCTTTTGTGTATTGGTCATTATAATAAACAAACACGATTGTTGAAGTCGTTTCATAATCTACAAACATTCATCAAAGAATGAAAAATTACACAATCTATTAATTGAAATCTTTTTAGTCAAACAAATCATTATTTAATGTTTCTTTTTATTTTACTCTTTTTGGTCATTGTGTTTGCTCAACCAGATGACTCGGAAGTTCCTGGTCCTTCAAATCCACGTCCTGAGACTCCCCCTCCAACAGTTGAAACACCTCCACTTTTTGGTACATTTGGAACAAGATTTTTTAAAACATTGCCGCGTGCACCTCGTACAACATCTTCTACAAAAACACCACCTTCTCCAAAGAAGACACCTCCTCCTAGTCCCCCAAGTGCTCGTGGCCCTCTTCCTCCAATACCTACTGGAACCATCCCACGTACTCCTCGTTCTGGAACAACATTAAGAAGATCCAAATCTCTACCACGTGGTGGGTGGGGTTCTCGACTTTTTGGCAGTCAAAGTGGACCAGGGGTTCGCCATGGAGAGACGAGCCCCAAACGAACAGGACGTCAAAGTCCACCAACAATATCATGGACTGGAGTTCAACAACATCCCGTTGCACCCCGACAAGCAGAAGACCCATTGCTCGACATAGATACTCAAAATAAATTCACTGAACTTCAAACAACAGAAGAGTCATTTGTTTTGGGGCTTGTTGAGTTAGAGGAATATATGGAAAAACATCCCGAAATTTTCAAACCCAAGTACATAACAATTGTGCAATTTCTTATCAATAAACACAACAATTTTTTGAAAAAGCTCATTTTAGCAAACACTGAGAAAAAAGTATCCTTAATTATTACAGCGCTTGAGGACTTTACACTCTTCATGTTAGAGATAGAAATGAAAAACACGTACGTTAAATTTATTGGTGCGATAAATAAGTGGCTGAAAACACTTGAAAAATACAACCCGTTTCCTCGAAAGAACAGAGAACTTTCTATAATTGGAGGTTTGATATTATTACCAATGCAGAGGCTTCCAAGATACGAATTACTTTTGTTGGATTTAATAAAAAGCCCACAACTCCAGGGGAATGTTGTTGTGAAGAGAGCTCTTGACGCTTCAAAAGAGATGGCAAATTACGTCAATTCCAAAACAAAGAAGATGAAATAGAGGTGATTTATTAATTATTAACTAGTCGTATTAATTTAATTTATAATTAATAAAGATTTAATAAAAAAAGTAATTTCAGTTATTTCTCAACTTCGCAAACGATTCATAAATGCCATAGTTTTGTTTGACGGAACACAAGCCGTAGTCGATCTTTTTGATTGTTGGAAATGGTAATTTGTCGAGTTTTGGGAAGTTTTCAAGCGTTGTAAATGGGTATATATCATGTCTTGTCATCAACAACAAGAAAGGTACTGGTCTTTCGGTTATATTTATTCACTTTTTTATAAGTTTAATTCAATAAACAAACTCTTTGAGCGAATTCAACAACGGTGCTGCTAATGTGAACGACGATGTGATTGAATATCCGTCCACATTTGGTACACATAAAACAACGGCTTTTACTTTTGAATTTGCGATGGGTCGTATGTCGTACTGATCTCCTCTCACGTCCCATTCCAATATCGACAAAGTGCCCCAAGTAACTTTTGTCACGTTTTCTTCTTTTTGATTGCTTTCAATTTTCATGTTGAGTGATTTGACCAATTCTGTTTTCCCAATCCCTTCCATTCCAATCACCGCAACAGTTCCTTCGTGCCCGTCGGTGATAAAACTGCTGATCAAATTATTGTTCATCACAAGTGGCGTTGTTTCAAGCAACGCGTTGACACAACCGAGATGTGTTGTCATCCAGTATCCTCTCTCATCCTGCAACAAATTGAAATCCGCCATAAACATTGCGTCACTGAAGACGTATGGGTATTTTGATTTGAAAAGTAAATACATGTACAATGGGTTCTCCTGTTCTGGCCCAATAGCTTGGTCTCCTCTCTTCTTTGTTCTCGCGCAAAACCCGTTGAAACAGTCGAGAATTTGTTGCTTCAGATTTAAGCCCAAAGTGGTTTTCTGGTATGGGTACTTCGCCATCGATATTCTCTTGAATGTTTCCAAAACGGGGATATACGCAGATCCAACGATTCCCTTCTCTTCAAGCAAAAACTGGCTCTCTACTTTGAAGTGGAATGGATGGACGGTGTTTTCAAACTGATTCATCAAACTTTGAATCTTCTGATCTTCCTTTTCATACCTCTTCCGGTAATTTCCAATGACTGTTTCAACACACGAATCAAACACATTAATTTCAATCGCAGTCATTAACTCACACCGGAACTTCTCTTCTACAAACATCTTTTCTTTCAATTCTTTGACGGTGTTGTCCATCGCTTTACTGTATTTGTCATACATATTATCACAATTGCTCGATACAACAGCAACCAGTTGAGATAAACAACACAACAAGCTCGGCATTTTAAGAGCTGTGGAGAGTGACTCAACCTTTTTCAAGTCCTTGAGATCCATATTGCTTGAGATCTTCAACTCAGCATTTGGTTTCAGTTCTTTAAATCTTTGTTTGATGATCTCAAGTTGTCTCTCCGTCGCTCTCACTTTGAAAATGTGTTCATTTTGTTTAAACACCGTTGTGTTAGTAACAGTCTCTCCCTTACTCTCCGCGTCACTCTTTTCATTTTTCAGTGAGGACACTTGTGTTTCAAACTCCGTTTTAATTTGCGACAATTGGTTATACAAAATATCGTCGTGTTGAATAGTGTCAATCTGCGCGTCGGAAAATCCTCTCAACGGGTTTCCAACCAACACGTCCAAAATCCCATTCCCGGCAGTCAAATACAAAATCTTCCCAGCAACGTCCAACAACGTCATCCCAATTTCCTGTGGGTTCTGTTTTTGGGCAATGAAGAGTCTATAGAGACTCAACACAATGAAAAACCTAGTAACTAATTCTTTTAAATTACCATCTCCCTTCACTGGGGTGCAATTGACGTTTATCAATAAGAGAAGTTCGTTGACGGAACGGTAGACGTTCTCCATATGTATTTCCAAGAGTCCATTGGTGTACTCATAGTGAAGTGCAGCCATAAGTAACATGTGTTTGCTTTGTGGAGTGACTTGGTTTGTCTCGAAAAATTTGTAGACAGATGATAAATCCATGCGGTTTTGTTTCTCAGTTACCGTTTTTATATGAGTTCTCTTTATGACAAATTCAATCTCATTTCCTCTTGAGGTGATAAAAAACTTCGATAATTGATTTTATTATATTATATGGTACATTTTATATGTACTTTATTATCTAATTAATTTTATAATTTAAATATTTTACAAATAAATGTATTATATTCTATAATACATTATTATAAAAATTAATAGTTAATTATTATAAAATAAATTGATTTTTTTGAAAAACAAAAAAAATCATTATAGTTTTTTAAATAATTTATTTTGCTATTAAATAAGAGTGTTGGAATAAAAGAACAGATAAGGGGGAAAAATGATGGACAACAGCAATTAATTATCTGGGTAACGTTGGGCGTCCATCATCTTATATGTTAACCCATCTCGGTGAAGAACATGGGGGATGCATCCATCAAAGAGATAAGGGACTCCATTTTGAAGATCAATCCTTTGTGTGGAGAACATACAAATCCTGTCATGTTTACAATCGGCAAGGTGCATGAAAGGTATTTTCTTCTTCAGTTCTCCGGAGTAAACCAGCTTGTTGTAGACGGCTTGGTCGAAGCCCCACCGCCTTTGTCCTCCAATTTTAATCATTTCGTCAGTCCACATTGTGAATAGAGTTATCATGCTTTTCACGTCACCCCCACCAAATCCAGCGTTGTTGATTGGCGCTTTTTTGAGTCGGAGTTCCTCTGCGTAGTCTTGTCCGTACGCCTCCTTCATCCAAATGAAGTTGTTATAATACTGATAGAACCCGTCGTATGAGTAGAAGTCGTCGGGGTCGATACTTCTGAATTCCCTTCCAACAATCAGCGAGTTGTTCTTCGCGATTTTTGTGAAGGGGTCTCTGAGGAAGTAAATGTCCTTCGAATCGCAGAAGATTGCTCTGTCGATTTCATTTTCATGTTCGATCAAGTAGTTCTTGTACAAGACAAAGCGGTGATTGATCATGTTCCAGTCCTTTGGCAGTGCCGTGTAAACAGCTTTGATTTGATACTTTGCAACCATCTCGTCCCACACCTGAATCCCCTTCAGCTGTTCTCCCAAAAAGAGGACTATCTGACAGTCGGGAACAATTTTCCTCATCAAATAAAACACAAACGTCATCATCTCCAAGTGGTTTTCTGTCCATCCGCTCTTCGGTATGAACATTCCGAGTATCGCGTCTCTCTCATTACCAGGTGGGTATGGCAACTCCGGTTCGCACATGTCATTATGTGGAGGGATATTTTTTACACACAGAATTCTGTTATACGAACACATCCAATCAGTGATGTCATTCTTATAGAACACAGGACTATCAGTCGTCGATGTCACTACCAACAACAACACAACAAGTCCGAGTGAATAGATCAGAGCAACCTCGTCGCGCCGCATTCTTGTGTTTTTCAGTTTGTTCCACTTTTTTAATTCAAAAGAATAGAAGACATTCTATATTATTATAGTTCCACGACAACCATATTAATGAATAAAAAAGTTCATTTATTTGCGTTGATTTTCTTGGTGAACGCACCCTTCTCAAAGTAATCTTCTCGTGTTCTGCACGTCTCATTAAACTTTGGGAGAGTTGCAAAGACTTTTGCCCCAAGCCAACAGGAGTAGTTACGAGTTCTTCCGGCGCTGATATTGACATTAATATTTGCCGGTGCAATTCTCTTCAATTCTTTAGCAAAGCGACGCTTCATTCCTGGAAACAGGGAACTTCCTCCACACAAGACAATAGTGTTATAAAAGTCTCTTCTTAAATCGCACCCACACGACATAATGGAGTTATACACCAACTCGGGCAGTCCCGCCATTTCTTTCCCAATCAAACTGGGTTGAAAGAATGGTTCTGTGCATCGAAAAGCTTCATTTCCGATATCAATGACACTTCCATCGACCAATTCGTATTTCTTCTCCAATTCACTCGAGAGGCCTGAAATTGTGAGTTCTTCTTTATAATCAAAAGCAACATAACACATCGCCTCTTTCAGCGTGTTGACCTCCTTTCGCTCATTCTTTGTAGTCATTATATGTCCTCTCTCCGATAACAATTTACACAGATATTCCGTTATATCGTTTCCACCTAATTCCAGGCGTAATGTGGCGTGTTCTAGAACCATATTTTCATAGATCGGAACAACTTGACATAAGCCATATCCACAGTCGACTACTACTCCTGAATTCTTCCCGTCATAGTATAACGACATTAAACCTTGCGACTGAACGTCAAGACCTTTCACATCGAAAGTTTCAAACATGATTTGTTCGTAGCGATCTCTTGTCTCAAAGGGAGTCATCGTAGGTTCGGTAATAAGTACTTTCTGATCAACGGGATCCGCATCTAATTCATCAAAAACAGACTGCCAAACTTCTTCTAAATCAGTCCAATTCTTCACTTGGCCTCGAACTATGGGCTCCGCTAGTGAAACTCCACTCTTGAAATTCGCAAAATCACCAGGAAAGGCTTCTTTTGTTTTCGTGTAGCCAACTAATGTCGGAAAAACCGCAGTTGGAAGGGAATCTGTGTATGAACCAGCCTTCGTGAAACCACTCCCATTGTCGATTATTGTGATTTTATGGTCCATGTGAATTTCGAGTTACTTTCACGGTTTTGAAGTTGCTACAATTTAACATACGGTTTTTATTTAACGTTATTGTGTATTTACAATCGGGATTAAATTGTATAATTATAGTATATTTATCTATTAGTAATAATAAATAAAACAGCTCGTTAATAAAATGACTCAAATAAAAGAAAATATCTCCATTAAAATAATAATAAACTCGTTAATTAGTTATAACTATTAAAAAATAACAATTTAAATTAAAAACGCCTGACACGTTTGGAGTGATAAGTACACTGCGAGTAAATTGAAATTGATGTTTTCAACGACTGAGACACTCAAGTCGGGAAACTAATATTAAATAATAAAAATATTATAAATATTAATTTAATTAAAAAAAGAACTTAAAATCAGAAAAAATTGATGATCAACGTCAAACAACTGTACAAAGAAGTCGAAAAAATGGTGTTAACACAAACAACAACAGAAAATAACAAAGACATCAGTCAAGTCGCATTATGCGACAAAAATGGGAAAATTCTCTTGTATTATGGAAATGAAGAAATCGAAGCCGAGGCAATCGTGTCAATTTTCATGGAAAGTTGGAACAAGAATGCATCGGAACTCATCCTTCACTTGGAAGTTTGTATGGATTTATTATTAGTTTATTATTAAAATAAAGTGTATGAAATATAAATGAGTTTAAATATAGTTTTAATATAATAAAAATATATAAACGAAGGCTCATTTCCAGAATGGTCCAATTTATGTGACTCCGATATCGAAGGAACTGTTCGCTGTAGTTGTTGGGACTAAACAGTCGCATATTGGTATGATGATTCAAAAGACAAAAGCACTCCAACGAATAGTTTCGGACACATTAGATGATATTGTGAGTGGGATAGATCAAGTGGCATAAATGTCTTCTATGTAAAATTAGTTATTCATTCTAATAATTATATTATAAATTATAAATATAATAATAGTATACACATTAATTATTGATAGTTTTTAACTAGTTGGTATTATATATATATTAGTATTTAAATAATAATATTAATGAATTAATGAGTTAAAAAAGTTAGAATATTGATCAATTTAAGGTTTAAGTTTTTGTTATTATTATTTTAATTATAAAGTGAACAAACTGGACTATTTGAATGTATTGGTATAAATTTTCATATTCAAAACTTTTGAGTCAAAAGAATCAATCGAACTAAAAAAAACTTTTTATACAAATAAAAATGGAGAGGTTTAGTAAATGGAGAGATCCGAAGACAGGAGTTCATCCATTCATTACTCAAACGAATATTCCAATAATGAATATTATAATTGGAATAGTATTAGTTCCTATCAAATTAGTTATATTAACAATATTATGTGGACTTGGTAACGGTGCTCTAATACAACGGTTAAAACTCATAGTGTTAGGGTATTATAAATTCGAAATAACGTTTGTATTATATATATTATAATTATAAGTAATTTTATTAATAACTTTAATACATAGAATTACAAGTAGAGATAAAAGCAATCATAAAGGACATATAATAAGTAATCACCAATCATTCATTGATGTCATTATATACTCTTGGATGGGATACTCGACATTTTTATACCCATCTGATGTAAAAGAAGACTCGACTGATTTGTATAGTCTAACTCCTTATCAGGCAATGAAACGAGCTATTTTTAATAGTCCATTCACGGAAGTGCAAAAAATTACTATTGATAAAGTTAAAGGGTTAGCAGTCTATTTCATTGAAGGAACAACTACAAACGGATTGATCATGTTAAAACCACAAATAAAGCCAATTGAAAATACTGCCTTCCAGTGGAATTTAGTCTCACTGAAATACAACGAAGTAAATCCTTATTACAATCAAGCGACAAATATATTTGTTTATATCTACTTTTTGTTATCAAAATTGATGTGTCACGTCCACATCACAATCATGGACTGCAAAGATTTGAAGGAAGAGACTTTCACTGAGTTCTTCAGAAATACACTAAGAGTATCTACAGCTACTTTCGACTCTTCAGCTAAAAGAGAGTTTATCACAAAAGCAAAAACTAATTGAATTCCAGACGTGTTACTCTTTATTTATGTTTATTGCATTTTTTAATTGTATCATTGACTTTTTTAAGATGGGTTGATCTGTAAATTGTAATACGTCAATTTTCATTTTTTTAACAAATTGTATTATTATTAAATAATTATTATGAAAAGTATTATGAAAAGTTTCATTATAATAGTATAGTTTAAATATAGTATATTTATAGAAAATGTCTCAAGCCGACAAACAACTTTTCCTTTTTTTCAACTCATCAGATTTCATCAACACAATTTATTGGTTTGTAAGTAGAAATTTCCAAAACTATAATTTATTAAAAAACAAATTATTGATATAAAAATTGTCTCAACGAAAAGAAGAAATACAAATTCAAAGGAAAAATCGAAAAGTGTTAAAGAGTATAAATAGAGTTTGTACCTTCTTTGGTCATTCAATGTTTTTCTTCTTCTTAGCCTTCCTTTTGGGATTGGTCTTAGCGGATTCATGCAGCTCAAACAACGGACAGTTTGCTTGCAGTGGCAACGACATTGCAATGAAAGCGTCTGCAGAGGACTCGAGATGGCAAACGCCACCACGTGGCAGTGCGGACTGGGTAGAGGGGTATCAGGGGTACTCCCATGTAGTTGGGTACGCACAGGTGAAGTACACATCGACTGCGAGAACAGCAGCAACTGTTACTGTTGTTCCATCTGTGAACCCAAAATATAACATCAAAAAGATCACATACGAATACAATGGTGTCGCCTCAGACTCTGAAGTGTACCAAGTCTCTAAAGAGACACTCCCAACTGAGGACTTGAAGATTAAAGTGATTGTACATATGGACAACGAAGAGACTGAATACATCAATTTGGAACCCCTCGACTTCGTCTGGAGTATTCCAGCAGCCAATTTGCCATCTAACTATCAAAAGGGACAGAAGGGTGGTATCGTTGAAATGTTTGGATGGCCATTTGAAGATATTGGAAAGGAGTGTGAGTTCATGGGCAAAGCGGGGTGGCTTGGCGTCAAAGTGTATCCCCCACAAGACGGAGTTCTTTCATTTGACCAACCACAGGACAATTTGTTGAATCCATGGTATTGGGTCTACCAACCCGTCGCTTACAAGTTGACTTCGCGTATGGGGACTCGTGCACAATATAGAGAGATGGTCAAGAAGTGCCGAGCTGCAAATGTCTTAGTGTACAACGACATGGTCTTGAATCACATGTCTGGTGGAGGAAATGATGTGTTGAATCACTGCAATGGAGGGACATTCTGGGGACCAAAACAGTCATTCAGCAATTCGCCGTACTACACATTGGGATTCACATATGGCACAGACAAGTACACTGGTAAGATCAACACCGCCGAATACCCCGGCTCAGCATATGGCCCATTACACTTCCACTGTGAAAGATCGCTCAACTCGTGGAGTGACGGATTCATTATGAATGCTGGATATCTCTCCGGTTTGACTGATTTGGCCACCGAGAATGATTATGTCAGAGACAGAATAGCGACGTGGATTGTCGAGAACTTGGGAGCGGGTGCTTCTGGTATTCGTATGGATGCTGCTAAGCACATCTGCCCCGATGATATTGCTGCCATCTTTGGTAAGGTGAAGACGTACATGGGTGGGGCGTTACCGGACGACTTCATGGCATATCTTGAAGTGATTACCGGCGGTGAAGGATATTTGTTGGTCACTGATTATAACAACTATCAGTACACTCAATACTTGACTGAGCAACTCCAGAAGAATGGCTTGAGTGAGAGCGACATTATGAAGGTGAAGATCTGGCAAAGTTGGTATCCAAAAGAATGGGGAATGGGCGAAGGAACAATTGCATGGGAGAGACTTGTGATTGAAAATGATGACCACGACCAACAGAAGCCAGGAAGCTCATCGCGTGATATGCAAGACTTTGGCTCCGTCTTAGTCAAAGAGAAAGACATCAACAAACACAGAAACTTTGAAGTCCAATTGTTCTCAAGAACAGACAGAAACTGGACACACCGATTGTTATTGTCTTCATACACATTACAAGATGGATTGAATGGAAATGACGGATTCCCCGATGGACTTTCTGACTGTTCTTTGTGCACTGGAAGTTATTGTGGCAGTTGCAAGTCGATTCCAAAGAGGGACGCATATGTCGCTGATGCTACTGGATATACAGTCGAAGGATGGAGAGGCAGTGACTATACCAGAACACACAGAGACACTGCTATTATCAATGCCATGAGAGGATGGATGGGCTTAGGTTCCATCTCAGCCAAAGAACTTGGTATCAAAGACGAGTAATTCATTTCACTTAGTTCTATTACTATTAAATGATTTATAATAATTATTATTCTTATAATTAATAATAATAGAAACTATATAATATATATAAATACTATATTTTATAGTTAAATTAGTTAAACTAATTAAAATTAATCAAATAATTTAATTTTACACCATCAAACGATTCTTTAATATATTACTAAATAACTAACTATATGAAATAGTATCAATTGACTTCATGAATTTGCCAGTCTTGAGCTACAGGGTCATGTTCCTCGTCTTCTGAAATCTCGAAGTCGATTTCCGTTCGACACAAAGGACAGTCAGAAGATCTCGAGAACCATTGTTGCAAACACTCTCTATGGAACATATGGCCGCATTTCAACTTGACTGCATCTGTCATTACGTCTCTACAAATCATACAAGTGTGTTCTTCATCCTCTTCGTTGAAAGTGACTGCTTCGATGTTTTGTAAAGATCTTTGGAAGTGCATATAGACGACTGTTCTTTTAAATAAGTTGAACACCTTTGAGCCCAATATGAATTCGTAGAACAAAAAGGTCAAAGGGACTTCAGGGATTAACGAGACGATCAATAAGAACATTCCCGTAAAGCACGTGATTGAATGAATGAACTTAGCCGTAAGGACATATAAAGTATAATTTTCCCATCTAAACCCTTTCAAAGCGTAAGTGACTGCCAAGACTTGTTTAGTGATGTCCAATGTACTTCCAAAAAAGAGCATCAAGAAGAAGAATAAGAAAACGGTCTGTCTATTCAACGTTTGAATCCCTTTGTCGTAAAACATTTCTACCATAACAAACGATGTCATTGCTAAGATCAATGAAAGAAAGAAAATCTTCACGCGATTGGTTGGTTCTAGCCGTTGCACCTCAGTAAAATAATCATTGCGAGAGTCATTCAGTAACTGACAACACTTCATCACAGCATACATGATTAACACAAACGCTAATTCAATTGTCATCCGACTATCAATGATCGAAGCAAACATTAAAAAGTCCCACATCGTGTCAGTTAGTTTGTCATACACTATCAAAATCTCTCGCTCTGTCAAATCACCATAGAAGTTCGTTTTGAGGAAGAGGAATAACAGTAGAAACATCGAAATAAGCACATTACATAACGACTACTCGTTAATTGATATCAAATGTAATTAAAATGTATACATTTTATTATAATATATACATTATAATATAACAGTAAAAGAATAATATAATATAATATAATAATATATAATAATATAATTTAATAAAAAGTATAATAAATATATATTATATTTATTATAATATATAAATATAATAAAAAGTACTAGTTTTTATTATATTAATACACAACAAACAAAAAATGGTAATGGGAATTGTAAAAACGACATGATCACGAGAAACGATGAATGATTTGTTGATTGGAGTGTTACAGCGTAATATACAAGAAGTGAGAGAGAAAGAGCAGCATGGGAAAATACGAACGTTGAGAACCCCATTAGTTTTTGAAGTTTCGTTTTGTTTTTTCTTCACAAAAAAACGCAAGAGAAAACTGTTTTGGTTTTTTTTTATTTTGTTTAAATACAAAAATTTGTGAGGAAATCTAGTTTTGTATAATTATTGAATATACTACTGATAAACTATATGTTCTGTTAAACATATTTTACTCTATATATACAATTAATAATAAAAAAATAAAATATAAATAGTACTTTTCAATTTTTTTGAAAAAAAATTATTATCTAAAAAGAAAAAAAAATGAATCATAGTAAAATTTATTATACATATAGAATATGTTTCAATAACAGAACTCTGTTGATTTTGTTCTAAAACGTCAAAGATCAACTTTTAAAGGAATAACGAGTTACGCAGTCGTTTTTCAAAAGAAGAAAGAAGACAAAAATGGGAACTCGAAAACGGGAAGGAACTTCAAAATCAAGCCCGATGTCTGAAGTTGAGCAAATCCTCTTAGTGATCAATCAGTGTATGATGTATCGGATCAAGCCCATGACATCACCGACTATGAAATACAAGTTTGCTTTCTTCAATTATTATAATGCCATTTTTTAAGACTTACAACGCACAAAGGGTTACCCAATTCAAAGTAATGATTCACACAAAGAGCCGCCGAGTGGACGCCCGAAGACTTTTTGTGGCAAGGGAAGTGTGTAGTAGTTGGACGTGGGGAGCAGTGTATAGTCAAATTTGTTGATCCAAACACCGACGCCACTTTTGCGCAATGTCCCGTTGGTCCAGGAGCTGTAGAGCCGGTGATCGACTCCTCGCGCTATTTTGTTGTTCGTATAGTCGATGAAGCTCAAGGCAGAAAAGCCTTTTTAGGTATGGGCTTTGCTGAGCGTGGAGAAGCTTTTGACTTCTCCGTTGCACTTCAAGACTTCGAGAGAAGACTGACGGAGTCCAAAAAGAGAGCAGAGACTAAAGATGAGCCCGTCGACACTTCCGCTTTCGAATTGAAACCAGGACAAACTATCACTTTGAACATTAAAAGCACAGCACCAACCGGAAAAAAGGCCCCTGGTGGGTTAATGCCACCACCTCCAGCAAGTAAACGACAATTCGCCGCACCACCTTCAAATAGTGCAAATAAACAAGTCCAACAACAACCAAAACAACAAGCCCAACCTCAGCAAAAGAAAAACGATATCGACTCGTTGCTTTTCTTCTAAGAAATGTCTTCAGAAACCAAAAATCTATTGACAGTTCCATTTATTTATTTCGTTTGAATAACATTTTAAATAATAATTGAATAACAGTTCTAAATAACATTTTAATAACATTTTAAATTACAAAATTCAATAACAAATTGAATAACATTTTAATAACCTTTTAAATGACATTTTAAATAACATTTTAAATAACAAATTAAATAACATTTTAAATAATACTTAAAGATCACGTAACACACGTAACAAGCGCGCGGCACCATTTTGAACGCCATCAGTGAAGTCAACAGGGTTTGTTGTGTTGTCTCGGTAATGAGAAAAGTCGATCCAACGACAATCAGAAGTGGAAGTGCCTAAGTCATAGACAAAGAGTATGGAACTGGAAATCACTGTACAATTGCAAGTCGGAAAAACATCACAGAAACGACTGAGCTGAGCAATATATGTCTTCTGGATGTCATCTTTGTAGTCGCCCATGTTGTCAAAAAACACTTTCATCACATCGACTAAATCATCTAAAGTGTGTAACTCCAAATATAAGTATGGACTCACTTCGTAGGACTTGTGGAGCGTCGAAAGAGTCATCCCAGAAAACCTAAAGCCATACTTCGCAGTTGTACCCTCTTCATCATTCTTCTTTCTCTCTGCTCGTCGTTGTGGACGCACATCATCACAATACGTTTTGTCGCCTATTTTGAGATCTAATATACAAGGGTGTGTATACCCATATGTTATATTCTCAAGGGAGAGACATGAAGTCTCTTTATCATACCCCAAAAAGTTTGGAATAAGACCATTAAAAAGCGGGTTTGTCGATGTGGTGGTGTAAAAGTCGAGTTCCTTTGTGTTAATAAATGGGGTTGGATTTTGTTTGAAGTGATAAAAGAAAAACAAACGAGCTGATGAGTAACCTTTTTGAGAAATCGTTTACCGTCAGATTTAAGAGTGGAGCCATGTGCCCATGAGTCAATGCCTCCATTGTTTTTGACATATTGTGGATATTTGTTTGCAAGTTTTTCCATTTAAATAATTCTGTTATTTACAAGTTATTATTCTTCTTTCTTTTTTATTTTATCGTCTACTATTTAATTGAAATATTTTTATAAAAATTTTTTAATTAATAAATTATTGAAATTAATTAAAATTTACTATTTTTTTAATTTAATTTTTTATTATTGGTATTGGTTATGAATTCAAAAAACTAAAATTCAAACTATTGTAAATTAATTATAACTATACAATAATTTAATTGTATTTTATTTTTTATTATTAATAAACAAAATCAAATATATATTCAGGCGTTTCCAAAATATTTATTGCCGAAAATGTGGTATTATAATGTGCGAATTTATAAGAGAAAATGAACATTTTGGTTATAAAATGGTGACATGGGTAATTAGGATTGGGATTTTGGAAACCTCTGTATATATTATTAATTATATTATTAATATACTATAAATATTATAATAAAATAGAAAAAAACGAAAAATTAAAAATAAAGAATTCCATTCAAAATATTTTTATTAAAAAAATTACTTGTTAATAGATAACAATAAATTTATTATTATGTAATTATTATTAAAAAACTATAGATTGTAGTGAATATCAGTAAAATTTACAATAATAAAATTATTAATAAATATTAATACTTTTCATGGTTTAAAAAAGTAAACAAAAAAACGAATCGAAAAACCTATTATTAAATCTTAGTTTCAAATTCAAGCTATTTTAAGACACAACAAAATCTTTTTTACTTTACAAAATTCCATTTCGATAGATAAAAAAACCAAAGAAACACTATAATAAAAAATATAAAAAACTCCATTCACTCAGAAGATGTTGTTGTTTCTTTTTATACTTCCTCTCTTTGCTGAAGACCCCGTTTTATTTTGTTACAACAAAGACGCCTGTGATGCAAGTAAATGTGGAGAATATGCCTTTGTTGTTCCCAATGAATGTTACGCTATTTCAAGTACCTCATCGTTTAAAGTGACACTTACCGACGACACGCGACTGAAAGGGAAACAGACTTTCTACTCTGATAATGTCTGTACCACACAAGTTGGCACAGTAAACGCAGAGATCACACGTACGCTTCCGACGGGGTATATAGCAACGAAGACTTATGATTATAAGACAACTGGTACTACAACTCTTCAGACGTATTACTATGAATACGTCGACGTACAGACTAAATACGTCTTAACAACGCGTGGGATAGTCGTTGAGAATTATAATGGGGGGTGTGAAGCAAACGATATCATTGCAGAGCTTCAAACACAAATCACGTGCAAAGTCCAGTTCACCGATTCCAATGGATTTCTAGCCACATTTGATTGCACTCCACTCGATGAGAATGCACTAGGCACTTATGTCGAAGGAGACGCCAACGGCTTATTCAAAACATCAAACACTTCTGTCCCCAAAACAAACCCACCAACTGCAGAAAAGGCCGAATTTGTGATTGTCACCTCCACTGGAAGTGCTCAGAAGTTTGTCTGTGAAAACAAATTGTGTCGTCTCCAACTTGATGTCCCTGTTGTGAAATATAGTGAAGACAACGTGCTTGCCACAGCAATTAATGGAGATGTAACACAGTATTTCATGTCAAATTGTGTCATGTCGAAATCTGCTGTTCTCATTGGGAATGATCTGCACTATGTGAAATACACAGACACCGACTGCACTGATATGGCAAGTGCGACAATACTCACTTCAATCTCTTCTTCAACTTGGAAACCTACTGGAAGTGATTTGGAATATACCATTAAACTGGTAGTACATGTGGATACCAGTGGGACTATGTACTTCTCTGAAAGCGACATATCGTATATTAAATATACAGTCAACTTGTGTCAAAAGACTCAACCAACGGAATCAAGGAAATACACTCTTATGGCAAAGGGAACGCCAGTCGACAATGCTATCTTGGTCGAGTTAACTTACACTAATGAGAAGTGCGAGGGTGCTCTTTACACGACTTCTAATGCTTTGAAAACGAATAAGAATTTCGTCGTACCAACAGACAAACAACTTCCGATGTACAAGTTGAGTGAAGAGTCGTGCGGATTGACTAACATAGAACAAGCAAACACTGTGTCCTACGCGGTGATGAATAAATGTGTCGAGAAGGCTCTTCATGTCATCGAAGAGTCTAAACTGACGATGAAAAAATTCACCGACGAGAAATGCTCGACCGGGGGAGTCGTACAACATCAGATGGATTGCGACAAATGCTCCAACGACTTTTATTACTTGAAATGTGACTTGCCAGCACCAATCAATCCAAGTGACAATTCACAGTTCATTTGTGTCATGGTGATGACACTTTTCTTCATCATTTTGATGTAATACGGTCTTTTGTGTTCTTGAGGTTTAATTGAAATATGTTAGGGAAAAGTACTCTCACTGCGATGAATTTTGAGTAAGATTTTTGTAACAAATAATGACTGGTATTTCCATACTATTTATGTAAAATATTTCTTAAACAAATAAACCACAGATTAACAACTACAATGTGTAAGATAATTCTTATTGAAACAGATAGTCAGAAAGGAGTACATTTAGCTAACATAAAAATGAAGTAAAAAAGAGAGAAAACTCGAAAACATCAGAAATGGAAGAAGAAGTGAAGGCCCTAGTTGACGGACCATTCCAATTACTTACGGAAGCCGTTGAAAAGCACAGTCAAGTGATCATCAACTGTCGAAATAACAAAAAGCTTGTCTGTCGCGTGAAAGCGTTTGATCGGCATTTCAACATGGTCTTAGAGAATGTTAAAGAGTATTGGACGGAGATGCAGAAAATGCCTGAAGGGAAACCAAAGCCTAAAACATGTCATAGAAATGTGAGCAAGATGTTTCTTCGTGGTGATTCCGTCATCATTGTAGTGAAGGCGCCAGAAAGTTTATCTAAGTGACTGTTTTGAGTTCTAGTCATCTGATTATTTGTCTTCTTTTTTCTTATCATATCTTGTTATTCCATTTCTATGAGTCGTTTGTCAAATACCACTTTTTAACCCTGCCCCTTCAGTGATACTCTTGAATATAACAGAATGGAAAGAAACTGATCTATAGAGGTCGATTATGTGTCCCTCAAATTTCAAAAAGCAAAGGAAGAGCTTCAAGCGGTTTGTTTGTAGAGACTTTACTATATTTATAATACATTTATAATATATTAGAGTAATACTAAGAAGTAACTAATAGCATTACCAACAACTTATTAAACACCTTAAAACACTGCAACAGACGTATCTCAACGCTATGCAACAACCATCACAACAACAACTCCCAGACCCACAACAATTACAAAATCATATCAATTTATTGGTCAGTTCATACGCGGCCGCTTGCCAAAAATTGGCGGCCGCGCCACAACCACCTTTAGTCATATGTAGAGAGACGTTGGATATGTTCATTGAAAGGACTAAAGCAAACACAGAGTCGATAGAAGAGACAATGAAGAAGTACGAACAGCTTGAGCAACGGCAAAAGCAAATCATCCAACAGATTAACACCATGGCGGCAACTAAAACTGAGAGAAAGACGGTCATTGATTACTTGGAGGAAGGCGACGAAGACAATTTCATATCGCAAATAGTCGAGTGGGAGAACGTCAAGTTACTCATCGACAACGACTTGACTGAAAAAGCGATTCTCTTCTTGTCGGAGAATCTTTTGAAGCACATTAATGAGACACAGAAGATCGAAGATATCGTTTGTTTCGTTACTTATAATAATAATAATTATTATAATAATAATTATTACTATTATTATTAATATTATTATTATTATTATTATTATTAAAACTCTTGTGATGACATCTAGTGTGAGGGGATTATGGGGTTCGTGAAAATGACAACTTTCACACCAACTGCGTACTACCATTTATACGACGCTATTGTAAAGACTATTAAAAGCCCAGCAGTCTCCGCCGAGGGAACTCCAGCTATTTTAGACGTCTACGACTCGTTTAATACTTCCGCGCCACAACCAATACCTCAATAAGTCATTTTATTATGTGAAAAACACGCGAAAACTTTTATAACGATTTTTTGTGATGTTTGAAAAGTGGACGAAAAATTTGGTTTACTATGTTATAGAAGTATTTTTATTAGAAATTATAGTACGACAGCAGTATTTTTTTTTATCGAAGAAGCCTTTTTATATAGTTTTTAAATTATATGTGCAAAACTATTTGATAAATAAATTAACGAGCTAAAAATAGAAATGTCATAAAAAATTAACGAACAAATTATTATTTTTTTGTGTGTAAATATTGCTTTAATGCACATCATTTCATCTTTTGTACAACTCGTTAAATTTATGACCTGTTAATAATTCAATGAAGATTAATTGGAAACTCAAAACATTTAAAAGAAGACGAAATGGGCAACAAACCATCAGAAGTTGATCACACTGGTCTTGGTCCAAATGATTGTAAATTATACACATACGTCCCTGAGTGTTTTATTAATTACACGAAACTGATCTATGACTCCACCGTTACACCATCATATCCAAATGTCATGTTTCAGGCGATGACGTCATCCCCGTCATTTGTGTTATTCTTCATCTCAGACGGTACAAACGAAATAACAGCGTTTCGAATCTTCACGAAGTCGTCTAATTTCAATCGCTATGATCTCAACTCCCCAGAGCAAGGATTGAAGCTTGAAAGTCTTGAAGTGTTGATTGTGGCGAATCACTCAGTGCAACAAGGCAAGAATTATAAAATAACATTTGGAAATGATTTGTCGATCAGATATTCTAATAATCAAATGACCATTGGACAATTTTGTACACTTGTTTTTGTCGATGGTCATATTACTTCACTTTACTATCAACCATATTTGGAAGAAGTAAAAAACTTCACCTGTCTCACCGGAGTAAAACCAATTTTTACTACTTTAGTACCAAACAAAGTGTTGATTTATTCACTCGAATAAGTAACTATTCTTTTTTGACTCTTTTTACTATATAAACTAATATAACTTGTTATGATTCTGTAATTAAAAAAATAAATTATAATTGGGTTTAAATTATAGAATTTACTATATAATAAAATAAAGCAAAAAAATGCTCAGAAGACCGTTCATTATCATCACTTATTTCATGTGAGATTGGGTTTATTAAAATATCTTCACTGCGATGATAAGAATATTTCATCTTTATTATATATAAGTAATTCGAATATTATTATTATGGGAATTTATATAATATGTCTTGTTATTAATATAATAAATTAAAATAAAATAAACTAATATTCTTTATTAATAAAATTTAACGGATCAATACAATTACACATTATACAAGTAATATAACAATAATATAATTTAACAAAAAAATACTCCGTTATAAATTCTTTGACTTTACAAAAAAAACTTGATTGTATCTACTTTTTTTTTCGGCATTAGAATCATTTCTATCTCCTTTTTTAACTTACGTTTTATAATTTGTTTATACAACTAAATATATAATATTTTTCTATTTATTAATAACTAAATAAAATAAAATGACATTTACATGACACGTGTTATAAAACATGATATTATAATATTAACTTTTAAATATTTTATACTCTCCCATTTCTTCTTAATTTAATAAGAGTTAGTTTTACTACTAGTTATGATTCACGTTTTTATTCCGTCACTTTAGACTTTCAACCATCTGATTAACTAAAAGAATTGTAAACTAATAAATCATGCCGAGGCAAACCAAGAAGACCACCACCAAGAAACCACACACAACCAAACCGGTGACTAAAGTTGAACCATCCCTTGAAGAGACTAAATTAGAAGAGTTACATGACAAGGAGTATGTTCCCCCCACAGAGAAAGAGAAATTTATGGAGGAGATTAAGAAGATGCCCGACGGAGCGACGACCTCTGATGCGCGTGATGAAGAGCACAAGTTTTGGCGGTATGAGCCGGTCATTGGGACTGGTGTAGTTGTTCCGAAGGATTACAACCACCCGATTCAAGAAGATTTGACTGTCGACAAGATATCGAAAGTCCCCGCCAACCTTCCCCGGGAAGACATGAAGTATGTGATAGTCGATATCGATGACGAGAAAGAGATGGACGACGTCTACAATTTATTAGCGAAGAATTATGTCGAAGATGACGACGCGACGCTCCGCTTTGACTATAAAATCGACTTCATCAAGTGGTGTCTGAAAGTCCCGAATTACCAGAGGAATTGGTTCATTGGGATTCGGTTGGAGAACACCAACGAGTTGATTGGCTTCATCACCGGAGTTCCTTCGTTGATCAAAATTTACGACAAGAAAGTCCCCGTCGCAGAGATCAACTTTTTGTGCATCAAAAAGGAGATGCGGAAGTTCAAATTGGCACCTCTGTTAATTAAAGAAGTCACACGACAAGTCCACTTGTATGGAATATTCCAAGCAGTTTACACGAGTGGGACGGACCTCCCGAATGTTGTGTCGACGGCGCAATACTTCCATCGCCCACTCAACCCTAAAAAGCTCGACGCGATTGGATTTTCGTCGTGTAATGAAAGATTGACGATGCAGCGTGCTGTGAAGCTCTATAAATTGCCAGACGAGCCAGTTACGCCGGGGTTTAGAAGAATGGAAGTGAAAGACGCGAAGGAAGTCACTGAGAAGCTTAACATCTTCTTACAAAGGCATCACGACTTGACTGTCTTATTTGATGAGGAGACAGTCATCCACTCGTTTATGACTCGAGAGAACATCGTGGAGAGTTTTGTGATAGAAAGAGACGGGAAAATTGTCGCGTTCTCTGCGTATTATATCTTACCCAGTTCTATTCTGAACTCGTACGAATATAAGGAACTCTATGTTGCTTATCAATATTACTACTTCTATGAAGCCGACGTCGACGCAAAGGCATTCTTTAAGGACATGCTGATCTGCGCAAATAAGTCGAAGTGCGACGTATTCAACTGCTTGAACTTGTCGCAGAACACTAAGTACATTGCAGACTTACTCTTTGTCCCCGGGAGTGGGTATTTGAAGTACTATCTTTACAATTGGGCGTGTCCAAAGGTTAATCCAGACAAACTCGATATCATCTTACAATGAATAACTCAGTGTGGTGTTGGCATTGGTTTCGTTTCAACTCAGAGAGTCTTAAATAGCTTTAAAAAGAGTGAATTAATTCGCCGCGGGTTGTGTCTTCTCACCAAAAGCCGTTTTGATGAAGTCTTCTTTAGTCCACTGTCCTTTGGCTGGTTCTAACAATGTGTAGAGCTTTTCTAGGGCTTTATTGGCATCTTCTTGCTTCTTTCGATATTCAACGACTTTTGCACGAGCTTCGGAGATCGCAAGAGTCACTGAAGCTTCTTTGATACCAAACTTCTCTAATTCTTTATTAATATTTTTACCTTTTCCCGTGTCAACGTGCTTGGTAACTTCCCCCATCACATCGATTTTTTTCTTTGTGGCTTCCTCTTTGGCTATGTTATTCAGTTTGGTCGTGTTTGTCTCTAAATAGGAGATTTTCTGCTCAATCTCTTGATCAACACTTTTCTCAAATACCCACGTCTTGGAAACTTCATATAATAAATGAGCGAGTAAAACTACTGTTTGAAGAGACTCTAACTCACGCTCCGTGTAATCTCTTTGTGTTATTGGATAGTTATTTGTAGTATATCAATAGTATATTAATAGTATTGAATAGTAAAACAAACGACTTGTTGGTCATCGTCACCAAATTGGCTATATCTCCAATTTTGAGAGTAAATGATTCACGGGATTGCTTGAATGATTCGGGATCGGGTTGCTTTTTGACTAACTCAAATTGCTGGACTATCTCTTTTATCATCACTTTCACAGAATCACAAAGTTTCATTGTTTCTGTCGTTTCAGAAGTCATCAATCTCCCATTTTTCAGTTTTGCGCTTTGATTTTTCTTCTTTGCTTTTGCTTTGTAGTTTCTTTATTTGTTTTTGAATTTATTACAATATGCTTTATAGTTTTTGAAATTCAATTACAAATAACAGTTTTTTTTAATAACAAATAGTACTTGATAAAGGAAAACAGTTTATTTATTTTTATTAATATATTATTATTTTAAACCAATTATTTATAGATATTTTTTTATTATACTATTATTTTTAATAAACATTATTAATAATAATTTACTAAATTACAATTAAAAATAACATTCTTAAAATACTAGAAAGTATTAATTTATTTATAATTAAAAATAAAAAAAGAAAACTTCATCGATTTTTGAAGTTTCTATCAACTTCATGAATTCAATAGAAGATGTTTACTGTGAGACAAGCACAAGTATGTTCTTTTTAAATTAATTAAATAGAAGTACAATTGTTAACACGAAGCCTCTTGATTATAATAATATTGTTAAACTCCGATTTGAAAGTTTTATATCATGTCATGATAAAGATTATGAACGAATGATTAAAAGTTCACCCGTTTGTTATGTTGCGACGACCGATGATAATAAAGTGATTGGAGTATGTCTGTGTAAACAGTTTGTTGTTGTTTAATAAAAATGTGTAGAAGTTGTAACGCTTAGATCACACAATTATCAATTTGGTAACATCGGCATTATAGAAACCCTTTGTGTCCACCGGAAGTATAGAAATATTGGTGTTGGTACACAACTGATAAAAGAGACTGAGAACGCTTTAATTGAAAATTACGGATGCACAGGGGTGATTCTTCAAGTGCGAATAACTAATAAAGCAGCAAGGCATCTGTATGAGAAAACATTTGGTTTTGTGTTTGTTTTATAAAGTAAATATATATAAGATGAAACAACAATATCATAGTATGATAATATATTGAGTGCTAGACAACAACAAATACTTGAAGGGTATTATGGTAATGAAGACGGACTTTTGATGTATCAAAAGTTTAAGATAAGTCAGTTGGAGAACTCAGATCTGACTTCATTTCGAATTGAGCAGTGGAAAGAAGATGTTGCATTTGCTTAATAAATATTTTTTGTGAATTAGATGTTATTATAAACACTTGTTCTTTTATCTCAAATTAGTTTTACAAAGAATAACGTCTATTGTTCTTTAACTTGATTATTTAAATCTTTTTTTACTTTATCAGATTAATCCATCAAATTGATTTGTATTATATTCTTGTCATTCAAAAGTGTACAAAGGAGATGATGTATTTGAGTGATAAAGTTGTAAAAATTGTATTAATAATTGATTATAATCAATAGAGTGTATTATTTGCAACACCATCTTTTTAAAATGTTGAGTGATAACAAATTTACATCAACACTTTATAAATTCCGTCTCGTTTTTTTCATAAGATAATCAATTTAGTTCAAATTCTTTTGTCTAGAAATTTCAAAGATAATGATATACATTAACCGAAATAATAAAATGTCTTCCTTCTGTTTTTCCCGTCTTTTTATATGTATATATCCCTTATACAAAAAGGTGAGTATTTCAGAAATGAAGAACCGTCCACCGTTAATACAAAAATTATCGAAGTGTAAAACTAGAAGAGCTAACAATCCCGTCTTTGTGCTGTAAATCAGGGAATTGTAATTAGTTGTTATCAAAGTTCGAAAATAATAACACCAAACATCTTTTTGTTGTGAAAATTCAACCCAAATTAGTATTTGTAAAGAACAAGAAATAATTTTAAAACACTCAAATAAAAACAACGAAATTCTAATGATTTCATGCTCAAGTCCAGTGACTGTTTCATCCAAACACACACATGTTATACACCGAAAAAAGCTAAATTAAAAGAATAAAGTAGTGAATAATACACAAATTCTATTTGATTATATTTTGTTTGCCATTTTGAGCCAGTACTGGAGTGTCGACGCAGACAATTTCGAGAAGACTGCCGGGTAATTTTCTTTAAGGAAGTGTGTTGCTTTTGTAAGACCCATTTCGCGTGCTTTCAAAACAGCAACTATCCTCTCGGAATCCTTCCACTGCTTTTTAGCTCGTTGCAGCTTCGAAACAGTCGGCTTCGTCATTTCCAGCCGTGACAATGAACTCCGAGAAACAGAAGACTCAACCAACGCCGAGTTGTCACAGACCCAGTCGGTGACTTCATAAGACGAGACTGGTGCAAATCGAAAGGCAGAGATGCTTGTGGGGGCGTAAAGAGACTCCATTTGAATTAAACAGATCAATCAACACTTTTATATCGAAAAGAGTGCAAATTTTTGTTTACTCGGCAACCACTCGATACTTCAACTTTTTTGAAAAACTATTCGAATTCTTTTGTATTTTTTTCTAACAGGTGTTCCACGTCGTTATATTTGCCGATTTTTTCATGTAATAATTGGACAGATCTGTCGGTATTCCCCCATAAAAATGGGATATTGTATCTATTTTATCTTTCACAAAAAAGCAGAGTACTCTGCCACGATTTTTTTATACTCGTGTTATCGGTATACTTGCGGGTTTAAGGCCTAATAATCATCCATCAACACATCCAAATTGAAAATGACGTCGGGAAACAAAACCAAAAAAAAGCTTTGTTGATTTGACATTCGTTAAAAACGAATGTTTGAAGACTGAAGACAAACGAGCTTTACAACGCGTACAAAAGACGTAGAATATCGGGAAATTTCTAAATTAAGAACGGCTTTTCAATACAGAAATAGAAATTCCAGTTTAATTATCCGAAAGATTATTGCACCACTTTTGGTCAGATAGTCAATTTTTTCTTTGTTTTTTCGATAGTTTTATTTTTAATGAGTTTTTATCGTGTGGTTGATGGTCAAGCATGCGATTTTTTTTCGCTCATATCTTTTGGTAATAAACAGCTGTTTTTGCGTGACTCCACAAAACAGCAAGGTTTCCATACGAAGAAACTTCTTTTTGTAACGATGCAGAATAAAAAAATAAGAGAAAAACTAATGAGTAATTGTGTAAATGTGGGGTTTCGAACTGTAAATGCCGTTTGATTCGGTTTTTACACTGTTTTCCCGATTATTTTGACTAAATGATACTTTATTTATTTCGCTTGTTCCATGTTTTATTTGATGTGTTTCACTTTTGGCGGCAGCTCTTAAAAGTTCCCTTATTTTAAAGTTTCGTTGTAACCATTATTTGAAGTTCTACTCTAGTTTTTATATAATTTGTTTATAGCTTTAAACTAATTCATTGTGAACAAAATGATACAACAACTGGTGGCTGTTACTTTGTTGCATTATGGAAAAAAATAGTTTATTGAAATCCCACTTAAATTATAAATATGGTTAAATTAATTGAAAATACTTGTTTTTTATAAGAAAATACCAAGTAAATTCCATTTTTTTCTTTTTTTGTGTCGAAATAAATATTAAAGTAATATAATATTATAATTAAAATTATTATAAACTACAATATTGATGAAAAAAATTACTTTTGAAAAAATAAAAATAAATAACTGTGTTATTGAAAAGGAAAACTAAAATAATGTTTTACAATGTGTTATTTAAGTTTGTCACAAAATGTCTGGAATACCAGAAAACTCATTCATTCTGTTGATGTAAGCAGCATCAGTGAAGGTCATCGAGCACGTCCCAACTCGCTGCTTATCGTTGTAAATGATACACTCCTCCGTTTTCGAATTTTCCCTCAAGAAGTTGAGTGGGACAATCGCTTTTCCAATCTCGTTTTCCTTCTCCATGAAAATCGCGATTATCCACTTCCTCTCAATCTCCTCTTCAGTGTAATTCACTCTGACATTTTTCGAAAAGAACCGAATGTTCTTGTTGAGAGTAAGACTGGTTTCACAAACTTGCTCCAAGACATCGGACACAAAACTCAGCCGTATCCCTTTCTCTGTCGACACCTTTGTCTCAAATATCGCTTCAATATTTTCAATAATAAAATCGCGGATTCTACGCTCTGCAACTTTCTGCTCATCCTTCACAAAAAAGGAAGAGGAGAGGCAGTAGACGTTTTTGATGTGGACCAACAAGCAATCTTCGCGACCTTCGCTCAACGCGATGTAGTTACCATTCGTGTTGTCTTTTTCGTTCAACCAAAAGATGTTCCGCTGGAAAATGGCGCCGTTTTCTTTCACCTCTTTCGTCTTTTTCTCACACTTTTCAAGACCCAAGAACTTCTGGTTGTTGATTACACGCAGTTCTTTCTTTTTAGTGCTTGTTGTCTTCTCGATGAACGGAGATTCCGTTTTTTTCATCTGCCGAAAGTCACTGCTTTTGTCTGTTTTATCAGCCAGCAAAGCGTCGGGCTTTTGGTAAAAGACGTACATATCATCACTTGATCCTTCTTTCTCTAAAGCTGCACTTTCCTTTGAGCTAAAAACGCTCACAAAGATTTGGTTTATCTCGGTTCTTAGGTCAAACCCTTTAACATAAAGTGCTTTGTCCCTTTCTTTCACAAAGTTTGGGATAACAAGAAACCCAACGGAAATTTCGCAGAGTTTGAGAAATATGGCCGAACCACAGACCTTCAAATTTGAGAATTTTTGCGGCAAACTTTTCTCGTAATAAACGTTTGAGACCTCCGCGTTGTGAACTTTCCAATATTTCGATTTCTTGACCAACACGCACTGTCCGACGTCTTCAGTTTTGTGCACCGCGACAAGCACATATTTCTCGCTCTTGTTTAACTCGACGAAGATCTTTTTAAACAAGTCGAAGACGCTCTCAAATTGTTTCTCTTTTGTTTCGTACATGCACTTGTACACAGCAACCACAACCACATCCTTCATGTTCCCTTTCACGCAGTTCTTGATCATCTGTTCGTCTGGCACATTAAATATCGAGAACATGTTCCAGTTGATCATCCCGACTTCCAACTTTGGCTCAACGATTTTAGTCGAGTGAGTAAGCTCTTTAATCGTCGGCAACGGTTTTCTTTCTTTCCTTTGCTCCGTTTTTTCCTTCAAACTTTCGTTCTCTTCTGTTCTTTCGTTCCGTCGTTTGCAATCACCACTCAGATCTTGTTCCATCACGTCCTCGTTAATTTTCATCACCAAATTGAGCTCGTTAAATTCTTTCCATTCTTTTTGCTCGTTAATTTTTCCAAGGGACGATGATCTGACCCGTGGACTTGGGGATGTGATTGCGTGGCAATCCAATAAACTCAATAATTTGAGTTTCTTCCCGCTGTTATTAATTTTGAGTTTTCTCGGCAACGACGTCTTCTTAGTGTAAATGAGTACTTTGTCGATGTCGTGTGTAGTCTCGCACGCAACGACGTCGACGAGCATCACCTCCCAAATGAGTCCGGTGTCCTCGTAATACATTTTCATCGACTTTTTAGTGACGTGGACGTGGACCTTTCGCTCCTCTGCTTTTGTTGAAGTGTCGCTTACGAAGGCGCTGCTTATACACAACAGCGTCAAGTTACAATCTTCCAAATCGCCGACAGCGATTTTACCAAGGAGCAAGTCGAGAGTTTCTTGTGGAGTTTGGTATTGGTCTGTTTGGATAGAAATCATCGTCCGTTGCAGAGAAGTTTTCCCGTCAGACATCATCCCTTTGAATCCTCTCTTTCCGCTCCGCGTGTAATCTGTTTTCATTGCGTTCGTTCCGGTATATCTCTTACTCATCAAATTTGCGTGATCTGCCCAAAGATTTTTTATGTTGTCAGTAAAGCCGACGCCACTCCGTATTAAAGCACTTTGCTCTTGTAACATCGCTTTTCCAATTGACGATTGTACGACATTAGTCCGGTCTAAACAGTCAATACAATTTGTCCGCACGACGCCGCTCTGTGTTTGTATAACTTCATTGTTTTTGTTCTTGACAAAGCAGCGCTGATTTATCAGGTCTGAAGAGACGATCTGAATAAGTCTCTCGACGTTCTCGTATTTTGAGTTTGCGCACTCCTTGTGGAAGTCAAAGGGGAAATACTTGACTTCACGACAGTTTAATTGGACGTAGAATCCATACATATCATGCAATTCCTTTTCTGCGCCTTTATTATCAAGCAGATTAATAGCAAGAATGTCGCCGTAGAGTTTTTCGATGGTATCGAAGTGTCGTGTGATACAAATTCCTTGATAAATCGTTGGATAGAATTTGCCTTTTGGCGCAAAAGTGTCTTCTTCGTTAGTCTTCCAGAGGAGTGGGATGTTTCCTCGTATTTGGACGAAGGACGTGAGGTAATCTGTGTTGGAGACTATTTGCTCGGTCTCGACAAAATTGGAGACATTGCCATTAATATCCCCCCCACGCGATGAAAAGCGAAGACCTGTCCGCGAACAGTCTCGTCGAGAAATTAGAGTGTAACTTGAGATCCCGGAGATCGTCGATTTAACAAAACCATCGACAAAGATCGTCACCCATTCATTTGGAAGGCCTTGTACCATATTTTGGTTCCAAAAGAAACGATTATCTACGAGAGAAGAGTCTCTATGAAGACGTTGCTGTGTTAAAGTAATGTTAACGTCGTGACTGTAAAACAATTCAAAGTCGTCAAACATCTTTTGAATGCGGGAGAAGAGCTTTAAATCACTTTTACTCCACTCGGAAGTCTTCTTCTTGTCGTACTCCGGAAGAGGAACGACTTCTATCTTCTCAACGGTATGAATTAACTTATTACAGACAGTCACACTCTTCACTTCTTTCACTAAGACACAAACAGTAAACGTGTGCAGCGCGATGAAGCCAATTAACTCGTCGGCAGTGTACGTCTTCGTGAGACCTAATGGGGGAATTTTGTCACTCACTGGCGATTTCAAATCAAAGGAATAATGAAGGGGAGAACGATTCGGATAAGTAAACGTTGCACCGGACTGATATACACTCACCCGTAAAGACATCAAAAGTGCTTTTTTTGTTAAACTCTTTTACGTCTTTTTCAGTAACAAATCAAATTTTTGAAAAATAATATCTTAGGCATTTGAGGGGAGAATGACAGGAAAATTCTTTGTAATAAGAGGTGGTCAAAAGTCAATACCGATACAAGTTTTTGTGCACAAAGAGTTTCAGGTTGCTATGACATTTTGTATTTAAATTGTTTTTATTATTAATAATATATAGTTTCATCAATCTGGGTGTTAATCAAAGAGCCAATTGTGCTTGTTCAGTCATTTTTAATTCTGTTGTTCTTTATATTGTTTTTTATTCTATTATTTATTAGTTATTTATCATCAGTGGTTTGTATTGTTTCGTTTTGCAGTTCTTTTTACAAAGTCTTAATTTTCACTTTTTTCATTGATCATTTTTTTCTTTTACTCAAACAAATAGATATTTAATTATATATTTATAGTTTTTTTTTAATTCAATTTTGATTCTATTTATAATAGTAAATTTAATTAATATTTAATTCAAAAAATAATTCATTTGTGAATGATTTCAATTAAATAATTGTAATATAATATAATATAATATAATATAATATAATATAATATAATATAATATAATATAATATAATATAATATATTATATTATATTATATTATATTATATGACAATTGTTTTTTTCTTGGGCAAAAAGAACGTTATTCAAAAAAATATGTTTTTTTTCTATAAAATGAATATGAAGAAACCAAATTCTTAAATAAATTATATATATAATGTATAAATAATATAAAAAAAAGCATCTTTTTGCAGTTTTCACATAGTAGACACTATAGCAAGAAACTATATATTACTAGATCCCTATTTTTTCGACCATAATACTGCAATTTTAACTTTAATTCTGAAAATTAGTTGACCCCTTTGTTTTTATTAGACATTAATATTGAGTATAAAAATGTTTATTATATTTGTGAAAATATCAAAGTTGCAAGACAACCTTATTACAAATAAATTATTAGTCAATTTAAGAGGCTGAATGGATTTACAAAACGCACAATTTTTAGTTTTTTATATTTAAAAAAATACAAAAAAATCTAAAAATATTTTTTACACATTTTATTAAAACAAAAACAATAACCAAAATTTCAATACTATTTTTTTTAACGAGTTTTTTTGCGTCTCATTTTTTTTATCAGTTTATATAATTAACTATAAGTATAGTTATAATATAATATATATAATATAATATTAAACTTAAAAAATAACATGACGGATCGTGTGTATGAGGCGATTATTAGTTTGCTTGATGCTGAGTACGATGAACTTGGCGAGAACCTTCTGTGTGCTCAAAACGAGAATACGCGGTTAGACCGAATCATTGAAAAGACTCAAAACAGTTATGTTTCACAAAACACGATTCTTATAGCAAACAAACGCCTTCAAGCGATTCTTCGAGACAGACGGACTGAGATCAAAGATCTTCAATCGCAACTTTCACTTTTGACATCACAAAGTGTATCTCCATCGTTCGAGAAATCACAATCACATCTCATTTCTTCAAAATCTCAAAATGTGGAGAGTGCGCCTCCTCTAATTACAAATCCATTCCCAATCGCACTTATACATAGTTCACTAAGTCCACACCAAGACAATCCACTCCAAACACAACCACAAGAAGTCGTGGCTGACAAGAAGAGTCAAATCCAATTAGCAACAATTGAACAGAATCTTTCATCATCCATTAACAATACTGCCAAACAAAACCAAACACTTACAATCCCATCTATTCCGGTTTTACAATCAAATGTTGTCATTCCTCCTATCCAATTGCAAGGTGTAGTTCAACCGACTTATCCACACAAGAAGACTACAATTAAAAGTAAGGCGAATACTAGTATTAAAACTATTGATAATATAAGTAATAATGTTATTAATAATACTAAAACCGATGAAGTGATCAATGAGAAGCTGGAGATTAATGTGATTGGGGGTGCAAACATGCTAGTCGACTCTAAGATGGTGTTTGGAAATGAAAACCACTCTCTTTAATTCATTTGATGCCTTATTGTAGTTTTGAGAGGTCAATTTTTATTTTTGTGAATCGTTCGGATTACTTAAAATTTTGGTGTTTTTAACGAGAAATCTATTTTTGGATTGAACAATTCATATTTTTTGAATTCCTCAACATCTCTTTGAAATAGGTCAACAATTATAGTAAAATAACTATAAAATATGGTATTTAATAGTGATACCAATGTTATATAATATATATAAATAATATAAATATGGTACAGTAAATAAAATCAAGAGGTTATTAAAAATAGGTTGTAACGTCAAAATGAAACTTTATAAATATAAATGGGACGAATAGATACGTACCACATGATGGTTATCTCGCAATACCTAATGACATTTGAAGACTTTGTGAAGATTCAAAGTGTCTGTAAGAAGTACAACGAGACAATTAAGAAGTTCCATTACAACCCAATTGCATTGACGAGGAAGGAAAGAAAGCACTTTATAAACATTGAGACGTACAATTTGTATAACGAGGAAGATAACGTCTTTACTGATGGGAACATCTTCAAATTAGTAGTCTGGTTTAAAGTGAATTATCTCTCCACCTTGGCATTTGAAAAGTACAACGTTGTATTCAAGCGCATAGAATTCACTGTTGTGGACAGAAATAGGTGCATGACACACATCCCGAGTCACACGCAAATTCTGGGCGAAAGAGTTTTTGAGGGGTGTTTCTTAATGGAAAAAGTGAAGCTCCCCAGCACCCTCCAAATTGCGTCGAATTTCTGTTTCAATGAGTGTCGCATGTTGAGACAAATAGAACTTCCAGAGAAGATGTTGTATATAGGGAACTATTGCTTTAATAATTGCTCGAATTTGAAAGAAGTGCGCATGTGTGAGAACGTTGTGTTCATCGGAGATGGATGTTTCAAAAATTGTCGTCACCTCCGAAGTATTCGACTTTCGACTCATGTTGAAAAAATTGGGAATTCGTGTTTCGCGGACTGTTTCGAGTTGGAAGAAATTAGTCTCCCGACAACATTGAGTAACATCCCCTTTCAGTGTTTTTCAAATTGTAAGTCTCTCAAGGAAATAGATGTTCCAATGAGTGTGACTAAAATCTGGTCATTTGCGTTCAAGAATTGTGTCATACTGTCGAGGATTTGGATGTCAGAAAAGGTTGAGTCGATAGGGTGTGGCGCTTTCTTGAATTGTAGAGAACTCGAACAAATAGACTTGCCTTCTAATATCAAAGAAGTCCCACAGAATTGTTTCAAAGACTGTTACCGACTGAGTTCTCTTACAATGTCTTCAAGCGTCAACACGTTGAAAGACTATTGTTTCACGAATTGTATCAAACTTGCGGAAATTGAAATTGGAAGAGACGTGAAACTCGGTTTTGGGTGCTTCAAAGGTTGTAACGTTCTGGCTTTGAGAAGGAGAGTGATGGAAGATTAAATCTGTGTATTTCTCAACTCTAATCTTGTTACTCAATGGAAACCAAAATTTATCTTCGATTGTTTTTAATTTATTTTACTATTAAATTGAAGTTCGTATTTTTTCAAAACAAATTTTTAGTTGTTTTAGAATTAATTAATTAATTAATTTATTTATTAAAAACTATAATAAACCATTAAATTGGAGGAATGAGTTGCAGGGCTGCAAACCTCAATTAAATAATCGTTTTTTGAAAAAGAAATAATGGCATTTTATCTTTTTTGATAAAATAAAAAATCCTATTCACAAAAGTATATTTTTTGCTCAATTTAAAGGAAAAAATCATAAAAAATATGCTGTTTTGGGAAGGGTTCTGAATAATTCGCTCAAAACTGCATTTTTAACAATTTTTCTTTTAATAAGACCAAAATGTGACTTACTAAAAATTGTTACCAAATAAACAAAACACAAAACAATTTAAAAAATAAATCATAAGTGAATAATAAACACACAAAAACTTTTTAGAAAACAACAAAATTTCGTGTGGCAAAAAACAAATTAAGGTAATCATAATATTAAAACAATAAACCGTTCAAACATTACACATTTATTTAAGTTAAATGAGTTTTTTGTACATGACAGCATTTTCTAATTATATAAACAATAAATATATGTTACATCGAAAATTATATACCAAAATATAATCTCCAATCAACAACCCAATTAATTGTTATTCTATGGCATTGAAGAAGATGCCAATTTATCAAAATTTGGTTCAAGACACGAATTACATATTATAATAATTGCCTTCAACAGTTCATCAGATAAACAAGTCCTAATATTCGTCTTGATCAAAGTCAAAGAAGAAAATCCCTGCTCACAACAATATGAAGCCAAGAATAAACAAAGAGCTCTTGCAGCCATTTGGCTTAACTCTGGGTAATTTTTTTACAAATCTACATTTAAGTTCTTCACTTCTAAATATTTTTTCCAGTGTAAATCGTAATCCATTTTGTATATAAAACACGTCTTGTTCAAATATTTGAACTTCTTCTTTTATTTTTATGTTTGGGTCTTTCCCAATTGCATCCATTAAATTTCTGGAATACAACAAATTATCGTAACACTCTAGTTCTTTGATTTCAGAAAAACGGGTTTCCAAATCAGCTTTGAGAGCAATTATAGTTTCTTTATGAAACATTCGAGGGAGATTCACTTCGTTATTTTCAATAAAACATTTTGCTGTTGGTAGTTTCGAATAAGTAGAATCATTTATACATTTTTTAATTTCTTCAATTTCAATTTTTAAACTTTTAATTTGTAAAATGTAAAAATGTAAATCTGCTTCTTTCTTTTGTAAGTTAATATTGACTTCATTCATAATGGTAGTAATGTCTCTCATAACACAAAGATCAAATACAAAATTAAAATCTGTCAATAAAAACAAAAAATAATCATCGAGTGTTTCTTTTGTTTTTACTCTTTCTCTCTGTCTAAGTTCCCTTAGCTCGTATTTTAAGTTTAAACACTTGTTGTTGGGATTAAGTGGAGTTGGTATTTTGACGACTTTAACAATTTCTACACCTCTTTTTTTCTCGCTAATATTTAAAGTTCGTTTTCCGCCATCTCCACAAAGAACAGTTTTTGTTCGTTGTGTATAGACAGGGCCATGTGTATTTTCAACTGTTAGTTTTTGTTGTATTGATTTTGCCATAAGTGATGTTGTTGTTTTTTGTAATTTGCTTTTGAGTGGAAAGTAATGAGGGAGTTTTTTGTTGTAAGTATTACCAAATGTAGAAGCCTTAATGGTAACACATTTGTCATTGTTAATATTTATATTAGGAGGTGTGGATGAATGAACAATGGCATTTGATGACTTGTGAATTTCACTTGTCAGAGAGTGTTGTTCTTTTTCTTGAAAATTCATACTATTTGAATTAATAAACATTTTCAAACAAGGTATTGACTCGCATTCCAAAACCGCTATTATTTGGGGCAAAACAAACAAAAAGCGAGTAAAACATTTTTCATTCGAAAACCAGCGTATTTCTATGTTTTTTGGAAGTGATTTCAGTCCTTTGATTTGAATTAAATCTTTTAGAGCGTTTCTTGCAGTTGGACATTTTCTTATTGCTCCGATTATCTTAAATACAATGATGGCAATTTCCGAAAAACTATTCATATCAAACAATTTCATGTTTTTTAATAAGTTATAATCGGTGTCATCGTTAAATGTATAGTTGAATTTATCACCACTTTTTTCTTTTTTCACCACTTTAGCATTTAGAGCTTGTTGCTGTACGAAGCATTTGTTCAAGTTTATTTCGTTAATTTTACCCAAATCGAGACATCTATTGCGGATATCCCCAGCATATAATATCAATGCTCCCGCCGATTTACCAAAATTAGAAGAACAAGAGTCAGCAGCACCACCTGATATTTTGAGTGCTGAAATGTATTTTCCAATCATTCTTGATATCTGCCTTGACATTTCTACTCCCGTTTTTCCTTTACATTTATCAAAGTCTAGAATAGAAACGTGTTGGTTGTAATTTGAATCTATATATTTGATAAATATTATGATATATTCAACTCCCATCCAGTCAGTGGTTGTGTCAACACAAAATGAACCACATATACATTTTTGTAGTTCCGTCTGCATGATTTCTTCTAAGTTTTGACAGATTTCTTTGGCTTTATAAGATAAAGTTGTCCTTGATAAAAGTGTTTTATCTTCGTGATCTTATTCTTTAAGTTGTTTTTCAACAAGTTTCCTAACTGTAAACGACATTCCCTTTTTACATATTTCATATGCACATACATATGAACGTCTTTTTTCATCAAATAAAAGATTTATCGTGTCGTTTTTATCTTGAGTCCTTCTAAATAATTCATAAAGCCTATTTATTACTAAAAAGTCTCCTTTAACGTTTCCATTGTGTTTACATTCGTAATGTCTTGTGCATTTTGACTACCCTCCTTTGAATGCGATTTTAAAATCACATAAAACACAACAAGCAGTTTCATTATGTCGAAAAAACATTATATTTTTTAGATAATTATTATCAAATGTAGAGTTGATTTGTTTTTGAGAAAGTCCAAATTCAGACTTTTTCTTTTTGCTTTCCATCATTGACTATTTGATTTTTGAGTTTATTTTTGTAAATAAATGATTGATATTTCTGTTATGTAGAATAAAACAACAATTTTATAATAAATGATATTTAAATAAGTATTGTATTAATAAGTAAGTTTATTGAAACTCGTTTTTGAAGTATAACTGTTTTTTTTTTTGTTTTTGATGTTTTTATTATTAAAATACTTAAGGCTTTATGTAAAAAAATAAACACAATTTCATTAAATTGATTATTATTTATTTATTTTATAATATAAGTTTTTAATAGTTTCACATAAAAGAATTAATAAATTCAAAGGTTATTTATTGGCTATTTATTGGTGTTACAAAGTTGTTTTTATCATTTTAGTATTTTGTACTTTCAATTTTTACTGAAGTATTTCAAATTATTTTTTTTATTTTTTTTGTTTTTTTTTGACACAAATAACAAACTATTACCATTAATTTAATTTACTATGTTTTAAAACTATTATAAAAACATGAAAAATTGTTATGGCTTTTCAAAATTACATGAAACTATACTTTCCATTCCTCATTATTTGAATGGTTTTCTTTTTTACCATCATTTTAAAATGTGTATAGTTTGGACGATTTTGCGGCTAGCCATTCTTTTATCACTACTGGCTGACAAATCTTAATTAATTTATTCAACGAATTAAAAATAATAGTTCCAAACACAAATTCTGGCTGAAAATATTTAAAAATTAAGACGGGCTAGCCACCAGTTGAATCCGGTTTGCAGCCCTGATGAGTTGTTAAAAAAAATATGAAAATCTTTTTAATATTTTTTATTACTATTTTATTAGAGAATTTTTAAATTAATAAATGAATTTAAACTTAAAAGTTGATATTTTTTATTATTCAATATAACAAAGTGTATTAATTCTAATTTAAATTAATTTCATTTGTGAAGTTCAAATTATTTAAGTTAAAAAATTATAGATAAGTTACAAAATTAATAATAAGTATATCTCACAATAAGAAGTTAATAAATCGATCCCGAAATATTCCATTAAAATAACTTGAAATGACAAATAATAATAAACAATAACTTTCATTTTAATTGTTAATTTAACGGCACATTTTTCATTTGGTCTGTTTTATTACAGGTTGATACATCTGATATAATAAAAAGCCATTAACTAATATAATTGTTTCTTTATTTTTAAATTATCGATAAAAAACAATAATAAAATAATAGTATCTGTTATTAATAAAATATAGTATTTTCAATCAAAGCATTTCTTGTTTGATTGAAAGAAACATCCTCCACAGTTAAACTGGAAATGTACTTTGATGACTAACGAACTTCAAACGAGTCAATTCCTCACGACAAAAGGCCCAGTGCTTTCTTCGATTTGTCATGTTGTTTGTTTCTATTGTTATATTAAACAATTCTAATTCCAATTCATTATCTTTTCTTTGTTATAACTTACTATTTGAGTTAATACTTAAACGACAACCTTCGTGAAATAATAAAATTTCTATTAACAAATAGTTACTCAATCCACTTGACCAAAACGTCGTAACAAATGCAGATGTACTTCTAGGCTACATTCTTGCACAAAACTCTTTTGATGGATTTGTCGACTTTTGTTTACGTCACGATTTTGAGTATGGCTGTTTGTTTAGTACAACTGTTAATAGTATTTTCATTATAAATGAATTATACCTCTCCACAGTCCAAATCAATAGTTAAAATTCTATTACAAGCATTTCCAGTGAATTATAACTGACAGACAGACTCGAGTCTTTCTGATAGCGAATTTTTCCTGCCGATCTTCAATTCCTTTAGTACGAGGTACTTAGGCAATTTGGTGAATTTAATTAGTAAGACGGTGATTGAAATAGTTCAAGACGAGAAGTTCTATATTGACGTTCCGACGTTATATTCGCATGACACGACCTCGTCGCTGTTTCTCCGGTCGATCGACTCGTTGGTCCACATGTCGTCGATAGTCCACACGATCATATTAAGTCACATTGAATATTTAGAACCGTTGTTGGTGTTTATGAATGTCATCCCGAACACTTCCGAGGACGTGGAACCAAGATTTGTTAAAGACTTGGTGTACTTTGTTGTGTCCTCTTCATTAAAAGAGCGCTCGGAATTGTGTCGAATGTTTAATGCGGAGAATAGTCTTGAGACGTCAACTCGACTTGAATTTATTAGTGGAGTCTTTTTGGAGATGTGGAATCCTTCACAAGGATTTTTACAGGAATTTACTCTCCCGTGCGTGTTGCCAGAATTTGGAGAAAGACTAATAGTCGGTCTCTTGTGCGTGGAAAAAAAGTCCACGTTTGTGGAGGAAAGTGAAGAACTGGGGTTTATCGAATTACTACAAAAATACTATTGTTCAATAGCTCTTTTACTATCAACACAAACAGCAAATACACTGGCAAAAGCAATTGGAATGGACAAGTTCTATGTGAAGGAATGCGTTCTAATGGGAAAAAAACTGCATTATGAAATTGATATGATCACGTGTTCTAAAAACAGCGAATTGTTCACAAAAATTCAAGAATTTGATACAACAAAAAAAAATTGTATCGATTCGAAAAAAAATCAAGAAGATTTGTATGAGAAGTGGTGCGAAACGAGAAGAAGCAACACAAAACTAAAACAAATCAAATTCTCAAATCTGGAGATCCAAAGTCAAAGCTCAAGAGAAAACTCATTGAAAAGTGAAGGCGTCGACTCAAATAGCGAAAAAATCTCATTCAAATATACACCAAGCAGAAATTCTTTAAAGGCAGATTGGATGTCTCCTAAACACCCCGAATCCCCCAAAAATAGTAAACTTATTATTAACGAAAAACCAATGTTGGAACTTAAACCTAATAGAAATTCTCCTGTCAAAACATCTTCAGCTATTTCTCTCACTACAGAACTCCCACGAAAAAAGAAAAGAAAGAGATCGTTTGTCGAGGCAATATCTTGTTTGGCTACTTTCGGACCAAAAAAAGACTAAAGAATGGGAAACTATTATTAAATTATTAGTGTTGTGTATAGATTATTTGTTATTATTGTTTTTCTATATTTTATAATAATTATATATTATAATTTATTATTATAATTTATTTATTTTTATATTATATTTTATTATATTTTATTATGATAATAATTATATATTAAAATTTATTATTATAATTTATTTTTTTAATAATAAAACCCATAATTTTTTATTTTTTATCATTTGTTATACTTATTACTTATTAAATATAAAAATTATATGATGAGTATTGCGTTATCAGATGAAAACTAATTTATTAGTTATTTGATTAAAACCAAGAATTCTGATTTTTTTAATTATTTTTAATAAATAATAGAAAAAAAATAAACAAAAAAAAATTAGATGAAAAGGAAAAGAGAGGAAAACACACAACAAATCTTTCACCAATGCAATCTCACGAAACAGCAAGATGGAACTTTTCGTGTTGACAACATGAAAGGGAAGATTTTACAAAAACTAATCAGCGAAACGAGATTTAGTGAGATAGAGACAATTTGTTTTCAAAATCATTGCATCGACAAGGATACGGCGTCTGCTTTAATTCAACTTGGAAAAGCAAAATGCGAAGAAAAAATCGAAGTAACACCGAAAAGCATCGTTTTGAAGGAACTCATAAACGAAGGATATAAAGTTCGATCAACAACAAAAGGATACATCGCGGTTGGAGACGTGCAAATGAGAGAATCACTTTTAATGGTCGTTCCACCAAATCAAAAAGTTGAATTTTTCAAAAGTCAACAAATTGATAAAAAGATTGAGAGTGTTGGAATGACGAAAGGTTTAAAAGAGGAAAAAAATAAGAAGAATGCAAAAAATATTATTGACAGAGTATCGCACGTTGCTGTCGTGGACAAAGACGTTGTTGTGTTTGTATCAGTCAAACAGTCGAACCTTCTTGATTGAATTAAAAACTGTACCAATGAAATAGTTTAATTATAGCAATTGAAATGGTATTAATTATTATTCAACTTTTGTAAATAAATAATACTCTAATATAAAGGTTAAATGCCTAAGATATCGAGATGATAAAAATTAATTAAAAAATGAAACAATAAACTATAAAACCTATTGTGAATGTCTGAATCTGTATCACAGCCACAAAAAGTTGCTTCTGTTGCACAAGTTGAGGATGACAACTTTGAATTTCTGATCGACGGTTCTACTATGAGTTCGTCATACCTGATGCGCGGCTGCAAACATCCACATAAAGTGTACTTCCACCACTACTGCAAAGAGAACATCCCAATTGTGAAGAGCCCTCTAAAAGAAAACGGTGTTTCTCTGTATGATACGTACCTTACTGACAATACTGAGGCATTGGGACAATTTCAGACGCGTGGAATCATTTTGTTGAAATTGAATAGCATTGCGAGAGGTAATTCGATCATTCAACCGCAAACAATTGAATTGCTCATAAAATTATACGAGTGCGACATTCTTCCGTTGACACCAAAACACACGCAAAACACAATTTCGGGAAATACATATCATATCGCGGCGATCGGGAAAGCACTTTATGGGGCAGGGGATGTGATGTACAAAGGAGAGAAGATGAGCTGTGCAGAGGCTATGACGAAGGAAGGTCTTAAACCTGTTGTATTAGAGGAGATGGAATTTGACACGTTTTTGAATGGAAATGAGAAGAATGTGATGGACGTGTGTCGGTACTCAGACATCCTTTATAATACATTTGAAGCCCTCGCAATCAATCTCGTTATAGTGTGTAAGAGAGAAGGATTCCTTGTTGGAGACTTGGCACCACTTAAGAATTTCTCCACAAAAGGCCCAACGAAAATTGGGTATTTGTTTAGAGATGCTCTGACCGTCAAAGCTAAAAAACACCAAAAAGACGCTGATAAAAAGTGTGATAAAGAAGTCCAAAAAAGTGATAAAATGGAAGAGAAGCGCGCTGAGGGAGACAAAGAGGAGAAGAACGTAACAAACCCAACTATTTTTGACATGATCTGTTCGTTGGGAAAAATATACGACGTATTTAACATGGACAAAGAGCTAATAAAGAACGAGATAAATATGATGCGTGTTGGGACTTACGCAACCAAAACGCGTGAAGGTTCAAACACTTTCCCAATGAAGTGGGGCATTGGAAATTACTGTGATGTCGTTAGGAGACAGCTCATTGGCATTTCAAAGGACCTGGTTCTCTTCTGTAAATCATATGGTGGATATGTCAAATTCGGTACATTAGCGGTGGAAGAGGAGAAAACTTCTGAAGAGAAGTCCCCTTATTACAAACTCAAAATGACTGTGGAAAAGTCGCTCAAATGTGTCGCTCGTTTTGCCGATCTCAATCTCGGGATTGCAATTTCAGAAAATGACAACATGAGGTTAAATTCCGTTTTCGAAAACCTCAAAAATATTGGAGCTGAAAAACTCGAATACTCAATTCGTTTTGGCGATTTTAGAAAGACTCTCAAAGAACAACATCTTACTCTTTAACTTTTTTAGTTAATTTTTAGTTTGTGAATCATTTAATCACAAGTTTCAAGAAAATTTATTATGATTATGTCTAGTAAATTAATAGTTTAAAGTATTAATTATTATAAATAGTAAGATAATAGTAAAAAACCATATAAATAGTTTCACAATAAATCACTTATCCAGAACAAGATTTTGAGAGAGGATCTTGTAGGAGAACCTGCAGCTAAAAGAGAATGCGATAATAACGAAGACATATCTGACGAGGTCTTGGAGGTCGAACGGAAGTACACGGACACTAAGTTCAAGACCGAATCCGAGGAGGAAAAAGTTGTAGACCTTTACACAGATAACAGCAAAGATGAAGAGTATAAAGTTCAAGAAGAAAGTGATGACTGTCCTTTTAACAACAACTCCAAAGAAATTTGGTGGTTCACTTTGGATCTTTCCGTCAGTGCAATCCGAGTGATGGGTTGAGATACTAGATTGTATAGTATAAGTATTAATTAAAGTAATTGATAGAAGTATAGTTATTAACAAATAATAACAATTAATAAAATTAAACTATACAAATATGGTAAAATGTAATTAAAAATAATAAAACAAACAGCGATTGGACTTCTCTTTGGCTCGATGTATAATCTGTCCAAGAAGACAGAGTAAAACGTGTTTGCAAAGCCGAAGAAAATGCCCGTTACAGAAAAGACCATACTGAGTTCGTCAATTTCGTAATAGTCGTTTGAGTATCCAAGCCCACTCTTCATTGAAACCATCGCAAAGTACGATGCGAACATCGACACGACAAGAACTGTGAAAACACGGACCAAATTTCTGGTTGAACGGAAGAGTTTAGTGTGAGTCTCTAAAACCTCGGGGTCGCCTATTCCGTCAGCCCCCTCATTTCATCAAAAAACAGCATGAGATTGTTATAATTATTGTACTACATTTAATAGTTTATAAATAATACATTATAGAACTATAACAATGTATTATATTATATAGTAAACGTGTTAATAAATATAGTACAAACTGGTTTTGGTAAAGAAATACATGACGACGAGAAAGCCCTGAAGCGTAGCGTTGACAAAAGTTGCACTCACGATTGATGAACTCATATCCGCAGTGAAAAAAAGGGAAGTAAAAGTCAAGACTCCGGAAACAATAAAAGCAACAAAAGCCGAACTTGCGACTTTTTTAAGTGCTTCATACTTATCGTCTTGGGTCATATCATTCACTCTCATATTTCTCTTTTTCAAGTACTTTCTTTTCGTTCTTTTTAGAATTATCAATTTTCAGAGAAACTATAAAACAATAATAAATATATTATTAATTGTTAATTGTTGATTAACTATAATTTATAAATAATACAAATAAATATTTTTAACATTTTTATATATTAGTTTATTTATAATATTTTTAACTAATAATAAAAGTGAGAGGGTTTACTTAATTAAAAAGAATAATAGAACTTAAAAATAGTAAAAGACGGAGTTCACAAGACGATACATGGAGGAATGCTTGCTTAGTCAAAGTAGGATAGGAATCCCGTGTTTGTTTTGTGGATGAGGAAATGCCTGACAAGCATTTTCATGTCTCATCTTTTCAAACAAACACCATAATCTATTATTATAGTTAAATTATAATATAATGAATATAAATATGATAATTATTATTTAATACATAGTTCTTAGTATTATTCAATATTATAAATAATCTCAAAGTCTCATTTTTTGAAAAGGAGAATAAGAGATCATTTAAAGTGCTAAAAGAGGAGATGAAAAGAGAATTTGTTGTCATGAAAAAGAAAAAAGAACTTAAAAATTGACAAAGTTTAACTCATTTTTAGTTCCTCAGTTCTTAAGGATGTGGGTATGGCACTTACCACAAGTCAATCTGTCTGAGTGTTGAGCCAAGAAGCAAGCATGGCCACATTTCTTGTTGGTGCAGGCCTTTCTGAGTCTCTCGACCTTTCCTTCAGCAGTGACGGAGTAGAGCTTGAGGCAAGCCAATTTGACTTTCTTGTTGACGTGTTTCTTGTGCTTTGGTTTTGATGCGTCTTTCTTCTTTGACTTCTTGTTCTTACCACCTTCAAGGCTGCCCATTTCAAAGAGTGAGGCGCTGCAAATGACATCATTCTCGGCAAGGATTTTGCTTCCGTTGAAAAGCTTTCCACAAGACAATCTGGTCATAACCATACCAGCAGTCTCATTGGCGGAGAGTGTGATGAGCTCGCTGTTTCCTGAGAGTCTCTTGATGACGGCTTGCATTGCGAATTATTTGTTTTGCAATAGGTTTATATCACAGGGTTTTTCATATCATTAGTATACTATTAGTATATTATATTATAATTATATTTTTATTAGTCTACCATATTGTAGTATATAGTTATAATTTAACTATATTTCAATGGTTTGTTAAATAGATATAAATAATAATATTTTAATTATAATTAGCAATCCATCAAGTTTTGGAGGGATTCAATAATGTTGTTGATATCAATACGTGATTCAGGGACTTGTCTCCAAGTCTTTTGAATCAGATCGAAACACGTTTGATTCATATTAACTGCTTTTTCTAACCGGTTTCCAGAGATCACAAATTCGGCGATTTTCCATGGGAATTTGAATTTGGGTGTATTGTACGCTTTACACCACCCGAAACACTCGTACATTGTTATTGCCAAAGAGTATATATCTGCAGCTGTTTTGTACTTCTTTTGATCTAGAACTTCAGGCGCCATGTAAGTTGGTGTTCCAATGCCTTTTGTGAATGTCATGTTAGTCATTAACATGTTGATGTTTCTTGATGACCCGAAATCAGTGAGTTTGGCATTTATTCCATGCGTTAGATCCATAGAAAAAATCAAAATGTTATCAGGTTTGATGTCTCTGTGTAAGATCCCATTGGAGTGCAAATATAGAATGCCTTTTGAAGCGTCTAACATCATTTTAAGTCTTAAGTGAAGTGTTATTGTGTCGTCTGCTTTGGTTTTTATTAAATCATATAAAGAACTATATGGTGCATACTCGGTGACCATACTTATTCGATTTGGAACTAAAACAGCACCATAAAAGTGGACGATATACTCACTGCGGAATTTGTCCATCATCTCTATTTCGTTTGTAAACTCTTCAAATATATCGGTAGTAGTGGTGACACTTTTCATCTTTTTGATCGCTACTTTGTTTCCTCTAAAAGTACCTAAATACACAATTCCAAAGGAGCCTTCACCTAACTTCTTTTCTGTATCTAACTCGTCGGGATCAAGGTGTGTGGTAATCTCAGTCTCAACTTTTAATCGTATCGTACTACTATACTCAACACCTTTTCGAGGATCTAGACAAGTCACAACAAATTGATCATCAATTTTACACGTAAAGTTTGGAGTTATAAAGATTTCGAATTCACACGCTCTGCCTTTCTTTAAGGTGATTAATGAAGGTGTCACTTGAAGTGAAAACTTTTCAGAATTTTTAATTGATATCTGTATTTTAAGGGTGTGGGTATTTGAGTTACCAATACAAAAAATATCTTTGGTCTGAGTTCCCACTGGAATAGATTCTTTTTGATCGTCATTTCCTTCAAAGACAATCGTCTTTTTGTTTGTTAGCAGTCCACATTCTTTATTTAGAACTTCAAAATTGATGTTTGAACGTTTGATTTCAAATTCACACACATTACTTTGTTTCTTTCTTTTTCTTAATTTATTTGAAATTTTAAAAATTACTATGCAGGCGACTGTTAAGATAATAAGAATAACAAGGACGACGACTATAACAGGTACGCCTATTATCATAAAGTAATTTTTATGCGAAACACATTCGGTACCTGAACTTGACACTTCATAACCATTTTCACACAAACTGCACTTGTTGTTTTCTTCAGCCAAGCAGTGTTCTACTTCGTTAAACGGAACACAGGTACTAATTAAAGAAGATGTCGGGAGCAAAATGAATGAATTGTTGCATGAAGTACAATCAGATTGTTGGGAACCGGATTTTGAACTACATGTTGTACATACTTCGTCACATTTGGAACAGTATTGAGAGTCAATGTAAAATCCATCCTCACATAATATGCACCCATTTGATGTGATATTAAGACAATTGGTTATTTTCGACTCATGAACGCAGATACCTTGTTTGGTGTCATAGAAGTATCCAGCCGTCATGTTGCATTCTAAACATTTTGTTGCTTCATTGATACATGTAAGACATGATATGTCACACTTGATACAATCTTGTTGGGACAAGAAATGCCCATCTTTACAAAATACACAGCCCGTAGAAGTTGGGAGGAATGTATCGCATCGTTCAGATAAAGCACCAATTGCTTTACATGTAAATGTGTTCTTGTCATATGAATACCCAAAGTTACATGTAACACATCGTGTTGATTCACTCGCACATGTTTTACAATTCGAGTCACACACTTTGCACTCCCCTCCTGTTAAATAATACCCTTCAATACACCGTTCACACCCGAACTCATTGGCAATGTCACACCTTGCCATCTTTTCCGTACCACAAATATATTTACCATAACTGTCTTGGCTCAGTATTGTGTTATTATCACACACTTTACATTTGACATTATTGTTGTTATCTACACTCTCAAATTTGCAATTTTCAGTTGTAAGTCGTTCGCAATTTCCATTCGACGTTTTTACATAATTTTCATTACATAGAATGCAAGTCGAGTTGGAAAAAAATAAACAGTTAGCAACATTGTTTGCAACACATATTCTACTATTAAAAATGTATCCATCTTTGCACTCAAAACATGATGTATCGTCACAAAGAGAACAACCTTCCCCACAGTTATAACATACTCCAGTCTTAAGTCCATATCCAATCGTACATTCAGAACACCAATTACCTTTACCACTCACACACAACTCATCTTTAGAACACGTGTCATCTTCAAAATAATACCCAGAAATGCAACTCATACAAATTGAGGTGTTTTTACATTGGTTACATCCATCAGTTAAACAAGATGTACAAGTTGGTGGATTCACATTTAATAAAGTCGACGTAGCTTTACATTTAAAACACCCTCCTTTCGACTCAAAAGCACAGAATAAAGCACCTTTTCCAAACTTTTTTGTTGTTGGATAATATAAATTACATGTTATTACATTCTTCTCTGGTTCAGTATAGAAAGCACACGTGTTATTTGTTTCCAAAGCAACACATATCCCACTTGGTGAGATGGAGTATTTGCATGACTCACATCCAATACTTGACGTTATTTCGGCTTTGACACAAAACTCGGAATTAATGTATTCACTGCATACACCACTCCTTAATACTAACCCTATTTTACATTTAACACAATAAGTGCTGTTAACACATAATTCACACGAACTGCCACATTCAACACATCTCCCCGTATTGTTAACAACTGTTAAACACAATTTGCAATTTCCTTGATCATCAAATCCATTTCCTTCACTACAATAATCACACACAAAACCATCTCCTCCAAGTTCTGCATTTTGATGACACTGTGAACAACCAGCCATCAAATTACTGCACTGCTCACATATTCCATTGTTTGAGAAAAACCCATATCCACACGAAACACAATTCCCATTGTTTACAACGTAATTTCCAATACACTTTTCACAGACAAACTGAGTTGTGTAACCACACTTCTCACATATCGAAGACTCACCAGAGCATACTAAACGTTATTTATTCTATTCTGTTTTATTGTCAAAATAACAAACAGCTGCACGTTCCATCTTTCAAAAAGTAACCATTTCCACAGCTCGTGCATGTGAATCCAGTTGTTGAGCAACTTTCACATCCCGGAATAGACGTCGCACAATCACCACAGCTGTTATCCATTTTTAGAACGTAAGTGTCATTACATTCAATACAAATAGCGTTCGATGAACATTCTTTGCAATTGTCTCCACATTTAGAACACCAATTTCCATTTTTAAAGTATCCTTCATCACAATCAGCACACGAATCATCAATTTGACTACACTCAGAACAACCAATTTGTGTCGAACAGTCCAAACATCCACCATTGGACAAATAATACTTGTAGAGACATTTCTCACAAACATCTATTGAAGTAGGACAACTGTCACAATTAACGTCTTTACATGTTGTACACTTGCCACCAACTGCTTCAATGTTATTTTCACACATTTTGCAACCAGATTCAGTCGTGGAGCACATCACACACCCACTGATATCCGAACACAAAACACACTTATTTTCAGTGAGAGAGTACCCTTCTTTACATTGTGTACATTTTGCATTCGGACACACAGCACAATTCGTTACAACATTGTTGCACACATCACATGTGCTTCCTTTAAGATAGTAACCAGATAAACACGTCAAACACTTTGCTTCTATTGTTGAACACGTTAAACAAGCTGAACTAATAGTGGTACACGCACTGCATACACCATTATTCGGATACCCTATTGTACAATTTGTGCACTTCCCATTTGTGGTACAATTTTGACAATTTGTGAGGGTATTGCACTTATTACAGGAAGACGAAGACAAGTAATACCCATCAGAACACGACAAACACACAGTTGGGGAGTCGCATGTTTTACATGTATTTGATGTTGTATCCAAACACAGATCACAGGCTCCAGTTGTCGAATTCACAAAATAACTTTTTGAATTACAAGTTTTACAAGAGTACTTTGTTTTGTCACAAGTGTTACAATTAGCAAACGCGGTACCACATGATACACATTTCCCACTTTTTAAAGTGTATGCCTCGGAATTACATTCAATACATACAAAATTATTGTTACAAGAAGCACAGTTGGGTGTAATTTCTTGACAAGCTATTTGTTATTAAATGTCCTGTCATTTACAACAATACAAACTTTTACATGAAACTCCTCCCCCAACAAGACTTTCTTGTTTGTAGCCACTTTTACATGTTAAACACTCGGCTTTAGATTGATTACAAGTTGCACATCCTCCATTAATATTCGCACACTCGGAACATGAATTTCCATTAAAGTAAAACCCAACATCACATTTGGTACAAACACCTGATGGGCATTCAACGCATTCAGAAGTAACAGTATCACATGCTGTCTATTATTCCAATGTTGTGTAAAAATAAAAACAAACCCTTGCATGTCCCCACAGAAAGATAGTATCCCGTGGAATTGCAAACTGAACACACTTTTTCATTTGAGTTACAAATGGTGCACCCTTCAATTGAAGAGCATGGTTTACACTCGCCGTTTTCAAGGTAAAACCCAAAAATGCAATTTGTACATTTACTTGACGAACACTGTAAACAATTTGAATATTGTGTTGCACAGAGATCACATTTAGTATTACTCAAAATGTGATTCGAATCACAAACATCACATGCATAAGTTGTATTTGAGCACTGTTCACACCCTCCGATATCACACACTTATTGTTATTAAGAACGATAAAAACATTTAACAAACGTTTGCATTGTCCTTCTGACAAAGTGTATCCAGTCACACATGTTGAACAACTTTCTGCTGACATACACGTGTTGCAGTTGGTAAGCGAACACACTTGACACTCTTTTGTTGTTTGGTCCAAATAATATCGTGACGAACAACTTGTGCAGCTGTTGTTACTTGCAGCAACACACCCCGACATAATACTAAAATGTACACACCTTCCTTCATATAACAAGTTCTCACTTTTGCATAGTGTACAAACTTCACCCACGGCAGTTGTACAATTGACCAACTCTATATGTCAAAACTGGGCGTTTAAGAACAGAGAACAAACCAAAACATTTGTTATTTTCTAAGTAGTATCCATTCAAACATGAGTAACACTTTTGTTCCAAAGTTGTACTGTAGTTCTGACACGTCGCACAGCCACCTTTTGAACATGGAATACATTCTTCGCCATTTGGGTAATACCCAAGTGCGCAAGCGACACAGACATCAATTTGAAGTGATGTGTTATAAATACACTGAGTGCATTTGTCAACATATTGTTGACATGAAACACAGACATTTTCAAGTTTTAAGTCACCGGTGCATGAACTCTGTTCCTCTGTTTGTTACTTAAAGAATTGTGTTGAAACCAACAAACCAACATATACTCCTTTGCCTGTATCGGTTCCTAAATTCATTGAAGTTTCTTTGAAACACCACCCACCAATCAGATGATATCCTGAAACACATTTGGTGCATCGGGAGTATGCAGACGTTTGACAATTATTTAATGAATTAAGCAAACAATTTCCATCATAATTTTTGATGTAGTAATCTTCACAGTCGACACATTTCCCAGTTGTGTCACACCCCAAGTTTCCACAATTTAAACATTGAGCACAATTCGTGCCATTTTTGAAGTAACCGGGTTTACATGTTGTACATGTTATTGGAGTGCCAGTTTTACACACAGAACATCCGACAATTGCATCTTCACATGCAAGACATTTGTTTTGGGTTTGTGCATATGAACGAAAATACCCACTCAGACAACTATTTGCAGAACAACTACCTGTTGAACACCCTGTGCAATTGTATTCTTTGACGCATGATAAACAATAAAAAAGTGTTGGAGATGCATTAGTAAAGTCTTGGTCTAAACGATAGTTTGTATTACTACAAGAATTACACACACCACGTTCTGTATTACAGACACAATTTGGTTCAGAACATGCTTTGTGTTATTTAAATGAATTCAAATGAATAGAAAACAAACCTGGGCATAATCCAGACGCTGTCATTTCTAAATCGTTTCTACATGTCAAACACTTTTCCTTAGTACAGGACCCACACCCATACCAAATATCCAAACAACTGAATATATTTCCATTTTCATCAACAGAGTATCCATCAGCTGTCTGTGTACAATCTGTGGCGTTCCATTCAACACATGAATTATCAGGAGCAAATACCGTCTTGACTTGTTGTGAGATGGATAAAACAAATTAACAACAAACGGATACAAACACCGTCACGAAGGACATAACTGCTCAAACATTCTGTACAACTCGTTTTTGTACAACTTTTACAAGAATTAAATATTCCAGAACAACCTTCTTGTTACAAATATCGTCTTAAGAAAAGAAACAAACTTGTACATACACCATTGAAGAGAGATAACCTTGTGCTACAACCAAGGCACCTTGATGAGTCACATGAGATACAATTTGTGTCATACACTGAACAATCTAACAATTAGTAATTATATTAAAACTATACAACAAACTATAACAACGCTTATTGTAAATATACAAATCTCCACAATTGGAACAACCAGATAAATCACAGCTCTGGCAATGAGTACCAAATTTGGATATACATGCTATTTGTCATTTCATGTTATGTGATTTAAGAACAACAAACTTTCACACCCAACTTCAGTTGGGACATATCCATCTCCACACTTTTCACACCCCCTTGTTGAACACTCCAAACACGTTCCAACGGTGTATAGAGTTGTACACTCTTATTGTTAATTATAATTAAACTATAGTATAACAAACTAGTACATGTTTTTTCTAAGTTGAGCATGTAGCCACTCGAACACACTGAACAAGCACTCGCACTGGAACATGTGCCACATCCAGTTCCACATGATTTGCAAGAGAGTACCCCTTTACTATCTGAAACTTGATAAAACCCGTTATTACAAATAACACAAGACTCATACTTTGTTGGTGGGTATGTGTCGTAGTCATACTCAATGGAACAACTTTTACACCCCAAACCTCCACATTCAGTCGTTATTATTGCAGTTTTTGTTGTACTTGTTGTTGTAAAATGTGTTGTTAGTCCCACTGACACTAAAATCAAAAGAAGGTGTTGCACTTTCATTTGACAAATAAAGATCTAAACATTTTGACTAACATTTTTAAACTGATTTTATTAAATAGAATTGTAATTTTTTGAACAATAAATACTTCCTTTGATTATAAAATTTGTTGTTTTTTATTATAGAAACTTGTTTTAAAACATACATTTCATTAATTTTTAAAATGTTGTTCAGTAACTGAACAACATTTTTTAAATTTTTATTTTGATTATTTCAAAAGATTTTTTTAAAATAAAACATCGAATAGGTTCAAATACAGTCTGTCTATAAAAGTTATATTGATCATTTTAATTTAAAATTTTTAAACCATAAAAATGAATATTTCAAGAAGCTTTCCCAAAAATCCATTTTAATTGTTTCGGGTTTTTTCCATATTTTACCCAATGCCCATTGTTTATATAAAATTAAAGCTATTGTGTCCACCAGATGAAGTTTGGGGACTGACTTTATAATAATAATCACAGAACAACAATTATATTGATATAAATATAATTATAAGTGACGCTGAAATAAAAAAGAGCATTAGCGAAACTATTCCAAATATTCTTGCTTTATTATCTTAAGTTTTATTCATCACAATAATAAAAGCGCAAAGCCAAGGGATGATTAAAACAAAACCAAGTGCAAATAGTATCCACACCAATTTAATATTGTTTAATTCTTGTTCTGGACTATACTGTTCTTGTTGAGATTGAGGCACAAATATATAAGTTGGACATCTCCACTACTGAATGGGTCTTGGTTAACTTCGTTAATTAACTGTTCACACTTTCTGTTTTGTTGTTCTTGATGTTGTGTAGTGTTCATTCTATTTTGTTCTCAAAATGTAACAATCAATTTAAATACCAAATAGACATTCCTCTTTATTTAAATCCATAATTATTTTAATAATCATTTGAAATAAAAATAATATCTATTTTTTATACTATTATGGATTTTACTATATATTATAGTTTATTACTATATTTTAGTTTTAATTCAAAGAAGAATATGTACTGGATCAGTCTTATGTGTATATCAACTCTTCAATTCAATATGGTCTTGTTCACCATTGAATTTTATAACTTTTATATCCAATATCAAAGACAATGTATTACGAAAAGAGATAGTTTACAGATTCTGGCTTTCACACATCCGTGTCAGCTCTCTTCACAAAGTGTATTCCATCCCCTGGCACCACTGTTGGTAATATCCAGTCTACCCACCTCTTCCCCATGACTTCGTTGATATTCTCTTTTGCTGTTTTTGAGAACATCGAGACTCTCTATTCATCAGTTAAAACCGTTTCAATAGACCAACCAACTTTATTACTATTATTGTAGTATTATTATAGTAATACAAATATACTATTATTTTACTATTGTTATAGTATTACAAATATAGTATTATTTTGGTATTATTATAGTATTGTAATTAATTTATAGTAATGGTAAAATGTACCAATAAAATATAGTACAAACAAACTGCTTGTGTTGCTTTGTTTTTCCTAAGTCCTGCCAACTCGATCATTTCTTGACCGGTAGTGTTAATACACAAATGGTAAGTGTGTGTCACTGTTAACATTAAAATGCCGAACACCAAAGCGCCTTGGACGACGCCACTAAAAATTCGAATGGGAGCTTTGACTTCGTCCCACCACGTCCCCATTTGGTGGTGTTGTTCAACGAAATCCCTCCAAAATCCGTTTGCGTGCCAACAAACGCCCAAAGAGAGCATAAGAGGTGCATACCACAAAAAGAGAATGAAGTACTTGTAATTCTTCTGACCAACACACTGACCAATCCATGGACAGTGGTGGTCACGTCGTAAAATGCACTTGCCACACTTTTTGCAATGGTAACTCCGATTGGGACGGAAGGCGTGACACTCCCCACAGTACTGGGCTGGATATAACATGTCTATTAACTTCTGCTTCTTGTCTACAGAGAGTTGGTACCTCTCCTTTGCATACGTTAACTCTATTTCGGGGACGTTAGGAAGCCAGTCTAAGGGAGGGTTGCCGGGAGACGTAGAAACTGCTTTATAGAAGGTGTAACACATTAAAAGATAGAGTAAAAAACAAGGAAGAAAAAGTACCATTCGCAGGGGAGTGATTGGTGGTTGACAAATTTCAAGAAGAAGTGTGGAAAGGCCTAAAATAAATATCAGAAACGCGGCTATGGTCGGGAAGATAACAGACTGGAACTTGTTGCTTAACTCGACTCGCCGCTGGGACCGCATCATCGCCTTTTGCTTTTAGAAGTTCATTTCTCAGAGATTCTTATAATTCAATTAATAGTTACAATTATAATAAATATATCAATAAATTACTATTAAAAAGTGATGAGAAATTTGAAGTGAGGATTCGATGTTTTTAATCAACGCTCGGACTTTAAAGTATGACGAATTGATTGGAACGATGAATTACAAAAATTGCAGCGAACAAATCGAAGACAAAGAAGTATTTAAAAGCAAATTGCGTTTGCAAAACTTGTTCGTGGGTAATGTTGATAGTGACAGACACAAATTGGAAAATCAGGCCAGTGTAAACTCGGCAGCTTTGATAAGAATTGGAAGTACAATACTGCCGACACAGACAATAATAACAAAGATGATCATACACGAGCAGATGATATAAAACGCTTTTTTGAACCTTCCTTTCTTCGTCAATTTTTTGGATGTCTGAATTCTGTGGACACTGAGCTGTGTGTACTCTTGGGCAGTTTCGCAATTTTTGCATATGTCGTTGATCATCTCGCCTTGCATCTGTACCAAAATGGCAGCATCAACAAATGTTTGTGACAAGTCATCAATGCTTCGTACAATACACAAGATCTCGTCATGACGCGCCTTAATGTAAGCCAGTGTTTTCAAGCCGTCTGTCTTATTCATTCTCCTTGAGGCTTCTTTGACCAGTTTTGACACAGAAAGTTTCTTCTTAATTTCTTGTTGTGACGGAATAACCTGAACAGTTGAAAGCTCGGGAGGCAGATTGTTTATTCCCATTTCTTTGATTTGTAATTGATAATTTTCGACCAAATCATTTTTGATGTTATCTTGTGCTTCTCTTGACCCCCTCATTACCCTGACAAAAGTTTTAGAAAGTGTTGCTGTGTGATTTTGCCGTATTCTGAGCTCGCTTGGAGTGACTTCCGAAAGTGTCCCATTTGTATAATCAACCTCGTACTGATCGTTCTGTTCTTTCAGTTTGGCGATCTTCTTCTCGACCTCTATCCCTTCTTTACACAATGTGCTAACCAACGCTTTCAACTCACCGCCTTCTTTTCCAATGTCTCGTTGTTTCATCGATTTTAAAAGCCGTTCGTGTTTGATTTTCAAAAGGGCGGTGTTGTCTTCTACGGTGTTCAACTGCCTCCTAATATCATCAACCTCGTCCAAAAAAGTTTGTATTGGAATTGGGAGCTTTTCAGGCTCGCCAACACAAACCACGTCTTTGAGAACTGATGCATTCTCCTCAAAAACTTCGGATGCGACTCTTTCAGAATCGACAATTGCCATTGTTATAACGAAGTACTTTACCTCTCTATTCTGCCCTTAAGCACTCTCCCTTTCCAGCAAACTTCTCATTTTTTGAATCTTTTTTTTATGTTCTGCAAATTAAAAATATAATTTATTTTACTATTTAATTAATTTAAAAAATATTATATCAAAATTTAATCATAAATAAAACTACTATTTATAGTTAATACTTTATATAATAATATATTAATTAATAATTTTATTGTTATAAATTCAGTTATTCATTATATTAATAATTTCCTAATACTAATTTAACTTCAAAAAAAGATTCTTTGTACTCGTTTTTTTACCATAATTAAATTATACTCAAAAATAAATTATAATACAACTAACATTATAATACAAGATACCAATATTTTCAAATAAACCATAAATTAATTATTAATTACTTAATTAATATAGTACAATACCATACACTAGTAGTTGTGAAGAACTTCAAAACATTCCTTTGAACTGCAAATCAATGCAATCGCATCGCTACTGTGTAATAATGGCTGGTGGGGTCGGTTCCCGTTTTTGGCCGATATCACGTGAGGACAAACCCAAACAGTTTATAGACATCATGGGTGTTGGCCGGACCTTTCTTCAGCAGACCTTTGATCGTTTAAAGCCTTTAATCTCAGACGATCACTTTGTTGTTGTGACGTCTCATCACTACAAAGACCTTGTTTCCTCGCAACTTCCTTCCATTCCACAAGAGAACATTTTATGTGAACCGTTTCGACGGAACACTGGGCCATGTGTCTGTTATGCTGCGTATTGGATTCATTCTCGTGACCCCAAAGGAGTGATGATAGTCGCTCCATCAGACCATTTAATTGTGGACGCGTCCAAATTTGTCGAAGTAGTTGACTCTGCACTGAGTTTTGTCGAGACAAATCCAAACAAATTGGTGACCCTTGGAATGACTCCAACGCGGCCGGAGACGGGATACGGGTACATCAATTACTCCACCGAGACTCTTCCAAATGATATGAGTGACTTCAAAGTCAAGAAAGTGGTTCAGTTTGTCGAGAAGCCGACATTAGAACGAGCGTTGGAGTATTTAGGGCAAGGGACGTATGCGTGGAATGCGGGGATCTTCTTGTGGAGTAGTTCTGGGATCATTTCCGAGATGAAGAAGTATGCTCCCGACATCTGCGTGTGTTTCGATGAGATGCAGAAGTACTTTAAGACTGCCGAAGAGGTCGCTCGAGCTGATCGAGCGTATGAGAAGTGTCCGTCGATATCTATTGATTACGCCGTGATGGAAAAGAGTCAAGAAGTCTGTGTCATCTGTGCCGAATTTGGTTGGAGTGATGTTGGGACGTGGGGGTCTTTGTATTCATTAAAAGAGAAGGATGCGAGTGGAAATGTGAGTGATGGTGCAGTGATGTATGACTGCAAGAATTGTATAGTTCATAAAGATCTTAAAAAGTACGTTGTTGTCGAAGGACTGAATGATTATATAGTTGCAGATACTAATGACGCACTCCTCGTGTGCTCTCTCAAAAATGAACAAAAAATTCGAGATTTTGTCAATGACGCCAAAAAGAATGGTGGGGTCGTTTAAATCATCGGTTTAGTAAAATGTATGAGAAATTTAATTATTATTATTATTATAATTATTAGAAAAGTGTTTTTTTTGAATAACTAGAAGATACTATTATAATATTATAATATAGTATTATTGTAACAATTCTATTTTTTATTAAGAGTTAACTAGATGAAAATTTTACTTGTTGTTATAGAATGAAAAAACTAAACACTTTCACAACCCAAAACTTTTTTTTAAGAAGAAAAATAAGTAAAAAAGAAATTGTCCAAATCATTTTTTTATTATTTTTATTCCAAAACCCCTTTCTAACCCAAACCAGCCAATAGTCAGTTTTATTTTACTTAAAATAATTCAAAAATGAGAACTCAATTACCTAAGATTGATCAAAAATAATCTTTTTGGACGAAATTTCATATCGCTTTATTGTGTTACAACATTAAATATAAAAACGCTACATCGTCAATCCACTTCATAACAAACAATGTCAAATAGTCACATTAATAAATATGACGACAATTTAAACACCAATATCGTTACAATCAAATGACAATATACTTTTTATATAAAAACAACCAAATATATTTTGTCATTAGACCCCATCTTTCTTTCTAATGCTTTGTTCTTGTTTAACACAAATAAACTCATTCATGTTTATTTGTGTGACTATAAAATATACAATTCAAATTTGAGTTGATAAAAAAAATAAATAAAAATTTTCAAAAATTTGTTTTGTGTATGAAGGCAAAAAAAGGGTTTAGGTAAAAGAAAAAAATAAAAACTTATTATTATTACGTTTCTGTTTGGGACGTGTTAATGAAAAAATTATTTTATAAAAGAGAAGAACTACACATTATTAATAATAGTATTATAAATTATAATAAAAATTGGTGAAGATGATTTAATCAAATTGAGAAAGCGCCAATTTTTGAGGAGGTATGGTAATTGGCACCTGATTCACGATAAATTCCAATTGCTTCTCTAACGTATTCACCCTCCCTTGAAGAGTATCAACTGTATTTTCTAACACAGCTACGCGTCTGTGGTCTTCCTCGGCTTCATTTAAAACAGTAGTAAGATCTGATACAACAACTTTCATTCTTGTATAAGAATCATCAACGCTTTGTTTCTCCATTAAATTTTTAGCTTTTGTACCACTCTTTTTATGTCAACTTCTCACTTTGAGATTGTGACTTTCTTTGTCTTTTTCAGATTGAAGTGGTTTTTATAGTATATTTTTATAACTTATAATATAATTCAATTGAACTATATTTTATTAGAATTCATAACACATCAAATTGTTCGCTTCAATATTTTTTATTTTAGAAAAGTAATTATAATTATATTAAACATATAGTAATCATCTCATTTCATCACTTTATCGAATGAGATTGAAAACTTTCGAATGCGTGGGTATTTAGGGATGGAAAATGGGAAAATAGCATGGAAGTCCGCAAGAAGGAGACAATGGACACAAGCGACGACTTGTTCTTCGAGATCGTTCCGAGCGCTGACAAGAAGGATGAGTCTTCCAGTATTTTTTACTCGCATCGCCAGATATCAGAATTAAACAGCAACACCAGCCCAAGCAGACTCCAGTCGCCTGCGCCAAGCGAGGGTATTGTCATTAACATGGTCAACAAAGGTACTATCAACCTTGTTGGAAGTATAAAACTTAACACTGTCGGTGATGATGTTGTTCCCAATCTTTCTAAAAACTCAAAGTCACATAACAGTCAGTCGTGTGAAAAGTTATCCCCAATACCAAGAAAAAGAGATTTTACACACTCGTCGTCGAAGAAGTGGCTTGAGGCGCTCACTGTCGAGTCGGATTCTGAGATTACAACAGAAAGAACCGGGACAGGAGATTCGTTTGAGAATTACCTGGTTGAGAGGGTGCCTCTCAAAAATCGTCATTTGAAAAAATTGAAAGAGTGGACGGGCGCACATAAATTCAAAATTGTGATGAACAGTGAAATCGATGGGTTCTCGCCCGATGTATTAACACGGCGAGTTGAAGGAAAGAAGAATATTATGTTACTATGTGTGAGTGAAGCGGGGTGGGTCTTTGGGTGTTTCACAACTACTGCTGTTTCTAACAACCAAAAGACACACAGCCCAAATGATAAGAACTTCTTTGTCTTCTCGTTAGTCAATCCACACCATACAACCGCGATTAAAATCACACCAAAACAAATTGAGCCTTCAAAACTTACTATTTTCCCCTCAGAGAGTCATTGGATCTTTGCTGTTCAAGATGCGTTTTACATATCAGTTTTTCCCAATCAATCGTACATCGATAAGAACATCGAACAGACATTTAGAATCCCTTCAATTGTGGGAAAGGAATTGCTCACTGGAAATTGTGCTCCGGACACATTCACTACGACCAAGATGTATGCTCTTGAGTGGGTATGACTCTCGTGCATATTCACAACTTGAAACACGACTCTATGAACGGAAACGAGTTAATTACAATTTATATGTTAATTTCATCGAGTACAAAGAACAACACTAATATGTTCAATAAACAGAAAAATTAAACAGATTCCATGACCTTCACCAAATTTTTGATACTCATATGCATCTGGACGTACTTTTCATTGAGTTTCTCGAGTAAATCGTCGTTGTACAATCCAGTGACTCCAGCCGCCACAATCAGACCTTTGATTTTCTCGTCGAGTCGGCAGATTTGTTGGACTGCCTGTTCGAGTCCACTTGGCTTCCGTTCGTTCAACTTCTTGACGTACCTAGTTGTCTCCTCGATCTGTCCAAAAACCTTATCAATCGCATTGACATCAACAGTGTCGACAATTTCCTCAATTTTTGTCACCTTTTGTTGTATAAACGTGACAATATTTTCTCGTTTGATTTGCGCGTTGATGACTTTCGATCTTCGAATGACGTTAGGCAGCGCCACTTCTGTGACATAGATCTTCCTCACGACGTGTCTCTTCGTGTATTTGATTTGCTCGAATGTGTTCTTCTCTGTTGTTTTTCTGACTTTCGACACAATGATTTCGTCCGCAACGGTCGGACTTGCGTGCGCCTCTTCTCCTTGTCTTAACGTAGTTTTGATCATTTTCTCGAAGAGTTCTTTCTCGACTCCGACGCAGTAGATGTAATTCTTTTCTCTGTAATTGACCAAGAAGAAATTGACAGCAACGTGTTTGTCCTGCATGACATCAAACAGATTTGACAGTTTCTCGTGGCATTTCAGCACTTTTTTGAAGTTATTTTGTTTCAGATAGTACTTTGCCTCGCACCTCGAGATCTTAATAGCTTCTTCAAAGAAGTTAGCTCTTTGCATAGCGAAGAGTGCTCGTTCAAAGTGTTTAAACACGCTTTCCTGAGTCTCAAAGATTTGTCCATTTGCCGGAGGAGGTGTTTCGCACGTATAAATGTCTTTAATTTCGCTGACATCGATCTCAATCTTCAGCACACTAATTAAGTAGAACACCATATGTAACTCGCAGTTCGCCATTTCCGGGAAATTCGCGCGATTCTTCTGTGACTCCGATAGTCGATTCATCCACGTAATATGGAGTTCCGGGTTATTATAATATTCTTCAGAGAACATATAATACTTGTCCGCTATCTCATCACAGTCGCTCGTGTTCTTATCTAAAATCTTTAACTTCTTCATCACCTCTCCAACCTCTTTCTTAAACGTCTTGACGTCGTTCAAGTACTTCCGTTGTAATTTCTTCGAGACGTCCAACAACGAGGACTCTTCATCAAATTCGTTCCTCAGATTTAAGATGACAGTCTCCCTCTCTTTCTCTCTTAAAGGCGATACTCCGTCTTTAAATATCATCGAACTGAATTTCCCGAGCGCTGGACTTCCTAACGACTTCTTCAATTTCTTCGGATCAATTTTCATTAATCGACCTATATACCCCTCATCACTCCGACTCACATATCGCGTTATCTCTTCTATATTAGAATCTTCCATCTTCCGAATGTCATCATACAACAACCAAATCTGCGTCTCAACTTCAGATGTGATCACTGCCGATTTCGTCTTGTGCAGCAACTCTTCGATTTTTCTTTTGTACAATTTCCGCCCCGTTTCATTGCGCAATTCCGTCGCAACTAATTCTGAAAATCGCAACAAAATGCCTTCTAACTGCTTTCTCTTCTCGATGAAGACTTCTGAAGACTCTTTCAACCTCGTTCCACCACTTTGCGACAAAGAGCTATACCCTTCCTCTTTATATATAAATTTGACTTTATTCAATACTTCCCCTATCCCCAGCTTCTCCTTAACCTCCTCCGACTCTTTTGTGATATTCACAACAATGTCATCTATCCGTGTTAAATAGTTATAGATCCCATCTCCTATTTCCCTCATCACTTGAATTAATAATTCACATGATATGAGATCCACTCCACTCTCCATCTCCCCAATCTCTTTCTTGACTTTTTCATACAGAAAAACTAGCCCAACTAAATATCGAAGTTCTTCCGCTTGACTCTCTAACCCTTCTTGTTTCTTCTTCATCTCAACTTTAATATCGTACTTCCTTTTAACTTCATAAATCTGCTGGACTACCTTTTCACTCGAATTGATGACATTCGCCCACATCACCTCCCCCTTCTCTACTACTCCACTCACTTGAACTGACTTCCGGACCTTCTCCGAACGCTCTTCGACACGACGAATGATGACATCTAAGTCCTTCTTCCGAGATACTAAGAACTCAATTTCACACGGATCTCCTATTAAGTCGGAGCTCCAATGACGGAGCATCGTAGACGTCAGTGTACTCCACTCCTGCGCTTTCCGCTCACTCTTCTCATCACGCGATAAGAGCGAGGACTCAATCGAAGACAATTCGAGTGTCGCATCGTACCAATTCTGTCGCATCATCTCAACAGAACTAATAATGTCTAACATCGCATCGATCTCCTCGACACGACGAAGACCACACTTACTTAATGATTCAGACATCTCATCGAGACGCGAACGAAGCGCCTGACACTGTTTATGAACGTCGAAGATCGCGTATTTCTCTAATAATAACTCTTCAGGATGTTTGGTAGAAAGAGGACATATCTCCAAAACTTCTGAAGCTCGAGAGAAACTATGACATTCACTTTGTTGAATGTCATGTTGTATAACACTTTGAGGCTTCGGCTGTAACAGTTGAACAACTTCTCGGGAAACTGCTGTCATCATCTGCTCCGCTTTGGTCTTCATGTCTTCTCTCTTTCTTCTCATCTCCATCCCTTCTTCCACCTCCTTGTCAATCTCAAAAATGAGATGTGTCACTTTTTCTTCTAATTTCCCGACTTCTCGATACTTCTCGGAAATTTTCTTCGACCTGAAGTTGTCGAACAGCTCGCCCTCTCCAAACTTCAGGTACTCAACCTTGAACTTCTTCAACTTCGAAATGACTTCCGCAAGCACTCCATCATTTTCAGTTCTCCTCTCGTCGACCCTCATAAGTCCGATCGTTTCAATTAAAACCAAATTCAAGTCTTCTCGGAAGCTTACCTGGTCGTAGATCTTCCCCACCAATTTGCCATAATTCATTTCGCTCCAGTCCTTCCATTTTTTTGCTCCGGGCATTCGTCGATATTTCTCGTCTGCATTTTTGAGTTCTTCTGTTTGTGTTGTAAAATGGCGCTTTGACGTCATCTCGAATTCCTCAATGGAATTTAAGAGGACGTCCTTCCCCGTTACGCCACTCTCACAAATCGCTTTTTTATATCCGTTTGAGGTATTCTCGATATTCCCATTCACTAGAAAGTCATTCTTTGAGAAGACAAAAGTCATCTTCAAGCCGTCGGATCGCTTATATGGATTCTCATCATTCACAGCAGTCACAATACTCTCCATGATCGAATTGCGAACACACCCGTTGATACCAAATATATACACACGCTTGAAGGCCATAACACTGTTAATAAACTCACGAAGAATTACACTGTAGTATTCGCTCCACGACACCTCAAAAAGGGTCTTCGAAATGAACTCCCACAGCTGCTCCTCCCACCTCTCCGATTCATTCTTTAATACAGAAGGGTTACTCGTCTCCCCGTCGCTCTGATTTGGTATACACTCACACCGCGAAACAGGCGTGGAATTGCTCGGGTTCACGCGATCTAATAAATACATCATAATGTCCATTGAGGTTTTGGCTATTTCAGTTACTAAGACTCGCCCTCGTTCTATCATTCCCTCGTCTTTATGTGTTATTGTCATTTTCTTTTCAGATAACGTTAAATCTAATGGTTTCACTATAGTTCGTTTCCGTTGTGGGGTACTCAATGGTAACTTTATCGGCGTCCCAAAAAATTGTTGGTCTATTTTCTTTGATAATCGAAACGCTCTCGGCGTCGCTAAAATGGAATCTTTCGCCGTCTCTTTCCGCTTCGGCGTAATCTCATTTTCAGAAAAAGTTTCTTTACTCTCCTCTTTCGTTATGTTGAGTTCTCTCAATTCTTTCATATCTCGAGATTCTCGTAATTCCTTTCTCTCAATTTCTTTATCAAAACGATTTTCTTTTGAATTTCGCAGCGAATTCCCTTCAAAAATGCCACGTGGCGATTTTAAGATGCCCAACAACGCGACGACTTCTCGTGTTTTTTCGACAATGACTTTGCGTGGATTCGGCCGAAATTCATTTGGGAAAAACGAAAAGACCAAATTTGCTCGTCTCAAATTTTCTATTAAGATTTCTATTCTATTAGAAACTTCATTAGTTACCCATTGCCGTAGTTCGTCTTTGGGGCAATTTCTTATAATAGTAAGTAAAGAAAAATATAACGTTTTGATATCTTCCAAATCTTCACTTTCCGAGATTTTTGAGACTTTCCATTTACTGAAGATCTCCCAATCTTCTATAATTTTTAATACAACAACCATTAATCTACTAAACGCCTTTTCCTTGTCACTTTTAGAAAGAGAACCATCCAATTCATAACACGAAACTATCATAGCTAACACATTAATTCCAAGCCGCCCTTCATCTTTTCCCCGATGAATAACACTTAATAGATTTCTTATAATAACATTAACGGGGTATCCCAAGTTCTCTTCTTTGTCATCATTAATACACACCTCACACTTCAAACTCCAACTCGACGACTTAAAAAAGCCTTCCATTAACATCGACACTTCACAGAACTCGATCCGCAGTAAACTTAAGTATTGCATGATCGCGGAATCTTTCGCCATCACGTGGATCCCATCCGCTGAAATCGGATTCGCAAGGATATCTAAATGGTTCTCCATCATCTTCGAGACATCTCCGCGATTCCAGATGTTCAACATGCGCACGAGAAACTGCGCTAATGCAGAATTCCCTTCCCGGACGTTCATCGCATCACTCGTTAAAACACTTTCCCGTATTAAGCCAGAGATCTTTAAGACTCCAACGGATAGTTCTTTTCTAATTTGTTTCATAACTTCGAGATTTCCTAGAAAGGCATTTTTCACGTCGTCGTCCCCATTCGTCTGGCGTAAAGTTATTTGATATGTATTAATACTTTTAACTATTAAGAGAAAGATGACCCAACTAAATTTCAGAAATTTTCGTGTGGTGTCATCTGAGGGCGTTGGCAGATTTAATAAAACTTTGGATAACACCGTGAACGTTTGCTTCTCAAGTATTAGTTCGGAATTGGGAATAATATAATTATAATTTTCTATAGCAGAAACTAATGTGGTCGAATACGTGTCCACCCCATATACCTCATCCAATACGTCAAAAAAGTGAAAAAATTCGGTATAGTTCTTATCGTTAGCTATATTTAAATACCGTTGGATGACCAATGGAAGAAATGCCATCACATCAGTCATTTTAATTGAAGACAATTGATTCGTTTTGTTAATTAAAAACGCGTGTAAATCCGAACTACTTGGGTAGACCGAGCTATTCAATTTTAATTCAATTGTTATATGAGGAGACCCCTCTGTCATGTTTACGTTTTGGTATTGAGAAAGGTCAGTATAATAATTAGATGACATTCCTTTATAGAGTCCAATCACTTTCTCTCCAGATCCTATTATCACGCCACGTTGACATAATTTTAATATCCCAGAATAACTATTCATTTCTTCTAATGTCTCAATATTTAGTTCTTGGACTTGGACATATAAGTGATGCATATCGGTTAGAATGAATGGTAAGTTGATTACTATTTCATCGGTTAAGCCCATTCCTAATGTATTAATATATATCGTTTTATTTATAGTTTATTATAACATTTGTTATTTATCGATATTTAATAATACTATTAGTATATTATTGTTTATAATTAATGACATACCTTTTCCTATTGCACTTGCTTCAAATACCTCATCCATATTCATTCCATTTAAAAACGCTTTTATATTCACATTTCCGTTTTCGCCAGTTCGTAAATACACTTTGACTTTTAAAACACTTTTTTTGAGTTCTTTTCCAATTGAAATTTCTTTGAATATTCCGACCAGTTCATTGGAATATTCTCTATGGATTTCTATACTCCAATCGGTCTTATTTTCCCAAGAACACACTAATGGAATTTTCGCTTGTTTTTTCGTTTTGGCTTCGGCCGGCTGGTCCTCCAAATTTTGTTTTATTAAACATTTTTCTATGACTAAATAATCCGTTTTGTATTCGGAGATTTTTTCTATTTTTATGCCCCACATTCCACCCAAACACTCTTTTGCTTTTCCCGCAATCACATCTTTGAGTAATTGCTCATCTTTCATTCCTTCGTCTTTATAAAACTTCAATCCATAAAACACATTCCCTTTGTTCAAGTTTTTTAATGAGTTTTTTACTAAAAAGACTCCACTCATCACAAATTGTTTGAAATTTGTACGTGGCGTTTTTGATTTCAATTTGAGATCTTTTGACTTTTCGTTTTCGTCATGGGGTCGGGCGTAGATTTCTCGTATAGTTTGTAAATCATTAGTATATCTTCTATAAACTCTTAATATTGCCGCGTATTCTTGAGTTGGATCTAATTGAATTGCAAAAGTGTTTTGTGCAACGGTGGAATATTCTAAAGATTCGGTCCGATATGCAGTGGACGTGGTGTAATTTGATGAGACTTTATCGAAAGATCGCAAATTGTGGAACGAGATTGAGAAGAAGAGATCTTCTGTCAGAACGGCGCTTTCAAGAGTTGTCCCAAGAAAGACGACAACAAACGTCTCAATTTTTGAAAAATATTTCGGGGCTTTTGGAAGAAAAAAGAGATGAGATGAGAGCTCGGCAAGATTGACATCCGGAACGAACAGCTCAGATAAGGCTGGAAAATTTTGGAAAAGAAACACATCGGGCTCACGATTCACTTGTGACAACTTTGGCAATGTCCCCATACGGACAACTTGCTCGGAGCGCTGCGAAGAATAGTACTGGGTCCCCAATTGATTTGTGAATGGAATGACGTTCAATGGGGAATAGTGGACAATTGGGTCAAAAAGTAGTGACAATATTGCACGATGATAAGGAGAACTTTCATAGAAAAAGTCCCGAGTCAAGTCTTGTTGACGTGGCGTCTTTATGTCCGTGGGCTGAATGTTTATGAGTGTGAATGGAAGACTGCCATATATCTCGGAAGTTGGTTTTGTTTGTGACAACAGAAACTCGTCTTTCTTCGCGAAAAGAGACTGTTTAAACGCAATAAACTCGGCTTTTGAGATGCGACCATTTTTCGAGATCACCAATTCCGACAAAAATTGCCGGATTTGCTCGATAGAAAGTGTGATGTTGTACGTCGATAAAATGAACCGCCGGATTTGGAAAACATTCAATTCTCCAATGACTTCCGTGTCGTACATCTTCGCCTCAGTTCCATCTTTGTCACAATACCAATTAACTTAGATTTAAAAAATTACAACTCATAAAATGTTGTTTGTATCTTAACACAAAACAAAAAATATAAAACATTTTGATGAACTAAAAAAGTAAACAACTAATACATTTCTAATAAATTTAACCAGAAAATATAGTTTTGTTAATACTGTAATTACAAGTTTGAAAGCGTCAAAACCATAACAATAAAAATATCAACAAATAAAATATAAAAAAACAAACATCAAAAGATAAATCCATTTCATTTCGCTTTTTCTTTATTAGTGAAGGCGGAGGGCGGGGAGATGTTTGGTCTGTCAATTCTTCTTTCCGAAAGATCTTTTTGTACTTCTCCACGTCGCTCTGCATAGTACTTTTTCGGTTTAAAAATTTTTAGTTTGATTTTTTATTCAACTTTTTTACATCCTATTTTTAGATTAACACAAAGTTTGGATTTTTTTTCTTTTTTGTTTTGTCAGTTTTTTTAAAAGCATTTTTTACGGTTATTCTTTGCTAAAACAGTAATTTTAGTTTTATTCGACGAATTATGATTATTTCAATCTTTTTACTTGTTTTTATTGAAATATTATTAAATGAACTATAAATTATAAATTATAAATAAAAAAAAAATCAAACTGAAATTATGCAAAACATTTATTCACAAAAAAACGAAAAAACAAAAACTGAATTAAAAAATTAAAAAATTAACAAAAATTTTTAAAACACTCCAATTAGGCGGCGTTCATATAAGCTTAAAGCAACAAAAGACAAGCCAAAACCACAGCTGCCAATCCAAAAGTTGAAGACACGCACCCATCAGATGGATCTTTATAATCACTTTCATCTCCGATTTTTGGATATTCGAACACGCCGGCTTCGACCTCTTCATTAGTGAATACAAAGTCGTTGAACATGACATTAGTGTCTTTATTGTCGTCCTTAGTGATTTTGATAGTGTCAATGTTTTGCAAAGCAAGAGCAGTTAAATTGACAGTGATCCGATTCCACTTCGCTGGTTCCAACACGATCGGCTCATATTTGACATCAGCGACATAATTGGATGTCCCAACGGCAACGGACATTCTCAAATTGTCATAGACGTCCTCCCAAATCATCGCAAACGTCAGTGTCGCGTATTTTGTCGCATTCACGGCTTTGTCGACATTAATCTGCAGATATGAACCGGAAGACATTTGGGTATATAAAATATATCGTCCATCATACTTCCCCGTCGTCGAAGTGAAACACGTGGACCCTTTCTCATACCATCCGCTTTTGAATTGACCATCTGTGAAAGCAGTTACGTTACTGTCGGAATATACACAAGCCACTAATACTAATACTAGAAGACTATTCATTTGAAGTGTATATTATTAAATGTTGTACACTTTTATATGAACGTCTCACTTTCTTGGCGTCTCTTTCTTTATTCACTTTAATACTCCCTCTTTTGTTATATTTCTGGTGTTATTTATTAGTATGAATAACCACCACAATTTCTTTGTTCAATTTACTTCTGTGATTTGAGTTTGAAATCCCCTTTCAAAACGGGAATAAAAAAACACATCAAAAATTTCTATCAAAAATCTAAAAATGTTTTTTAAAATGTCACCTTCGAAATTATAAAGCAAAAAACCCGAAAAATAAATTTGTAACATATTTCATAGTAAAATGTACTGATTACTACTATTAATTATTATTTAACTATTAATATAGTAATTGTTACTATTTACTATAATTATTAATTCTTACTGATAAAAAGGTTTTTATTGTTTATAATTGGATACATTTACCATTTTATTTATAATATTTATAACTAGTTTGTATTAAATAAATGGTAATTTAATTATCACATTTTTTCTTATTTGAGTGTTGAGGAATTGAATGTAACTTCTTTGTTGTCAAATATTTAAGCAAATTGTGTGTATTGAGTTTGTTTTCGCTATTATTATAATCCTTTTTGAATGATCAAATGTCAATTTATCAATAAGGAGTAAAGATACAATTAACTTTAAAAATATACTGAAATTAAACAAATTCTATACAAAATAGTATAACACCTATAGAACAATAGTTTAATTGAGTAATAAATGCTCAAACTTAAAAACAAGATGTCGAGAAACACGAAAGACAAGACGGAGAATTGGATTCAAGTTTTTGATTCCGATGCGATGTATATGATATTTACTCATAAGAAGTGTCTTCCCCACACGAGTATATCATCGTTTGATTTAGACGACACATTAGTGACTGTTTGTAGTTCTCCAATTTGACGAAACACTTACAACGAGACGTCCAGTGGTAAAAAGTTTTCGACGTCATCGACCGACTGGAAATTTTTGAATGGGTATGTAGTGCCCAAATTACAGGTCTTCTCTGAGACGTCGAAAATCGTGATTTTCACCAATCAAAAAGGGTTAACACACAACGGCGCACTTGACGACGCCAAATGCAAAGAGTTTCAAAATCGCGTCGAAAGCATTTCAAAGGCATTAGAGGAGGTGGGCGTCTTCATTCAAGTGTTTGCTGCATTGGAGGAGAACATCTATCGGAAACCACTGCCGGCAATGTTTGATGAACTTTTAGTTGGACACAATGGAGGATTGAAGATCGACAAAAGCACGTCGTTTTATGTTGGTGATGCTGCTGGGAGAATGGAACGGAAGGTGAAAGGCAAGAAAGTGAAGAAAGACTTCAGTTGTAGTGATCGGAACTTCGCAAGTAATTTGAAAATCAAGTTTTACACGCCCGAGGAGTTCTTTCTTAAAGAGGCACCCGTTTCTTATGAGAACGACGCTATTGATGTCACAAAGTTTGGAAGACGTGACACAAAGAAAACAGAAGACATTTTAAATGTCAATAAAACACACGAAATGGTCATTTTCGTTGGGAGTCCGGCAAGTGGGAAGTCAAGTTTCTATGAGAAGTACTTCGTTTGTCGTTTTAGAATTCTTTTCAATACAAAACGTTGATCTTTAGAAGCCAAATGGGTATCAATGGGTTAACCAAGATACTTTGGGATCAAAAAGTGCTTGTCTGAGTGCGGCAAGGAAGTCGATAATAAACAATTCGGTTGTTATTGATAACACAAACCCGTCGATAGAGATACGAGAGGAATATATAACTATCGCAAACAAAGCAGGGTATCAAGTAAGGTGCGTCTTCTTCGACTACGACAAGAAGATATCTTTTCACCTCAACAAGTTTAGAGCAGTTTGTTCTCCTATACTTAACCAATAATTGAAAGACAAATGAAAGATAATTGAAAAAATGATGGAAAGATGGTCAGCACCAAGAAAATACCCGACATCGCAATACATTCGTATTTCAAAAAACTCGAATTACCAACAATAGCAGAGGGGTTTAAAGAGGTCGTCAAAATCCCGTTTGAGATTGATGACTGCTTCAAGTCTGCAGAGGAACGAGAGTTGTTCGAGATGCTCTTTTGATTTATTTTTTGATAAAAACATTAATTGATAAAAACTTGATAAATACAAACTGCTCTTTAACATCACTTGACTTGTTTCTTCTTGTTCGTCCTCTTGCAAAGTCTTGACCAGGTGAAGATCTCTTTGAGAGAGCCAGGGATGTTTTTATCTTCCTTCTTGCACTCCACCTTCTCCTCCTCTTCCGAGTCATCGCTGTTGGTGTGGGGTAACAAAAGTTGTCTGATGAGTTCCTTTTCAAAGTCTCGGTTCTCAAGTGTTTGCAAAACATCAACAGACGATTTCTCACTTTCGATCGCCTTTTCGCGTTCCTTCCACTCCGAGTGCTTGAAGACGAGGTTTTCTGTGTCTTTTGGCGCAATCCCCTCAACTGGCAGCCAATAATGCTGTTTCACCGAGGTGTATCGGAACCCAAACCGTTTAAACACTTTCAAAATCTCGCTACCATATAACAACGCCATCCCGTCATTTGGCAAAGCATCTGCTATTTGGTCCAAAGTCGACGCGCCAGTTAAAACAATTTGTTCGAGACTTGAAGTTGGGACAATTTCGTTAACCGTCACGTCTTCTTTGCGGGCCACTTCCTCTCTCCAAAAACACAGGTTTGTAAAGGCTTGCGTTTCTGCTTGCGACATTTTTTTGTGGAACGAATGTTTGGAAATAATTCTTTTCAGTTCAGCCGTTCTTCCCTTTGGCAGACACTCGTTTTCAGATTCCATGAAAACGTTCTGCAACGTTCTCATTTGAAGTGCGGCTCGTCGCACGTAGTCGACGATAGGCAACATACAAACTGTGTCATAAGCGCACCGACAAATAACGTATGTTGAGAGAGGTCGTGTGAGCCACTCTTTGCACTCTTGAGGTTCATGTCCCACAAGCCGAAACGCTTCGCCTGCGTTCAGCGCCACGTTTGTCATCTGACAAGCCACTTCAAGACAAATAACGTTGTTCGAGATAATTCCAAATTGAAAGTACAGTGCTCGAACCCCGTATCCCGAAAAGGTAACTTTTTCAATATCTGTTGACTCGAAAAGGGGGCGGACGATTTCAATGTCTTTCCGGACGGCAAGGCAGTCGATACCAAACACCGTTTTTTCGTTCGACAAGAAAATGAAAGAGACGTATCCTCTGTAATTGTTCGAAGAGTCTGTTTTGATGCTCACTGATATTTGCATTTCAGTTTTCAACGTTTCGAGTGTCTTTATGAGCCCATTTCTATCATGTACATTATTAAATATGATCTCATCATATGTTGGGCAGTTTCGTAGTGTCGGCATTTGAAACTGCCAAATCTGTTTTGTGTCGTCCGAGTCAAAAGTCAAGGGCGACGTGACTGGTCTGTCGTAGTTCACTTCCACCACTGTTGGCGGCTTCACGTGTTTCAAAGCAAACCTTTTCTCAATGTTTTCAAGCGCTTCGACACTTAAGTCCAAGTGAGGAATGTCGATGATACGCTTTTTTGTGTGGTCACTCCCAAAACCTGTTTCTATTTCGGAAAATGTCTTCTCTGCCAATTCCCGTATTTTTTTTTCCGATGCGAGAATTTCAGCACTCGTTATTGGTACACCCAAACGTTTTGCGACTTCGCTCACAGCTTCTTCAATTTTATCACATGATTTCTCGACATCAGTGATGCCATACTTTGTTGTTAATACTTTCGATCATTTCTTGTCTTGTTTGTCGTTATGTCAGAAAACAAACATCCACCATATTGTCAATTTCAGCAATGTGTGCCGTCACTGGGTTTTCCATCCCACCCCTTCCATTATTTTCGCCTTAATTATTCTTTCGTTCCATCATTTAGAATCTCAAGCTCATCAAGTTTTTTCAAAGTTGTTTTATAATTAAATTTGATTTATTTATAATTTAATAGAAATAAATATTTTTTTTCTAAAAATTTTTTATTTCACAATTAAAAATAGTTTAAACAAATTCCATAAAAATAACTAAATTTACTATAAAATAAGCTATAATTAAACAAAAAAAACAGTAGTACAATAATAGTAAAAATTCGATACATTATAATAAACTGAATGGTAAAAAAAGAGTGTAATTAAATATGTCTTGCAGCGCGATATGCCAATTCTTTTCCGATAAGTTTTGTGATTGATTTTTTGTGTTTAATGACTTGATATTTAAACTTTGCGTTTTGTATCATTCTCTCGATTTTTCGTTTTAATACGTTTTCGACCAAAGTGACGTCACCAAGCCTCAAAGTCTCTTTTTCAATAATTTTAGTTGCTTTTTTATAGACGGCAAGGAAAGTCTTTTTTGCTGTTTTTCTTATGAGTTTTTTGAGTTTTTTTGATTTAGTGATGCCACGTAGGCGATAGTTTTTGTATGCGATTTTGGCGTAATAGGTTGATATTTTCTTGGCTGCCCTCACAGCGTAAATATTTTCAAGACGAAGTAAATTGTTTTGTGCACCTTCGAACTCCGAGTATATATTCGTTTTGTGATGAGTGACGTAGTGTTCCAAACGATTTTGGCGAACTATTTTTTCTCGTTCCGCACCACTCAAATTATCAGTTACGTTTCTCATTTTTCGCAGAATAGTTCTTTTCGTTAAACGAGTCTTTTGCAATTGCTTTTGCAATGCGTCCACTTGTTGGGCCAAATAAGCCTTATCTTCTCGGGATGTTACAGTTTTGAGATCAGCATAGATTTGATCTAAATTTCTTAATATGCGCCGTTCCACCTTTTTAGTTTTGTGGAGTTGAAAATTAAGAACTTTCGTTCGAGAAGCGACTTGCTCAATTCGTTTTTGCACGTAACACCCATGTGTAAAATGATACGCCTCCGTGTCTTGGAGAAAAAAGAGGAGAATACCAAAAAACAACATAAAGTGTTTTTACTCGTTTTAAAAACGTGTTCACAATTTGTGAGGTTAAAAAAACAGAGAGGTTATAAAAGGTGTGTTCTTTGACAATCACGTTTTGTTTGTAATTACCCGATTTTGTTTTTATAGTTCCAGTTTTATAATATAATTTATTATATTTTTACTTTATATAAAAAATTAATTGAAAACAAACGATTTACTTAAATATATTAAATAATAATAATTATTTAATTAATTAATTTACTTCAAAGTATGAATGATATTGTGAAAATATGAATATAAAAAAAAATAATAAATCAGTAATTTATATTTATATTAATAAAGTAAAGTTAGTTTAAATCTTTGTTCTAGTTGCCAACAATGATTTTTCATTAATTTATACACAAATAATTGTTTAAAAAACTGGTAATTAAGTAATTTTTTTTCATTTCGTGCATAATCCCGATATTTTACAATCATCAATGGCAAAAAAGTTTTTAATAACATTGGAGAAGGGAAAAAATTTTTTGACTAACTTTATCATTAAAAAAATAAACGAGTTAATTTTTAATTATTAATTATTGTTATTGTTATATTATTAAAACTAAATATTTTTAGTATTTAAATTTTTAAACAAATATTATAAATTATCAATTACTTTAATAAATTAATACTAATAATTGAACAACATTTTCAAACAAAAATGGATTTAAAACTCCTTTAAAATTTTTTCCAAAAACAATACAAATCGAAATAGTAAAATATAATAAATAAATAATTTACAATACTAATTTAATATTATTTAAATACACTCAAGAAACAACAAAAAAAGAACCTGAAAAGGAAATGAAAAATTTTCAAAAAATGTTTTTTAATTTCAGTAAATTTTTTTATTCGACTCTTTTCAAGCCCAAAAACCTTTAATACCAGGTAAAAATACTTTAACTTTCTTTTCTTCTTTTTTTCTGAGTAAAACCGAAAAGATCTTATTATTCTTCATGTTTCGTCGCAACACAACAGATAAGCGGCCCGAGGAGATGAGTCCTCAAGCCAAGAAACAACAAAAGAAAGAAGAGGAAGATCGTCTGTTGGAGTTGTTTGACGTTTGTTCCAAAAAAACTATTATCAACTAATTTTTATACTATAATACATACTATATGCGACTCTATTCTGGTGAGTGAGAGATGACAAGTAGAGATATGACACCGAAGATCGGAAAGAGATAGATTCCTATCAAATCAGCAAATATCTTCAACAGCAATTCAAGCTGTATCTTCCCGACTATTTAATCAAGCAACTTATAGGAGAAAAGGTGATGAGTATCACATCGACCAAAATCCAACGGAAAGACTGGCTTGGCTTTTGCACCATTTTAGACGCAAAATACGAAGAACTCGACCAAACAAAAAATTTCGACCACACACAAGAGATCTTTGCTTCTCAACGAAAAGAAAAGCCGGAGACTTACTCGGACTTCTCTCCAAAACTCGTCAAGTCGAAACGCACGCCGCGAACGGTAGTTCAAAAGCCCGTCTTCTCCAATGGAATTATCACAGACGTTCCTGTCGACTCTCCACAGAAAGACCCGAAGAAGCGGATCTCATCACAGGAATCCTTTTGTGAGCAAATCTTCTCACCTCCGATGATCGTTGCGTTGCCGAAGAAGATCCATTACACGCGCCTTTCCTTAGACGACCAGACGAGAGATATAATTAAACAAATGAATGATGAGAAGGTACTTAAAGAGCGGAGTGAAGGCAATATGAGTCTAAAGTCGACACTTCCTGGGGAGAATGAAGGGACTCGACGTAAGCAATGGGGCAATTTACTTCGCAACTTCTCTGAGAAGCCGTTAGAAGACACACTAGACTTAATGTTAGGGAATACGGAGGAAGTCTTAATGAACTCGAAAGTGAAGAAATGTATCTACAAAGTCACGACGCGGATCAGTAACGTCAAAGTGGAATTAAAAGAGAAGTTGTCGTGTGTCTTTGCGGTGTATGCGAAGAACATTTTATTAGAAAAGATTACGTCGGACATGTACTTTGATGTGAATGTCGAACCGCCACAGATCGGCTTTGAGATTGGGTCGGATCATTTACGAGAGAAAGGGAAGAAGATTTATGCCGTTCTCTTTGTTTATCGTGCAGCAGATGCAAAACAGAATACAATGCGAGAGATCTATTCCGGTGGGGAATTACCTAAAGGGAAGAAATTGGAAACTTTAAAACAACAGAGTGAGTTCAGTCATAAGACTTTAATAGGAATAGGAGCTGAACGACTGTATGTCACTACAAGTAAGAAGAATGGATACGTCTTAAGTCCTTTGGAGAAACAATTTGGATTGAAGATCTATCGCGACGACGAGTTTAAAGACCTCTCCAAGTTCTTGAGCGATGTCGAGAGTGCAAAGGAAATCAAAGCAACAACGCTCACGTGGATATTACAAATAGAACAGTTGCGCGACCCCCTCTCAAAGATTAAACGACGCGATTCCCCACGAACGTCCGACTTCAAAATCTTCGACGCGAATTTGGTCGAGTTCAAAGACCAAAGCGAAGACATGAAAGAACTCTATTTACTCGAAGATGTCAGTTATCCCACAACAGCATCGACTGCAATGACTGAATTTGGGATGAACTATTATATCTATCCAAAAGAACTTGTCATGAAAGAGAAACGGAAGATATGGACCTTCATAGAAGTGTCGATGCGGACCTCCGACGTCGACGAGAAAGAGTCCGAGTCATATATATCTGCGTTTTATCCACAAAAAGAGCGAGGCGAGTTCATGAGGACATACACAACAGCAGTCAAATTGTCGGGAAAGGCCGTTCGCTTTAACGACGAGATCAAAATCCGCATGCCGAAGACGAAGGAAGCGTATTCGGAGTTAACAGAGTGGCATATCCTCTTCAAGGTGATGGAGATGCAACTCGACGGGACGAAGATGGAGTGCCGCGCACTTGGATTCATGCAACCTGTCTTACCGCAAACGAATGAATACATCGTCAATTTGTATAAGCCGGGGCCTTCGGGGTATCTAGCGAAGACGAAAGAGACACGTGGGACGTTAAAAGTAGGGATCACGAATTTGGTGAGTGTAGTTCCTGCTATTAAAGAGATTCAAATGCTTGGGGAGACGTCGACGGGCTTCATTAATGCGGTCGACAAGCTATCAAGGTCATCGCTTGGGACACAAAAACCAGTGTTACAGATATACATGCCAACGATGTTAAATTGGATGATTGGCGGGTTGATAGGACAGAAGTCATTGGGAGTGTTTGTGACGTTCTTTCGATTTGCGTTGAACTTAAGAAATGAGGTGAGAGACCCATTAGTGTTGGAGTATGTCAATGACTTCTTTGATCCGCGCACATTAAGTTCGTTATATTCACACTACAAATACGTCTTCTTGTTAATAGTTGGAGATACTGCTGATCTCTTCATGAAGAATGAAGCCAACTTTGATCAGAACGTCGTGTTGTGGTCTTGGTTCTTCTTTGATATTATCATTCGGTCGACGGTGGAGTATTTACATGAACAGATGGACAAGGGGAGTTCGTTGGAGACGTGTTATGTCTCTGCGGAAGGCAATCGGTTTGAGAAGAGTGTGTTTGAATTGGTCGAGTCGTTTGTGCATCAAGTCACGCGACTTCCAACGGTCTCTGCGCAAATCAAAGCGAATCTTTACTTGGGGAAGTTCATGCGAGACTTAATGCGGTTCTGGAAGTTGACATTTGTTGTGAAGTTACTTGAAATAGTGATGGACTGGTATGCGTCTGGGGGGAATGTGAAGACCGATGTGAAGCGCGAGAAGGTCACGCAAATACTTCGTGTTGATATGTTAAATATATTCCGAGACTCTTCATTACTCTTCTTGTCGTCGTACATAGAAAGTACTGAGTCATTTGATGAGAGGTGTTTCTCGCAGCAGACCATCTTGACGTTGATGATTCGGAATTACATGATGTTAATACTACGAGGTGGGGAGTTACAGAAACTTGGGGTATATGGTTTATCGTTATTAGTGATGCGATTTGACTGCGACACGACGTTACAGAAGCGTGAAGCTAAAGAGAGATTAGCGGATATGTTAATGCCAATTGTGATCTATATGATTGAAGAAATCGACTTCTTTAAAGGATGGCACCAAACAAATTTGGTGACATTGGATGTGTACGACATCTATATGATGCAATGCTTTGTCCTCTGTTTTCTCTTTGTTATTAAGAACTTGAAGACACAAACACTCCGAAGCTATTTGAAAGTGCCATTGCGGTGTTCTGTGTTACTGGACCACTTCGAGTGGTCCCTCAAAATCATTTCTATGCCAATTTCAAGTGTCTTTTCCCCAATCGAGTTATTCAAAGTCGCGCGAACAACATTGTTAAAAGAAGTGTGTGACGAGAAAGCAGATAACGTCTTCTTCACGTTAAATCGCGACGAAAAGGTCGTGGAGGAACTTTGCGACGACGAGCTGTCGAAAAGCCCAAAACCAAAGTCGATGATTTCAGTGTCGCAAGTGCCTAAGAGACCGTCACTCATCAACAACATCGGAAAGACATTAAAAGACACGTTGTCGTCGTCATCGTCATCGTCTGTCGGGTATGCTGCCCGGAGAGACACATCGACG